TCTCTTTTCCAAGGTATTTTATAATAAGCTTTATTATAAAATTAAATAGAAGAAATAAAATATAGATAATAAATAGTATCTTATATTAAACTTTAAGAATTTAGTACTTAAACTATATAAATTCTATAAGCAGAATTCTAGTAAAGTAGGACTTTCTATCTGGCTAAATAAATAAATTTGGTATATTAAAGAGAATAAGTTTAATAAAAACTATCTAGATAATAATAAATCTCGATAATAAGGTCTCTATAACTAGAGAAAAAGAAGAAAAACCTAGATATTTCTCGGATTTTATCTAAACCCTAATATATTTTTTTTATTTTACTATATTAGTATCTATTTTCTTTTCCAGAAATCTGAGCAAAATACCTTTCTTTACTATACTAGATTATACTTTACTATTTAAGTAAATTATAAAAAAAAAAGTGAATTTTTAAAATAGAGCTAAAAATAAATACTTGCCTATATTAGTTCGAAATATTATTAAAAATTAAAGGAAACCTTCTTAATTACTTTAACCTTTATAACCTTAACTATTTATACTACTACTACTACCTTAATAGAACTATTAATAAAGATAAAACAAATAAGAAATTCCGGTAATATATTATCTATAGCTAGACTAAGTAAGGTAGCTTACCAGATCCTAAATAACTTAAGTAATAGTAGTAGTATCTTAAGTTTAGTAATTATTACTATTATTAATATAATTACTAGCTAAACTACCTTTATAAATGAAAATAGTAATTCCCTTATCCAAGAACAGGTTAATATATAGAATATAGCCTGTATTACTCTTAAGAATATACCTGAAATTACTATAAAGAATATCTTAGTAAAAGGTTCTAAAAATAATAAAATAGAGGTTTTAGTTACTAGTAATAATAAGCCTAATAGTTTAATAGACGGAATAGATAGTACTAATAAGGGCTTCCTTATTAATCTTATAGAGCCAAATACTAAAAAGATTAAAAAAAGTAAGGCTAGCTTATCTAAGAAATATAAGATATTAGATAATAGTAAGAATTCCAATAATAAAAAAACTAAAGATAAAAAGACTTCTAGTAATAAAGAAGACTCTAATTATAATAAAGATAGCCAAACTAGTATTAAGATACCTATTATAACTAGAAGATATATAATACCAAGTACTAGTTATTATATAAAGTACTAGTCTAAAACCAAAAGCTAGAAAATAATTCTAAATACCGAATTAAAGAAATAATACCCTATAAATATTAATGAATTAGTAGATAATACTATTTAAGAAGTCAGAAAACCTTTTAGAAGCTTCTATAAAACCAAAATTATATAGCTTAAGGCCCGGGGATTTAATAATAAAGTAGCTCAAGTAGCCGCCCTTAATATATAAGTCTCTACTATAAAGGAATAACTTGAGGATATATATATTAAGTTTGAGAAGGCCCAGAAGTTAATTAAGTAGCTTAAAAACGGTATAATTAAGCCAAATGCCGCTACCCTAACCAAGAAGAAAGGCAAATAAGCTACTATATTAAAGCCTGTATTAACGGATAGACTCGATCTGCCACCCCTATTCGAAGACCGCCCGATAATAATAGTCCTAATATCGGCTATAGCCTATACGGTACTCCCAGACCATATTATTAATATAGGTATAGGCATAATACGAGCGACGGATACTAAGGACTAGCCGGAGTATACTAGGAACTGGGTTATTCTGGCAGAGTCAAGACTATGCTTCGATTATAAGTAAGCTATAGGAATTGGACGGAATGGGGTCAATAGCCGTTATTTCCTCTTTTTTCTTTTCTATGCTACGGCTAAATAATCCCCTAAATAAGGGCATTTAGACTTCTCTTTAGGGGGAGGGGTAATATAACGGCTGGTATAAGGGTATAATCTGCCAAGGACAGGATATCGGAAACAGGTACAAAATGAAGCTAAGCCAGGATTGCTTGGACGGAACAATACTAAAGGTCGAGGCATCCTCCCTACTTTGTTCCATAGCTTAGTATTTTCCAATACATGAGATTCTTTGAACTTTGCGCCTTCGACCATTACATTGATCCCGCCGTTACACTACCCAAGTTCCAGTTATAGAAACACTTTAGCTAGTGTTTTGCAATCTACTGATTTAACTGTGTTGATTGTCTGAAAGGTGTAAAGTGGCATATCACACATCATATAATTAATTAGTTCTGGCTCCGGCTCGTGACTCCTGGCTAACTAACTTCAAGTTCTCCTGCACAAGTCCGCCTCCGTTATTCTTCTCAGGCATAGCTTAAGCAAAGCGAAAGACTATAAAGAGGACTAAGAATGTCAGATGCCGTTCAGGAAGGATCGATTGAAGGGCTAATACAGTAAGCTGGGCAAGCTCAAGTTATATATAAGAGAATCACATGCAAGCGAAGCGTGGCTGCCGAGGAGTGGCAATAGAGAAAAAGTATGTGTCACCACAATTGTGCCATCTAAAAAAAGAATCTGACTCTATACAACTTGATGAGACGAGTTTTAATCTCATAGGAAAGCACATGATGAAAAATTCTCGCGGAGCGAAGTGGTGCTGGTAACGGTCCAAAAACATCTACCGTACGGCTGTTAGCTGCGCCGTCGCCTTTCCTCGTGTCTTTCCAAGCCAGCCACGTTAGTACCATGCCCCTAGGAGTAAGGTGTGCTCCATAACTGAGCACCGAGTCCATCTCCACCATTTCCGCATAGTTTGAAGTAAGATTGTCGCCTCGTACAGCAAGATCGTCTCAAACTCAAACGATACGAAACTCGACTATCGAATTATTGTCGAATAGCCACAGCTCGCCGTCCATCATACCCGAAACCAGGGCTGGGCATAAAGTATGACATCCCAGTAGGCTTCACCACAAATGGTTTATCAAGGCCTGAAAACAAAGCCACAGTATTGCCGGATTTAATGCCTTCGCGGGCGACCCCAAAGTTGCCAGTCGTGGTCATGAAGTGCACGCTATCGTCTGCCTTCACCGGGAAGATTTCCTGGATCTCCTGGTCTGGGAGGAGTTCCCCTTGCTCCAAATTGAGCGTGAGCAAGAAATCAATGTAAGCCGAAGGATAGCCCTTCTCTGTTAGTAGAAACTGCATGGTGGCTCTGAAGAATACTTGGAAGCTGGGGAAGGTGGTGGTCGTGGTTGAATTGTTAAAGGTTGCAGACTGCTCTGAGAAACAGGATATTTCGATCAAGGCGACTAATATGACGGCCGTTGTAGACTAACTTCATCTGGTAATAATCGATACCCGGAAGTAAGAAGCTGATGTTTTCGGCTACAATAGCTATATTTCTCCCCTGTAAAATTGCACTTGAATCTGTCCTGGAGGAATGATAGAGAGGCCTCAAAGCCTTCGACATGGTGTACGCAGAATATTCATCCAAGTCTTGTCATGGCAATCCACTACCCAAGAAGGCTCCTGCTCAGCCACACCTGACTTTCTCGACACAAATGTTATGGGAGCAAGGGACTCATTATTCCTGATTATAGCTCGCGTCGCTTCGAGGAAAGCCTGCTGAGGTGGCTTGGGTTAGTCGATTTCAAGGCCAGAGAGTGTCTCGGAAAATAGGCCATTCAATCCGTACATTTTGTCGCATTGGTTAGACGACAATATACGGACCAGTTGCAGGAAACTGCCCCACAGGGTATGCTACTTCTCATGGATACGTTGGAAGCATTTGAACTAAAGATACGTCTTAAATGTTGCCGCCGAAGTATCTTGATCCACTTCGTAAAGTTCGGGATAAACTTGAAGCAGGTAAAGAGATGACGTTGATTTGGAGTCCCCGCAATATGCAAATGGTTTGGACCCGGCGAACTCCCGAAGTGTCCGAAAGCTACTTAGCTGTCCCGACCACCAGGTCATAGCCAGATTGCAACACGAGCAGCTCTTTAATATACTTCAGCCAGCGTCGTGGCTTGATTACTGCGCTCATTGACTGTCCTTTGATCAATGCAAATGGCATCAACACATAGACAACGAGGTCCGGCCATCAACGACGAGAAAGACACCAAAACCCGCGCTGCGACCCCAGATCACGCAAAGGAAACCCGGGAGATTATGAAATGCGCTCAGGGACAAAACGCAATTAATCACGGTCGGGGAGGATATACTTTTGATTGGGATGCAAGGGCAGAGGGATACGAAGGGGTACAATTGTGCAAATCATGCCTCAATCCCACAGGAATTTAAAAAGAGTCACCGAGCCATTTTTACATCACATCACAACTTTATTTAGTTGCAGCTCCAAGGAAACCAAATTCTGATTCGCCCTTTCAGTACTCTGCTTTCAGCGCGTGGTAAGGCGGACGGTGTGGTCATGTGGGTTGGGAAGGGTCGGGTCCGTCTACCGGGACATGTACTGGAATTTTAGCCCCGTCGACGAGGTCAACACATGTGACATGTCCCAAAGGGCCGACAGCACTGCAATTTTAGCGCCTTCGCAGGGAGAAGCATTGTTCAGATTGTTCAGACCAATCAACAATTTCTGTTGCGGGATTAACCACCGGCACTGCAATTTTAGCGTCGACGAGGGGGATATGGGCCCTGGACGAATTGAAAAAATCCCTCAATTGCTGTACTGCAATTGTAGCCCTTGCGAAGCCGTTGAATCAGCCTTATCCATAGGGCTGACAAGCACTGCAGTTTTAGTGCCTTCGCTGGGAGAGGCAGTGTTCCCACACCAGTCACAGCTCCCCCACAGCACTGCAATTTTAGCGTCGTCGAGGGGAATAATCCCTGAACGTGGCGAGAAGCGGTGCAGGCAGCACTGCAATTTTAGCCCCTACGAAGCCGTTGAAGAACACACTTGCTAGCCAATCAGCATTTTGTGGGCAACTTCGGAGTGCAGAAAGACAAAATTGGAATTGTACAGTGCTGTGCCAAATGGATCAATGGAGAATTTCTAACGGTACGTTACAACACCTCTCCCTAAATATGATGATGTTCAGCAGCAAAGCATTGCACTTGTAATCGGAGCTCAAGAGGCACAAAACTGATGCTTTTTGTTGATTATGAGTTGATGTTGTACGCAGGCTTTTCTGCACCAAACACTATCATCACCACCCATCTAAGTCCCATTTCCAAACCCGTCTATCTACCCATCCATCTAATCTCAATTCCCCAACCATGCACCCGCTAAACCCCACAGAATCCCACCCATATATACACGCTCCCCTCCTTTCAGACTCAGTGTCTCCTGACCTGCTCGGTAACAGCCCGTCTAGGTGCACCCATAACATCAGCAATAGGCAGCTCCCCCCTCTCCCTCGCACTGTCCCTGCTCACAGCCTGTGGACTCACAATTCCCGTCCGCGGATCAATCCTCGCACTTGAACCCCTCTCCCCACTCGTCGCTCTCCTCGCACCAGCACCACTCCTACCCACAACATACTTCCTCGCCTCGTCAACACTGCCCTTCGTCTCCTCGCCCCAGCTCGCGGAGTTCGCTCCCGACGCTTCAGGTATATCAGGTAGGTCCTCAACACCAAGCTCCCTCGTGCCAGCTTCCAAATCCGTCAAACTGGTCCCTTCCTCCGCACTCCCTAGTTTGGACCTCCCTCTACTCCGGCCGAAAAAGCGATTCCGGTGTGTTTTCTGGCTGGAAGTGTTACTCGGCACCTTCCCTATACCGCTCTCCTTGCTGTTGCTATTCGCGAGACTACCTCCGTCTTCACTGGCTCTGTCGCGGCTCAGGCGGCCTGGAGAAGGAGACGTAGTGGTGATTTGAGGAGGAAGCTTGGGTTGGCGATCTTCGTAGACGTCGCCGAAATCAGCACCAGATGAGATGGCGTCCGACATGCCGAGGGAGAAATCGACGCGTTTCCCCATTGCGGAGATAGATTCACCTCGTTGACGAAGGGAGGAGGAGCCGCGGTTTCTGAGGATGGAGGGTTGGGTGCGAAGCGGTTGGCTGGCGCTGCCTTCGGGGGCCACGATAGGTGGTTCGCGGGCGAGAGAGCCGGAGCGGGGTCCTGGACCGGGGGAGGAATGGTCGTTTGTGCTGGATGGTTGGCCGTTGGGATAAGCGTTGTGCAAGAAAACAGGGAATTCCTCTGATTGTCCGGCAAGACGTTGTCTTGGACCCTCGATACCAAGTTCATTCATCGTCACCATCATCGCGCAAATGAACTTGTTTCGTCTCTGCAAGCGAAGGAGTTCGTTCTGCCAGTTCGACTTGTAGAAGAAGACGACGTTGAGGGTGATAGAGTAGGCTTCGTAGATGGTGGTTAGTTCAGTGAGAATGTTCTTCTGGTATTCTCTGTTCTCGGAGCCAACGAATTCGAGGAGGCGGTGACGCAGCTCGTCGATTTGGTCGAGCGTTGTACCGAACTTGACAGTGACGGGGACGGCTTCCGCGAGGCCGCCAGAGCGGCGTTGGTTGAGGATGAAGAGGGTGTTAAGGTAGGTGTTTGGAGCTTGGACTACGTGTCCTTCCATCTTCTTGAATTCCGTATACAGCAGGGAGATTTCCTTGACGAAGTAATCGTCACCTTTCATCTGAGATCCTGTGTTCCCATATATGGTAACTCGATCACCAACATCGAAAGGATGCTTGACGAATACGAAGATGCAAGATTGGAGGAATTCTTGCGCCGTTGCCGAGAAGAGCCAAGAGAGAGCCAAGACTGTGGAGCCCGCAGATGTAAGAACGCCTGAAGCAGATGTCGAGATCAACGAGATGAGAACCAAGATTGTGATGACCGCCACAATGAACAAGAAAACGGAGTCCAACTTCGATACCACAGAGTCGAGATCCTTCAGAGATGCAGTAATGGCTTTACGTTCGCGTCCGATCTCCACACAGACGGCTTCCAGCTCCTCCATGGAAATATCACCATTTAAATCCTTGTCGAACATAGTAAAGGCAGCATCTGCTTCGTCGTCATTGTCAAATGCAGGTCTAAGGTCGTCCGCCAAGACGGTCTCAGAATCTTCATGGGCAAAAGTGCGGTATAACCTGCGGGCGAGGACTTGAGAGCCATTTGTTGAATTCAACAATTGGAGAATGCTACATCATATTAGCAAGATGGAGAACAATGGACAAGGGGACCTACACTTGATGTGGATGTGTGCTGGTCTTCACATCCTGACCAGTGAAATCTCCAGCAACCTTCCCAGCAACATCACCGACCTTGTTGAACACATGCCGAGCATTCCTCTGTGCCTTATTGACGTATGCCATTGGCGTCCTCGCCCCCGAAGCAGGCCCACTGGGCTGAGGCTCAAACTCCGAATCCTCCATCTGAATCTTCTCTTTCGAGTAGATGTACAATTTCACTAAACTCGAGATCTGGAACTTATTGACCTCAATCCGGTCCGCATAAGTTCGAAGATGAAAGCTGATGGCGATAAGCTGAATGATGATCTTCTCGAAGAAGTTCAAGCATGCGCCGACAAAGATCGAGACGATGATCTTGTTCACCGTGAGTTCCCAACTCCGGGTAGTTGTGTCGCCATCTAGATGATGGTTCTTCATTGTTGGGAGGAAGGAGACTTCAATAGCGAGCCACCAGAAGAACAATGTTGCTGGTACTTCGAGGGCCTTGCCGAGATCTCTCCATTTCTTGCTGTTGTTGGTAAAGAGACTGGATATTAAGCCCATGGGCCAGGGAATAGACTTCGCCAAAAGCTAGATACGTTAGCAATTGCTTGAAGGGAGGATGGAGTTAACATACCCTCCCAGCCCAGAGCGTCAACCAAACAAGCTCCAGCCAAATTCCAAACCAAAGCAGCTCCACACCACCAACCGTGGTCTGTGGGAACAGCCAGATACCAAACAAAACCGGAACAAGCAGCAACAGCGTCAGAGGCGTAATATACACAAACCACCTCACCAAAAAACTCGATTGATGCACCTTCTTAAAGAACTTTGCCAATTTCGTCGTCGGGTTCGCTGGTGGTTGGTATATTTTTGTTTTCTCATGGATCGGTGTGGTCCCAACGTCAAAGTCATCCTCGGGCTCAACGTTGTTCCTCGACCTCGACCTAGCCATCATAGATCTTGATCTACCCATTGTGCTTTCTTGATTTGACCTCTCGGCGTTCGAGACCACCCGCTCGGCGCGCAACATCTCCAAATCATCGTCAAGTCGACGAGACTGCTCTCGTTGGGCGGCTGGAGACATTGGTGCTCTGCTGTCCTTCTCAATGTAGTCTTGTCCTTGTGCAAAGCTGGGGTATATCCGCAGGTGGCTGTGATCTGTGACATCGTCCAGTCCTTCTCCTTGTAGAGTTCCATCTTCGTCGGAGGAACGGCGGCCGTGTTGGGGAGGATTCGCAGGAGGGTCGGCTTCGAAGGCGGGGAAGGAGTATTGGTCTTTCTCGTGGATGGGCGTCGACATATCAGGGGGGGTTTGTTTCGAGGGAGGAGTTGAGGTGGGCAGCTCGAGCTCTGATATCACTGACGACGCGTGTCTGCAGACGTCGATGGTATCAAACGATTGTGGGCTGCAGACAATCCAATTGTCTCTGGATTGCAACGGCAGATGCAAGAATCGTGTAGAGAAGCTTCAAATCAACGCGGCTAAAATGATAAGAAGCCCGTGAAAGTGATAGGGGATGAAGGAAGCGAATGTGATGTCTGTTCAGACGACAATGGGCACGATATCGTCAAGTTGCTGAATTGTAGTAGAGTGCAATGAAGCAAGCTGCTCGCCAGCCGGCAACATGTCTATCATTCTCTAGATGGCGGCTCGCAAGTCTCTTCTCGACGGCGCGACTCCCATGTGGTCGGGCACGTCAGGGACCGGCCCTGGCGCCCCCTTCCCAACGGACTCGAACACGAATCGAGCGATGCTAAGCTAAGCGGGCCTGGCAGTAGCTGCGCCGGATCAGGGAGAGGTCGGACTGTACGGAGTATCTGCTGCAATTGGTTGGGATGCTGGAGCTCTGGTGGAAAAGTTGCGGGGTGGGACCTGCCAAGCGCGCTTCATTTTCGTCTGCAGCCAATGTTTTGGTGGCGACGTCATTGCTGAAATCTGCCGATGCGCCGAAGCGAGCCGTGCCGATTTGTGAAAAATTTGTGAGAATTATGCAGCTCTGCTTCGAGAAGAGATTTTCAGGGCAGATTTTCTCTACCAGAGTACCTGCTACTCCTCGCTTTCCTTCGAGAAGTAATCCAAAACTACGGCAAAAAGTGGTTATCCCTTCGGTAGCTTAACCTTAATTGCACCGTAGCGTTTCAATGTTCTCTCTTGTTGCCTCCCTAAAAATAACACGCCTTATCAGCAAACGCCCCTGAATCTTCGGCAAACCCTGCTCTGCCCGACAGCAGCGGCGGCCAAACGCCAATCGGCCGAACGCCAATCGCTCCAACCTCCGGTGGATCTCGCGCAACAAGAGTCTGCCCTGTTTCTTCCGGGCCCACGGTCGCTCGAGAGCGGGTGTTCGCTGTGGATGGTCAGTGACGCGTGGGGGATCGCTGGGAGGAGTGGGTATACTTGTGGGTACCCCTTTTCTGAGGTGAGGTGAGGTGTGGAATCTTGATCGAGGATCAGATCGCGATGCGCGAGCTGTGCATGTGAAAAGGGCGGAAGACTTCCAAGTTCCGAGCACTCCGTATTGGCAGCTTGGAATTCCATCAGAAGAACTGGAAAAGCTTCCACGTGAGAGTGGGGTTTTTTGCGCAGGATGTAGTTTTGACTCGTCTCTTCGTGTTTTGTGTTCTTCGTGTTTTGTGTTCTTCGGTTCTGCATCTCTATTCGTTGGCCTTGCATCGCTACTTGGGTTGCGTTGCATGTCCGCCGTCTGGACATCTTATTGCATGGCCATTTAGACGAACAACTTGGGAAAGGGGAGGATCATTCCTCTACTCCCACAACCCCTCCGTTTCCCTCTTCCCAAGTCAAATCCTTCACGCCCCTTCCACCCCTCGCCCTCCTCCGCTACAGCTTCCCAACCGTCCACACCCACGTCTCCCTCCCGCTCCACACCCCCTCTAAGTTCAGCCTCACGAAAACAAAATCACGCCACACTGCTTACCTCAATTCTCTCCTCCTTACTCACCATCTCTGCGAATTGCCAGATCTCGACGAACCCTCGGGTGAAGAAGAGATCAAGGCGTCAGATGAGTAACCTTAATCAAGAGAGATCTTCGCTTCTCTCCTTCGTACATCCTGTTCCGAGCCAAGCTCGCTTTCCAGCACCGACGTGATATCGGGAAATACAAGGTCCACCGCTTGCAAAGCTAAGCCTCTCGATCTTGAACAAGTGTGTAGCGGAGGCGGGATCTTGCAGGAAGAGGCGAGGCCATCCACTACAAAGAAACCACTACTCAGCCAGTTCGGATTAAAGCGATGGACAGAGGGAGAATTACTTTCATCTCTCGCACTCAACATCCACGATCCTTACCTGGTCCAGTGTATTGGAGTGCTGCAAGCCAGATCTAATCTAGTATCTCATTTGGCAGTCGTAGTTTCCCTACTTCCTGCTCCCGTAACTCGGAGGCTGGCTCAGGGAAAGCCGTTCTATTTCCTTCTCCATTCTTATAAGGGTCTGCTCTTCGTTATCAGGGCCCGCAATGGAGTGGGTGATAATGGGGAGATTTTGAGGTTGGCAGTCGACACTATTGCCTTGTCTTAGCCACAAGCCCTCCCCGTCTTACAGGACAAGACAGGGGTTCACTACCCCGCCTCCTTTCTTTCCTTTCTTTCCTTTCTTTCCTTCCTTTTTTCTAATGCAAGCTTGCAGAAGAATTCATATAATCCCAACTTCATGTTTTCTTACATCGCTGACTTCGAGCTATGCTCCTTCACACTTACCAAACTTCTCCTTTGTTTCAAGAGAAGAAATTTCGAAAGCTTCTCAGCCCTAGGGAAAGCGGTAAGGTGCGAAAATGGGGAGCACTGAGCGGTAAGACGTAAGAACCATTTCAACGCCCAGACCAAGGCTAATTCCGCATGTACGTGTTAGCAGCTTGTGGATGATATCTCTTTTAGGGAATCAAGATTATGCTTTCATTGGATGACGAATTTCTGCTGAGAGGAAGGAAGTGATACAAATCAGTAATGCGACAACCGAATGCGCCGTATACGTATTTGCAAAAATACACCGTGCTTGCCCCACTCTTTTCTTCAACGACGTAGGAATAGGCACGGCTATGAAGGTATCGACACAACATTCTTTCCAGACTTCTGGGTAAGTAGTATGGGAATTAACACGCCCGGGGTTCACTTGACATGCCCTGTTCATACAGTGAAAGTGCAGTTGTGTTGAGCGAGCGGAGTAGCAGCGTTTGGTAATGACGAGGAGATTCTCGGAGCTGATGGATTACAAGAAGAGAAATATCGAGAACTTTGAGAGAGATTTTAAGAGGTGATGAGATGTTTTATAGACTGCGGAGGATATGGGCTGAAATGGCGCATAGCGGCGGTGATCATGAAAAAGTGAATTGTTGCCGAAGTTGACGATTGCGAGAGAAAGAGGCCAGAGGCTTAGAGGGCGATTTGTGCGGTGACGAAGAAGCCCAGATATTGATGAGGCGGGAAGGAGTTCGCTGTGAGGCTCCGATCTTGCAGGTGGTGGTCGCACCTTCCTCGTGTAACCTTGGCCTCGCAAGGCTGGCTTTGTTTCCCCAACCTTTTCTTTCCCCATCACTATCACCACTACCTTTACTTCGACCATCCTTCCCTCCCCAGCGTGTCGTGGGATCCTTGACGGTCTCTCGCAGGCTCTCCATTCTGTCCTTCTTTCATCCACGTGCGACGCACGTTCTGCAGCATCGAGGACTCTGGCTTGTTGACTTCAACCTTCCACGGGTTCCAACGTGACACTTCGAGATGGCTACTACTCCAAACCAAGCATCTGGAAGCACTGGAAATCAAGTCCCGCCACAGCAAGCATCCAAGGAGACCTCTGCAATGCCTTCAGCAAAGAAAGCGGAGATCGACGAGGCAGATTCTGACTCTGACGGACCTCCACCGTCCCCGATGCGTCCGTATTCGTACGAGAAGAAGAAGAAACCTATGCCATCGCTTCGAAAGCAAGCAGAGAAAGTTGTTCTCAAGCAACTCACCAAAACTCTTGAAGGAAATTCTGCACTGGCTCGGTATTGTTGCGGAGGTCGTGTCTTGACCACCCTCTCCGGCGAGTCTAGCACAGCCGCGAAGGATATGACAGTTCCGGTATCTCCCCCAATCATTCTTCGCTGGGATGATCCCACGGACAATGATACGCCGAGAAGAATCCGGTTGCCAATCGCTGTTGGAACCACCAAAGGAAATCCGGTCGCGTTCTCTGTCATTGACAACTCAAGGTTGATCAAAGCATGCAGCCCTAGTGGCGTTCTTCCCGAAAGCCAGTTCTCAACCAACCTTGATCCACACTATCTGGGAATTCTCGATGTCGTCGCCCAAACCATCCTGCCCGGCTTCGAAACCGATCTTCTCCAAGGACGACCAGAGCATCGAGGTGTTTCGGCCCAACTTACACATCTGCAGGTAAGTACTGAGCACTCCTCGTGCCCTTTTCGTAATAGATAGATTATTGTTTATGCTGAGTTGCGGCAGATACACTCAGGTCCGTCAACCAGTGTCAAAATGTTCTTGCCACCCATTCCAGCGAACAACTATCTTGGCATTCTTCTGGTTTGTCTCCCGAACATGCATCAAGGTAAAGTTCTCTTCTTAGCTAATCGTTGTCGACCCATAACTTACTGTCAAATGGACAGGAGGGCAACTCGAAGTATCCAACGAAGGGCATTCGACTATTTTCGACTGGAGCGGTGCTAAGCCCACCGATATCAAATGGGCCGCGTTTGTAGGAGATTGCCAGCACAAGATGCATCCAATACAGAGAGGCAACCAAATCATGCTTGTATATAATTTACGCGTCACGGAGAGAGTTGGAAGCGTTATGCAAAATCCAGTGCTTGCGGATGCGACTCAGTTCCCCCTATACGACGGTGTAAGAAGTATTCTAGAGCATCCTGGCTTCATGAAAGAAGGTATGTTCTGGCCATTACACAAATGATAACTCAGCTGACTGTGCATCTAGGGGGTATGATTGGCTTTTATTGTCGCTATCCCTATTCTCACACTGCAGCGAACGCAGCCAAAGCGATGCCATATGCACTTATTGGTGTCGATCTGGTTGTCCACAATGTTTTCCGCTCTCTTGGCCTCGAGGTAAAGGTTCGACCGCTTCTTGATCAATCAGAACTATATGATATGGATGAATTCGAATACGAATTTGACAGGGACTGCTATGGAGACGAGCCTTGGGAGTTTCCGGAGTATTTGCCTAATCAATGCCGTTGCGGTTGCGAGAGTCCCTATAGTTGCAGCGGTGGCTGTTCCCCATATTACCCAGACTTCCCGCCATTCGAGGAATGGAAAGCGAGGAAGCAGCAAGGAGATCTGATTGGCACAGAATTCCGGGAACTGCAGTTTTGTCGGACTGGCGAAGATGCGCTCTTTCGTCGCGAGGAGAAGGAATCCGTGAGTACCCTTAGCTTACCGACCTCCTCAAAATTCCCTTTTACTAATATCATTCGCTCAAAGGAGCTACAGGAAACCTGGGAATGGAAGAAATACCGTAATATACAGTGGCTGAATACACCGGAGGAGCGGGAGAAGGGTAGTCCATGGGAACTCGCGCTCCATAACATTCCTTACACCGACGATGAAACGTACATTGAGAGGTTCTACTCTTACGTAGTACTCTTGATCCGTGTCCCGAAGATGGCGAAGAGGGATCTCACAGTTAATGCATAACATGGGAACGAGTTCTTGTAGAAGACAAGGGGACGTGATATGCCGCTGCTATTGATGCATTTTGCTGGGCTGACATATGCGCACACGAGGTGGAGAAGCATGTACCATCGAAATAACTACCTTACCCGTCGCTTGAAAAATAATACCAATGAATATATCATAACTGTTTCCACTAGTATTAACTTTCAACTTGAATTCGACAGTGTCATTGCCAATGAGCTTGTTGGACGAGAGTCGGCCACCCCAATGAAACCTCGGGGCGAAGCAAGAAAATAACTCATAACATTGCTGCAGCTAGGGAAGCCACGAAAGGTCAAATCTTTCCCGGGATTGTAACGCAGAAGAAGATACTTTCGTCTACAATGTGGACATGACCAAAATTGTAGGAAAACGCCTCGCTTAACACAGTGTTCGGCATTAGGTTGGACCTATGAAACTCAACCTCTGCCTTGACACACAAATTTCCACGGAAGCCTGCTTTCGCACCTTCTTTCCTTTCACCTCTCCTAAATTCGAAAAGAGAAATACTGCTTATTTTGCTCGCAACCTTCTTCCTTTGTCGCTTACCTGAATCAACTTCGACAGTGTCACGGCCTGGACAAGCTGTGGAAGTGGAATGTGGTGTGTTTTGGTATAAATATGTATGAATGATGGTGCCCTAAGGGCGGTGAAGAAGCTATATATATGCCTGTGCGCAGCACGTGACAGACAGCTTGACTCCCTTCAAAAAGTGAACCCACTTCTGACCCACACGAGTTCCTCCTAATCCCCCTTCCTTCCCGTTTGATCACCCATATCAACTTCGAATATTGAGCGCTGGCGAACCCTTCCATCGCCAAGGGCAATTCAAAAGCAAAACTTCGGACGCCGGCGAGATGGAGGTCGACTCGGATTCAGAGTCCACGCCCTCCCGCTCAACAAGACCTATGAGAACCCTCCTCTAGCAAGCTGAGGCCGCAATTCTAAAATAACTTGGAGACGCCATTGGTGAGCATGAATTAACCTCGCGATATTGCTGCGGAGGTACTATATCACCTTCATTGAATGCCACAGTTCCAGGAGAATTGTTGAACTAGCTAGCTTGGCTAGCATCCATTCCTTCCACTCCAGGTTCAATCACTAATTCAGTTCGTCCGATTATTGGGTATTACTTACGTACGAGCACACCAATCGTTTATTAGTATCGCCATTCGATTACGTTCCGTAAACGTACGTTCAGGAATCAGATTGGTAAATCGTTCCCACCACCAAGTAAGTGCGGGGTAAATCACATGGTGGGCTGGAAATCAGGAATATAGCTAGGGAACCCATTCCCTCTGTTTTTTATGGAATCACTCTCCTGTATCTAGTCAAAACTAGTCATTCTACAGATTGTCAATCTCCAATATATCGATTTTCCACAGATAAATCGATCCCAGTTCTATAAGAATCTCTCCAAGAGCTTGCATCTGCTGCTTATTCCAATTACTCCACGGTCAATCAATTCACGCTGCGTTTCGACGACTCTTTCATGGAGGGCATTTCGAGACGGGTCACCTTTCCCATGCGCGCGTAATATGTCGGTGTCAATAAGCTGGATCACCTTCTCAAAGCTACCCAGAACTCGGCATGTGGCAAATTCGGCATCCTTTCGACCAATCAGTTCTCTATTGACTTCGATCCCCATAGGAGCGGTTTGTTGGATGAGGCTGCGCAAGTTTTGCTGCCTGGCTTTGAGTGCGAGATGTTGAAGTGCAGACCGGAACATCGCGGCGTTAGAGCATCAGCTCCAATTCTCTTAGTAAGATTGGTACCTATTTCCAGGAAACATACTGACAGAGAATGCCTATAGGTTGTACCTGAGTCCACTGACAAGGTCAACATTCCTTTCGGTTACCACCCGAAAACACCAAATTCACTTGGCAAACTGCTAATCTGTCTCCCACGGACCCACCAAGGTAAGTGGGCTTGCTTGAAGTAACGGTTCTCTTCTGGTTATATCCAAAGGTGGAAAATGGGAAATCATCGAGAGGCATACAGAAGCTTCAACCACATTCGAATGTACCAGTTCGAACTTGAACCATATACAATGGGCCGCTTGTTTTGGATCTTGCCAGTATTCCATTTATACAGTGCAAGGTAGTCACCAACTTATCTTTTTGTACAACTTGGAGGTCTCGGAACGGGTTGGATGCCTTCTTCGCAGGCCTGAGCCTGGACAAGGCTTGCTCGCCATGCCATCGTGCTTTCCTCTTTACGCTAGCATCAAGCACATGTTGCAGAATCCTGGCTTCATGAAAGAGGGTACGTCTCACTTATTCGTCCCACGTTCATTTCTCCAATGCTAAGATTATACATAGGGGGGAAACTAGGCTTCTACTGTCGATATCCATACTTGCACACAAAACCCAAAACCCAAAACCTCATGCCTTACGAACTAAAAGGCATCGATATAATATTGTCTATAGCCTCTTTCGCTCTCGTGGTCTTAAAGCGATAGCAGGGCCTCTGCTCAATTGTCCTGCAATGAAAAAAAGACTTGAACACATGGATGAGCACGAATATGAGCTCCAGAGGGATGACTATGACGAGGATCCAATCGAAAACATTCGTCTGGCAGGTTTTCCCCGGCCAATAGAAATGGAGATATTATTGGAGTTTAAGCACGAAGGCCACCTCCAAGATTTCCCTGGTTTTGAATGGTGGAAGGAGAGGAGGGACAATGCTAGTAGAGTAGGCGTGAAGTTCCATCCACTCAGATTTTGCGAGACCAGCCCGGAGTCCACGAACGGAATGGAACGAATGGCAACGGTATGCAAACCTCAAACTTCATTTCCTATCTCCTGTCATTCTAGATCTGTCTACCCAATTTCTTCTCTAGGAGTTAGGAGAAACTTGCATCTGGGATAAGGTCCACGACGTCAAGTGGGTGAACACGCCGGTTAAAGGAACTGGGGAGCTGGCGCTCATAAACTTACCGGAAATCGATCGAGAAACCTTGGGAGAGTCTAACGACAAAGAACGGGAAATAGAAAGGCATAATTCTCATGTGGTTATGATCGTGTGGGTCCCAGAATTCCGTAAGAGAAATCTTACGGGAGCATAATCTGAAGGGAGATGCGAACTGGGAGGAGCAGCTTTCTTGGACGGTTCTTCTTTGCTCCGAAATGTGTGGAACAATGAATCACAACACGCCTGGTTGACTAGCAGCTAGGGATCCTCAAGAACTCAGTGCCTTTCGTTGTTGCCGCCTTGATTTACGTAGAATATTCGAGGCGATCGGTTCTTGTAGCAGTAGTTTCGGGATTTAGCGACACAGCCTATATTTCGGGTAATCTCCAGGCTCTTCCTCCAATTCAGCGCATGCGCGCTAAAATTTTGCTTGCCATTTCATTGGCCCTCTCCGTTTGCCTCGCTTAATTTTCGATAACTCACCGAACAAAGAGCTTCAAACATCATTCTTCCTTATCTTCTAGGGAACTCTTCTTCGCCTCTGATCAACCTGCAACAGTGTGAGATAATGCTTGATCATCTCTGATTCCATTGCCGAAGTCCATCAGCAGGCCAGAATCCATGATGGACAACCAAGAGAGCTCGACGCCGAGTGAGGCCGGCGAGGCTGCCCTGACTACACCTTTGGCTGGCCCCAGCTCGCAAGATGCAGCGGCCGCAGCGCCGCCAGGGGCTGAGAATGAAGAGAACGAGGATGGTGGCGAGAATGAAGGAAGCGAATGGGACGACGAAGAAGATGATGACGATGAGGATGTGAGTGAAGACGAGGAAGATGACGAGGAAGACGAGGAAGATGACGATGAAGACGAGGAAAGTACTTGTGGCCATGAAAAACGACAGAAACGCAAGAAACCCATGCCCTCCCTCCTTGCATTGGCTGAGAGAGGAATTCTGAAGCTACTCACGAAAGCCGTCGATGGCCAGCGAGTGACAGCTCGGTACTGCTGCGGTGGTCGCGTCCGAAGCCTGCCCCCTACAACACTCCCATTTCAAGACGAGAAGCCACGAAAGGTCCCGAGATTAACCATGCGCTGGGATGATGCCGAAGATAGACGAGGGAGGAAGATTCACTTCCCGCATAACGACTCGCCTTCAGGCTCAAGAACCAAATTAGATACCCAAATCGAGACGCTGGCTGATCGGTGTGGAGTTACTGGCTTATTGGATGACTCCCGGTTTTCGATCAACTTCGATCCACATTTCTATGGGATCATTGATGTGATCACACAAGTTTTGTTGCCTGGATTTGAGTCGGAGATATTGAAGGGTGTGCCTGAGTGTCGTGGCATTAGGGCAAAGCTTTCGAATCTCCAGGTAAGTATTCATTCATTCTCGAAACGGTCTCGGTGATGCTGATCAGAGAAGGTTCGCTCGGCAGGAGGAACGGCTTATCGGCCTCTCCCTGCCCATCGATCATCCCAATACTTTGGCAAGCTCATAGTATGCCTGCCGTATCCTCATAAAGGTTTGCTTCAACCCCGACCGATCCTTTTCCTCCCTACTGACTCAAGCAGGTGGGCAATGGGAAATTTCAAATGATGGCCACTCATCCACAATCGACTTCAGCCACTCAGACGACAACACTACACTCCATTGGGCAGCATTTGTAGGCGATTGTACCCACGAATGTCAGCCTGTTGAGGAAGGTCACCAACTTGTGTTGATATATAACCTTTTTCTCTGCCAGCGGATTGGGGAGGTTCTCCGCGATAATTCAACTGCGGACCCTACGCTCTTTCCACTCTACACAGGTGTCAAAGAGATGCTGGAGCATCCTGGTTTCATGAAAAAGGGTGAGTTTATCTTCCAAATTCTGCATGCTCCTAATATTGACGGGTATGATTTCAGGAGGCGTGCTCGGCTTCTACTGCCAGTACCCTTACCCTCACGTGTCTTCCAACACAGCCAAACAACTTCCGTCCACCCTCCAAGGCGTCGACATGGTTGTTTATAGCGTCTTCAAATCTCTCGGCTTGAGCACCGAAATTCTACCCCTCCTCGACCTCTCCCCACTCGACGAAATGGACGAGACAGAATACGAACGCGAAGAAGAGTGCTACCACAGCGACCCGTGGTCTTACGTAGACGACTACGACTTCGGCGACGACTTCCCAGAGTGCGAGTCCTGCTACCCCGACTTCCCGACTTTTGAAGAGTGGAAGGCAAAAAGACCAAGAATTGACAGGGTTGGGACGAAACTCCACAGTCTGAGGTTCTCGGAGTCGAGCGAAGATGCGGAGTATATTCGTGAGGTGAAGGAGGAGGTGAGTCCACCCTCGTAAAGTAACGGTAATCGCTCATGGGTACAATTGCTAATGGTAGAGATAGGTCCTTGAAGATAGTTGGCCCTGGAAGGAACTCTTCGATGTCAAGTGGCTGAATGAGAAGCCTTCCAAAGGCACCGGGGAACTGGCACTCGTCAATACATTTTCTGGTTATGGCGAGGGGACGGAAAAGTTCTACTCGCATCCTGTGATCTTGATTACGGTGCCGAAGTTGGTGGATAGGGAGCTCGCGGTTGCGAAGTAAGGTGAGATATGGCGTTGCTGGGACCCCTAGATTGTTTTGAGCGCCTTGCAGGGTGGTTGGGTTCGCTTCGTAGTAGGAGTTGGGATGGGTAGAGCGGGTATGACTTGGCGATTTTGCTGGCAATGAGAGCGAGGATTGGGAATATAGTTCAGAGTATCCCTCGCCATGAAAGTTATGATGGCAAAGCGAAGCCTAGAATCGGACGTGAACTTCCCAGCGAGGCGCATGCCTCTTCCCGGTCTTCACCAGAAAGAAAGAAAAAGAGGGGAGGGGGGTGACTCTCGTACTCCACTTCGAGATTTTATTGCACATTGCTTCAATGCTCTAAAATTTCTCGATCATCGGGATTTTCCCCGTCCTCTTCACCTTCCACGAGCCACTTTCTCATTCTTGAAATCAAGAGTGAACGCTGCATGGAGAAGTATTGTTGCACATCGCATCTCGCATTCTTAAAACGTTCACTTCAAATCGACGCTACCGATTTTCTGACTAGAAAGCCTGAGTCTCGACTTATTTCGTTGCACATCGCATTTTTCATAACGAGCTCTTGACCTCAACTGAAACTCATGGACTCATCGATCCTTGTTGTCGGCTTAGAAGTTTCATTTCTCGATCTCTACTCCTGAGGTTATCAGTTCAAAGTGGTTTGTTGCTCAACTCCAATGTTCCAAAGCAGGTTATGCGGACGTTGAGAATATCATTAAGGTCGAGAGTGAATCTTGGGAATGAGGGATAGATTCGTTGGTGCATATCGCGCCAAGTTCCCACTTTCGTTAGGGCTACGAGATTGCTTTCGAAGTGAATTTCAGCTACCAATGTTTGGTGTCTCAAGGTTACCTGAGGATTGGTAGTCTCATAGTCTGGGATGTTACTGACATTGAGATGGCTTCTCTGCAGCATCCTTGTGTGTTAGCGCTCGGCATCCCCCACTCCCCAGTATCGAATAGAAGTATTAATAGATTTTAGAGTTTTAATAATGCCTAATACGTTGCTTGTATATACTTCAGCCTTTCTCTCAAATCGGATTTCTTAATATAGGTATAAGGAAGTTCATATATAAGAGCTCTAGTTTTGGAGCGTAAGATAGGCGAGGCAATTATTGCATACGAGGCAAAAGTTCTAGGTACTTAATCGCTAAATTTTCAGGCTCTCTTAAGGCCGATACCCCCAAAACGACACCCCTAATTAATACCCTGGAAGGTATTATTTTATATTTTCCCGTTTTACTAGAGGTTAACAGGAAATAAGTATTGCCATATGCCTATAAGACCCTAAATATTTTTTGACTAATTGCGATATGACCAAATTTGTCTGGAAACGACGAAGACGACATGCTATTAGAGCAGAGAATTCAATATTCGCGAGGTAAAATAAACGCTGCCGCTCGCAGCAGCGTTTTTAAGAAAATTTGGGTAGTGGGAGAGGGCTAACTAATAAGGATCCTATGCTTAATTAATTACCTATTAAGTAGCCTCCTTACTTCCTTTACTACTAATCTTTATATGGCCTTTCTAAATATATTCTTTTATCTAGTAAGGAATATGGCTATTCGCGTGTGGCACGTGTTGGTCACGTGTACCGCCAGAAAAAAATTCTGCGCCCTGGCAGCGTTTATTTTCGGAATGAATACAATACGCGTATTAGGTATTAATATACATTAATTTGCACATATTGTATACCACTTGCCACTGCCTGCTGATTTCGGTTAGTGTGGCCCCCATTCGACACCCCTAATCGGCACCCGGGGGGCAGGTGGAAGGAGGTCGTTTTAGGTTTTCCTGAATTTCCGGAGCTGGCTTAGAACTAACTTCTGCCTGGTACTGCTCCCAAGCTCTATCTCAGATCCTCAGGCCATAATCCAAGAGAAGTTTAGGATAAATATGTATCCGATCCGAGATTATACTACTTCCTCATTAATACGAAAGGCCTGAGGCGTTTCGCTTTCTTTAGACATGTCAGATTGGGTAGTTGGAAGCCTTGATTTCCTGATTATCGAAGGCTAGGAAGCCCCTTAATAAGTACAAATCTACTAGTCTTCCACTAGTCCCCCAGCCCCTAGCTGCCTTAGACACTATACTTGGCACTCTTCAATAAGTAGTATCTTACTAATTGTTTTCCAAAATATGCCGGCCTCGAGGCAACTTGGAAGTACAAAGACAACGGCATAAAGTATCGCGAATATAGGGCATTGGGAGACTTTTAGGCTCTCCAGCATACAGATTAAGGTAGTAAACTCGCTATAAGACCCTATATTTCCAGGCCCTTCCCCTAATCGTAGGCATTTATGCCTTCGGCAAGGGGTACCACACCTTTTCAGGGCTTCTCCCCTGTACTTACAAGGGAGTCTTTGCTAAAGAGGCCTATCCCTTTGTCCGGCGAGACATAGTCCATGCCAGCAAGGGGGCCTGGCTCAGGGCGAAAAGGTAATAGATAACTAATAAGTTTATTAGTAAAGGTACGACTTTATAGTCTGAGCCAGGCCCCCTTGCTAGCATGGACTATGTCTCGCCGGACAAAGGGATAATAGTTGCTTCTTTAGTATCCGAGTACTATAGTTGCTCTACTAATAGTGCTATAATCCTAGAAGATCTACTTATCCCATGCGAATATCTTATAGCGCCTCTTTACGTAGATTTAGGGAGTACTACCTAGAGTTATAGGGGCTTATAGGGAGCTTCTGCCCTAAATTCACACTCTGTAGAGTGTCGAGGGTCAAAATGCCCTGTATTCCCGATACTTTATGCAGTTGTCTTTATACGGTAGTTGAACACATTGAAGTATATATGGCATAAAGAGAAGGAACAACAAATTGACTAGGAGTTCTTGAGCTCGAGAATCGGTCACGTATATATACCTAGGTACGGAGATCGCGGCATAAAGTATCGGGAATACAGTATATTGGGATTCTAAACCCACTATAGCGTGCAATAGTAGAGGCTGAGCCTGCTATAAGACCCTGTAACTCTAAGCTATATGCCTTAAAAGCACGCTGTGAGACATTCGCAAGGTTGTGGAAGATCTTCAGGGGTGTTACTGCTGCTGGCAGAGCAACTATAGCGCTCGGACGCTGTAAGGAGGGCAATTATAGGGCTCTTTAGCGAAGTAGCCCCTGTAATAACAGGGGAGAAGGCTTTAAAAGGTGTGCCACCCCTTATTAACTGCTTATAGGGCATTTTCAGGGTAATAGCCTAGAAATATAGAGGCTTATAGCGGTTGAGTGTGCCAGAAATGAGCTCTATAGTGGATTTTCAGCACAAATGCCCTGTATTCCCGATACTTTATGTCACGATCTCCGTATTGAATGGACAAGAGACAACATTGCCGCTTTCGGTAGGGACCCATCTCGCATTACCATTTTTGGCCAATCTACGGGAAGTGCGTCTGTAGACTTTTACTCCTACGCATACGCAGACGATCCTATCATCGCTGGTCTGATTGAAGAATCCAATACCGCCAACGGATTCATACAAACACCTATCTCTGTTGCGGTCGAGAACTGGTTTACTATAACCTCCAAGCTCCACTGTGGTGGCGCAACATCGAACGCAAACGAAGTCCTGGCATGCATGCGTACCAAGGACGTCAATCTCATTCTTGCGAGCATTCCAGCAGACACTACCCAGTCTGTCGCCACAAAAATTGGGCCAACAATCGACAATATCACCGTCTTTCCGGACTACTCTGCCCGCAGCGCTGCCGGAAACTTCATCAAAATCCCCCTCCTCGTCGGCAACACAGACTACGAAGCCGAACTCTTCGCCACGCTTGCCGGCACAACATTGCCAAAGGCTGTATGGCATGCCTTCAATGTCCACGTCTTTACCTTTGCTTCAGGAGTACGAGCAAATATCAGCGTGCAAAGCGAGATCCCAATGTGGCGATACCGCTGGTTTGGCAGTTTTCCAAACACGAGGCTGACGAGTTACCCCGGAAGTGGCGCCTGGCACGGGAGCGATGTTCCGGCGGTTTTCAATACGGCCCCGTCTGCTGTTGGAATACCTGCTGACACGGATGCTGAGGTGGCGATTGGGGAATACATAAGGGGTGCTTGGGCGGCGTTTGCTAAAGCTCCGAAAGCAGGGTTGAAGAGTTACGAGGATGGATGGCCAGTGTATGTGCCAGGGCAAGAGTCAAGACACGCTGGTTAGGTTAGGATATCAAATTTTTACGGGGCGGACTTGGAAAGTGCAGAGATGTACGATGTTGGGTGTAGGACAACTTTTTCTCTGACTGGTTCTGACGTGACGGGGACGCCGACGAGTTCTGGGGGACCTTCTCCGACTTCCTCAATAACTTCGTCAGCTTCTCGGCAAGTGCTAGACTTGATTTGTTTGTTGGTTCTTATTCTCTTGTTTGTCGTTACAATCACTTCTTAGATACGTATGAAGGCGTGGCTTGTCGAAGGGATTGAGCAGACGAGGAGTGCGGCGAGCAACTGGCTGGTCACAGTGCGCCGTCCGGTGAAAATGTTAGCAGAAAAGTCTCTCAATATACTCCCTTAAAAATGGCAACAACTCTATATATTTGTTTGTGCTTCCTATTTGATTTCTAAAACACAGTAAATAGATTGCGTAAACATGTTCAAGTCAGCTTTCTACAAGCAAGCATCCACTACCGTGATACCTAAAGAACTCGTCAGCCTCACTTTGTGCAGTTCCTCCATGGGTTTCCAACTTCGTTCCCAATCTAGAGTTTCAAAGCAATTGATGCGACTTGAGCAAAGCTACATAAATTAATCACATGGAATTTCGACTGAACCCCTAGCTCGCTTAATCGCCACCCACTTTACTCGGAACACTTCAAAAGATTTGAGCATTCTCCCAATTTTTGAAGATAATGAAGTTAAAACTTGCAAAAAGAACGCATTGCGTATCTTATATGAGTCAATTTCCTAAAATCGATGTTTGGGAAGGTCTTCAATCTTTGAAGTGTTTTGAACGAATCGTGGAGAGAAGTGATGGTCTCAAATTGAACTTGAACTGAGTCATTCAATCAAAAGCTAACAACCTTCTGCATTAATCGAACAACTTTTGATTTATATATGGCAAATGTGGCCCCAGTTCCTGAGGGCATGGACAAGAACTTTAAAGAATTATGGCAGTTGGTGAAGGGTTTTGGGGCCATTGAATTTGGTTTAGCGATCATTTCGGGCTGACCAAGATTCGATTCTTGTATATGGAATGCGTATGACAGAAAGTACTGCCGTACTGCCTCTGTACTTGGAGAAAGCAGCGTGGCGTTACGTACAATCTCATATTTCATTTCACTTTCAAAATGTGCAAGCCTCGCCATGAATATTAAAAGCGACACTGATTTTTATTCCCCTCTCTCAAGGCTGGACAATGGCCTAGACTCCGAGAAAATAAGATGTAAATATTACTGAGCTCCCAAGGTTTTCAAACGATATTGAATGTACAGGACCCCGCAAGAACATAGGGAGGGGAAGCAGTGAAATTGCCCCGCTGGTCTTGGTACATTCGGCACCTTTGTTTATTTCGACCACGAGGGTATTATCCATGAATGGGGAGGTGAATGGCTGATATATAAACTTATAGCCTTTTGATGTACTTTGAAATTTGCTGTTCAGTGCCTCGCAGCCTCGTCCTCCGCCTCGTCGCATAGATACAACGATTACTTCTCAGCCTAACTTCCATCCTCAGACAGACCACTTCAATTTTTGACTATTAACCACCAAGCAGCAACCTTCCCAAGTATTTAGCCGCGTTATCAAGAAGCCATAACAAAGAGGTAAAGACCCTGTCTCTCTTCGTTATTCGATCTTCGTTTGCTGTAGATCGACCCACCATTGCACCGCTCACCCTCTCGTTCGTTCACGGTCGCGTCCTTTCACTGTCTCTTCCTATCTCCAGTTGGTGATGTTAACTCTTCACCACCTCTTTGTCAACCTTCCTTTGCAGAAGACCTGACACCTTTCGCTGATCTTTCACAGCAGGGCCCCTAGAAACTCCAATCGTCTCCCTGGCACCATGTCTCATTCCGATACAGAAGACCAACCCGAGTCAGACGATCAAGATATGACTGAGCAAATATCCAATATGTCCTTGGTAGATTCGGAGGATGGTCCATGCTCAGAGTGTGACGGCAAAGGCAAGAAGCCCAAGAAGGAAAAGAAGTCGCTCCGGCAGCTGGCAGAGGACGCTGTCTTAAAGAGGATCTCCGAATCCGTTGCTGGAGACTCGTCCGCATCTCGGTACTGCTGTGGGGGAAGTCTTCCGGCTACACCAAAATCCAAACCTACCACATTGCGTTGGGATGATCCATCTGAGGAGGGCATATCGAGAAAGTGTCATTTTCCAATGGATTCCGACTTGGCGGCGAACAGAGTTGTAGCCATTGTAAATGGAATCTGCAAAGCCTCCGACAAGGATGGCAACCTTGATGCAGAAAATTTCTCAACCAACTTCGATCCGCACGGGAACGGAATCGTAGATATCATTTCTCAACTTCTGTTGCCCGGTTTCCAAGCTCAGAAGCCGAAGAAACGACCAGAACATCGTGGCATCAAAGCAACTTTGACCAACCTCCATGTAAGCTCCTCCTTTCGCCTCTTGTAATCAGTCGATGGTATGCTAATATACTGAATTGGTAGGTGTGTTCAGCTGAAACTGCTCCTGTCTACAAAACCCGCGCTGTCTCGCCACCCAAGTCTGACTTTGGTAAGCTTGTGATCTGTCTTCCACATCCACACGAAGGTAAGTGTCTGTTTCTCACCCCTTTCCTATCATTTTAACTTTACGTAGGTGGCAGACTTGAGATCTTGCGCAGCCCCCGGTCTACGTCCTTTGACTGGAGCGATTCCTCTTCCGGTGCTAGAAAGAAAAATAACATTAAATGGGCAGCGTTCATTGGAGATTGCGAATTCCGAATCTATCCCATCAAGGAGGGACAGCAATTCAGCTTGGTCTATACCTTATCCCTGACCCAGAGCATTGGTAGGACGCTCGACGCTAGACCCATCATACAACTGGCCAGTCTTCCTTTCTATCAGGCCGTCAGAGAAATACTCGAACAACCGGGGTTCATGCGCAGAGGTTCGTATAATCAATGCTTTTCAGAACCTTGAACTAATGCCCTGATCTAGGAGGAATAATTGGATTCTACTGTTGTTACGGATATAACCACACGAAGGAGCAGGCAAAGAGGCTGCTTCCTCATGGATTGAAAGGTATTGACATGGTGCTATATCAAACTTTCCATAATCTTGGTATGCATGTTGAAGTGTTGCCACTCTTCGACACAACTCCGTTGGATGCTGCAGATGAAGCACTATTCGAAATGGAAGCCAAGATCTGTAGAGACGATCCCGAAAATCACATTGCAATCGATTTCGATCACTGGCAATGCACGAAATGCCATGAAGGCTACCCAACTTTGGAAGAATACAGAGAGTGCATGAAGAATCGAGAAGATCAAATCAGCAGAGTTGGAAAAGAACTATACAGTTTCCAAATTGGAGAGAAGAAAGACAAGGACTACCGATTGCACGTACGAGGAGGAATTGATTACCGAGAATGGCAACGAGAGCTCGTTGATGAGGTATGTATCTCCGCGCTTTGTGGCAGCCTTGAAGTTCACTTGGCTAACATTTATCACACAGGGACTTCGGAAAGACTGGCCTTGGGCGGAGTACAAGAGTGTTCGCTGGTTGAATCAACCTCCTGGCGAGAAAGAAGAAAACCGAGATCTGGCACTCTTGAATTTCATTGAGGATGTTGACTCGGAGGACGAGCTATACCACGGAGAGGGCGTAAAATTTGAGACGTTCGACTCACACCTGGTCATACTTGCTCACATTCCAGCGCCGCGTAAGAGAAATCTGAAGGGGAAGAAATAATTCTGGTTGTGAGCTCTCTTTATCGCATCCTCAATTCCTTGCTATCGAGGTTGATGTTCAACAACCCTCTCCTCCAACGAACAAATAGAAGTATGCTGCCGATGTGTAAGGATTAGTTGCTACTTTTAGATTCTGTAGAAATTTCATAGACTTCCCTGTAATCTTGAAGTCATCTTGCTTGAAATTAAGTGCTTTCCGCCAGTCATGTGATGTTATTGCGTGCTTATCTTGCCGGATCTCGCTTCATTCTCTTCGGACTTCTCTACATCTTCAATACCATAAAACCATCTTATTTAGCTCTGTTGTCCATTCAGATTATTGTAAATAACAACTGGGATGCACAACATTGCCCAGACGGGAGGAACACTCGTGTAACCTCTCACAGGAAGGAGCACACCAGGTATCTTCGGACCGACTTCGCTTCACGTCAACACATCTTCTGCTTCTCAATTCCCTTCAAGCTTCACCACCAGTTACCGACCCTGCAAAATGAATACCCGAGCAGTCCCCGAACCTGAAAAGTTAAATATAGCGATACTCGGAGGTGGCATTGCCGGGCTCAGTCTCGCTATAGCTCTCGCAAATCACCCACTTATCAACACAACCATCTACGAGAAAACACTAGAGCTAAAGGAAATAGGCGCTTCCATTGCGCTTGGTCCGAACGGTCTGCGAACGTTGGAGAGACTCGGGTTGAGTGATGTTATCGATGATGAGAATGGATTCCGAGGGACGGGCACCGCGGGGATGGTATACAGGCATTGGAAGACAAATGAAGTCATCGGAACGCATGTGCATGCTGATGTCAAAGAATGGCTGCACCAAACAACGAGATTCCATCGAGGACACCTGCATGGGAAGTTGGTGGAGCATGTTCCGAGAGATAGCATAAAGTTGGGAAAGAATGTTATTGGTATCGTGATGGATGAGAAGGGCGTGACTGTCAACTTCAAGGATGGGAGCAAGGCGTGGGCAGATATTGCAATTGGTGCCGATGGACTGAGATCGGTAATTCATATCAAATCAGAAGCCGGAGCCAGAAATTGACGCATCGCAGGGAGTGAGGCAGGCCCTCGTCCCAAAGTTCAAGCTGAAGTGGAGTGGTTTGACAGCCTTCCGTTCTGTTTTCGATAAATCATTGGTCGAGAGCATCCCGGACCTCCCTGAGGATTCTGCGCATTGGTGGGGTCCAGATACAACCTTCTTCTCTTCCAGGCTGGGAAGGAATATGTATACAGTTGTTGGCGGTGTTACAGTTGACCCTGATGATCAGGATGCAAGATTCAAGGATGTGTCTTGGGATGACGAGGGCGACGTGGAAGTGCTGAAAGAGGTATACAAGGTGAGTTTGAGCAGATATCGAGAGAATGACAGCTGATCATATTGAAAGAACTGGAATCCTGTGGTAAAAGCATTGACGAAAGTAACACCCTCGATTCGATACCATCCCAATTTCTCATGTTCAGCACCGCTGGATACGTGGGTCTTTGGAGATAGAATAACTCTAATCGGTGATGCAGCGCATGCTCATGGCGGAGCTTTCGCGACTGGTGGCTCACTTGCAATCGATGATGCTTATGCGCTCTACCTCTCACTGAAATCCGTGTTTTCCCTCTCAGCAGCCCGAAAACCACCGGCACAAGAGATCAGAAAAGCATTGAAGCTGTACGAGACCACCCGCAAGCCTCATGCTGAGAGGCTATTGAAGGTGGTACATGCTGGGAACACTGCTAAAATCGATATGATTCGAAATGAAATCATCGAAACAGACGAACAGTTGAGAGAAAGAGCTGCTAGAGGATCAAATACTGGCTGGTTACATGAACATGACGTCATGAAAGCATTTGATGAAGCCCTGAGATTTAGCCAAAAGAACGATGGAAAAGAAGAGGTCCTCCCGAGATTGTGAGCTCAGCTGCATGGGACGAATAGCCTGGAGGGGGCGCAGTGATGAAACATCGCCGGCGAAGATATAGACAGTTTTAGAACGTTCCAATTCATCGAAATCTGGCCAAGCAGATGAAAATCCCACCCAGCGATTCCTCATCTCGAGAACTACACAAAGAACTTCGACATCTTCAACTCGAACGAAGTTATAAGTTCCGAGAATTTTTCCCTCGTCTTAACTGAATAGTCCCACTTGGAATGATCGATTAAGGCTTCAAGCCTTCAACGAAAGTCCACATGTTCTAATATCTGTAACTCGCGTCAAAACACAATCTCTAAGGAGTGAGCTTACTCTTAAACTAAGATCAAGCTTTCCTCGGCATCCTTGGAATTTATCTCATGATTGCAGAGCCACTTAGTACAAGCTGGAAGCAATTTGTAATGTTCTGCTCCTTCTTTACAGAGGATGGTTAACTGGAACGATCAGGGAGTGAAAGCAGTACATGCCGAGAAAGTAAACCTAGTGGGTTGATGTTCGGGGGTCTTACATCTTTGATCTTCCCGGGTTTGGAGGTTAAGGTTACAGGCATCTGGACTGTTTCTGAAGGCATTTTGAAAGACATTTTGAAGTTTCTGAGAGGAAAGAGCTTCTAGTATGTTTGGGACGGTCATGTAATTGAGATATAAAATTCTCGTTCCAGTACTCTTGTGGGCTGTTGTCTAAACCCCTTTCACATCAGCATAATATTCACAGCCCGTCTCATCCCTCAAAGACTTTCACAGAGGCTCTATGAAAGCTCCAAGCATCTCCACATGTAAGCGAGTGTAAAATGACAGTCGAGGATAAAGGCATCTGCGTGAAACAGTGAAGTGCGGGTGCTGAGAACACTAGTCAAGCCAAAGCAGGGCCTAGCAAATCGAGAAACGAGCAGAAAGCCGGAATGCCCTTTGGGAAGTATACGTTGAGCAAGTGAGAGCATCTCTAGACTACAGAAGAAGAATGTTGGAGGTGGCGGCTGCCTCCATTTCTGATACCCCGAAAGGGCCAAGGGATACGTCTACGTCCGCACTCTTTGCCACGAGGTTTTAGAACAACGGCTGGAGAACTTTAGCTAGAGGCGAGCAATTGAATCCAGATGAAAGGGAGTTGGACGAAGTTATCGAAAGTACTATTGGGATAATGTCCCAGATTTCTCTGCCACGGAGTACCTGGAAAGGCCCTCTCGATTTTGTTGGGCTACGAGGAATATTTTCGGCTTTCAAATCATGATAAGAAGAGATCCGTTCTGTACGTCTAGAATGTTGCTAGGTTAAAGGAGATTTGGCGTCTGGCAAATCCCTTGTCAGAGACGATGGGAGATCATGAAGATTTATTGCAAGTAGCCTAGCTTTCCGTGGTCTTCTCTGTCTTTCGAAAAGGAAACAAGTGAGATATGAAGATAACGGCATAAAGTATCGGGAATACAGGGCATTATTTTATGAAGGCCACTAAATGCCCTGTAAGGTCTTACTTTATTGTCGTGGTTAAACAACACCTATTGGCTGAAATCGACGCCCCGAAAGCTCGGTGCGCTGCACTGGAGAGCCTCGCGAGAGCCTCGTCACATGGCAGTATCATATTTGATCCTTCACGCAACCATAACTTGACTGGCTCTCAACCTCTCGGCGACGACTCCATCAATCCATATCAAGTTGTCTATCATGGTGCTGCTGTCTCCACCGACCCGGACTTCCAACTGGGAGTCTCGCTGTCCTACGATATGAATACGGGAAGTCGCACTGTTACTACTAGCACGGGTCAACCAACTACCGATGGCTACATGGACCAGTGGTTCGACTTCGACTCTTCAACCTTCCCCTCGGATCAAAGCCACGATACTGGCCCATTCAGTCCAGCCGTCGGGGGAAGCTACGGAGTATCAGCTGTTGATAACCCTGCTTCCGCTTCTGGTGGTTCTGGGTCTGCCAGGGTGGCAACTACTTCCCGTTCCCTTCACAACTGTTCGGACTGCATGCAGTCCTTCTCCCGTCTCGCTGATCTACGCCGTCATGTTCGCGCTCACAACCCAAATGCCACTCGGTTCCCCTGCACTCAGCCAGATTGTGGACGCGAATTCTTGAGGATGGATAGGCTGAGCGACCACCGTCGCCGGAAGAATCATTGAGTATTGAAGGACGATGAGCTTGTGGTGACAATCATGAGACTTGTCCTATGACTCGGATTATACTTGGAAAGAGTGGAGGAATTGCTTAGTGCAGAGTGAAGCGAAGATCGATATCGAAAAGCTTTTCTCTTACTTCTTTTTCTTATCGGGCGATGTGTTCTGCTCTGTTTTGTTCCTGTTGGGTCATTTGAGATATACTGCCGCTCTTTCATGACTTGTTTTGATTTTCCTTCTACTGTCCCAGACTCACTCCTTTCTGTCTAGAGAGTTCATTAGTTAAGATGAAATCTGATGTTGGTTGATCTTAGACTCAAAATGCACTGATGAATCTGATATCATGATTGGATATCACTACATGCCCAGTTGAACAAAGTATTGTAGAGAAGTAGTAATATTTGATGTCGGAGAAGTAAAAAAGTGGTCACAAACAAAGCAAGGAGGCGGAAAAGGGGAGTGAACGGCACCAGTCCCAAAGAAGGAGATCACCCAACCCCTGAGCCACTCCTCGCACGGACCGTCCACCTCCAACGCGACTTCGAGAAAACGAAATTCAAATGTCAGCGCCCAGCCCTCCCATTGCACAACAACGTGAGATACTGCTCTGAATACAATTGCATTGCATACTCTCCAATGAATCCAATACAAAGAAGGAGCACGAATCTCACTGGTTGACCGTCACCCCTCCGTCCAATCCCCGACACGCAACAATGGATCAAGCAGACATCCCCGCCCTCCTCTCGCGCCTCTCCAGCGATGAAGATGCCATGCGCAAGATGGCAGTCTTCAAGCTGCAGTCCTCGATCAACGATCCCTCCTTCGCAGACGTCTTCATCTCCTCTGGCGGCCTGAACATCCTGCGGCGACTGATCATGACCACCGGCGGAAACACTCTCGCATACTCCCTACAATCTCTGAGCCGGCTGCTGGAAGTCGATATGGGATGGGAAATCTTCGAGAGTTCTGGAGCAGGCGAACTCGTCGAGCGGGTTGTCGAATTGATCGTCACACATCCTTTAGTCAATATTCTGCGAGGGGCAATGTCGATATTAGTAGCGATCGTTTCGCATCCGCAATCCGCTCGAGGAGCGATACGAACGCCTGGGGCTTTTGGATTTCGAGCCTTGAAGCCTGCGGTGGCTGTATACCCGCAATTCTTCGAGATGGTGGTCTCGCAGCTCAATTCGGCAGACCACGCACTGTGTGCGAACGCTTTGATGTTGCTGAATGCTCTGATGAGAGATGCTATTACAACCGACACTGGAGGAAAGGAGACAATCGGCAAAGTCGGCGGAACGGGGGAGGAGTGGCCGAAATTCATAAAACGTTTACAAGATTTGGGTGTCATAAAGGCGGTCTACATCTTGATGCAGAGCTCGGCGTTGCAGGACTTGGCACATCCGCTGTTGGAATTCCAAGCTCTGACAAAAGTTCTGTTGAGGAAATGGAGAGATGTTAGAGTGGACTTGGAGAAACCAGATCATAGGAGGGCGTTGAAGGGATTACATCTTGCAAGTGCGCCGGAGAGGAAAGATATCCATGTCAATGGGACACCGAAATTGGACGAATCAGATGGGGGAAAGAAGGGAAGCAGAAGGCATAACCCAGAGAAGTGGCGACGATTGGGGTTCGAGACTGAGAGCCCTGCATGGGAATTCGAGCCTACCGGTTTCCTTGGAATGATGGATCTGATCGACTATGTGCGGAAACAGGAAGATGGATTTCAAAAACTTCTCCTAGAACAATCATCACGGCCGTTACACGAAAGATGTCCAATTGCACGAGCGAGTTTGGCGGTTACCGCGATATTATATGAGCATTTCGAGGTGGACAAGTCGGATGTAGAGGATGCGAAGAGCTACCTTGTGTTGGATGGCATGAAGAATTATGACAAGATCTTCCGCCCTTTGCTTCTGCAATGGTCGAGATTACATACGGCGAGTCTGCAGTCATTTTTCAGATTATGGAAGTCTACTGGGGCAGAACAGGACGACTTTGACAAGGTGGCGGAGTTGGTCCGGATATTGATCGAACAAGTTGTCGGGGAGGCATCAAGAACGAAGGATGTGCAGGACGTTGAGGAGGAACTTTCAGAATTTGACTATGGTCGTCTGCGAGAACTCCAAATGGAGCTGCTAGAGTTGACGTTCGAAGATGAATGGGGGCAACATCTACACCAAGTTCGAGACGAACTGAAGCACGAAGCCTTGCAGTTTGTCAAAGAACAACGAATAAGATGTCTTCTTCAGGGAGCTTGGTTTCCAAGAACGGTCCAGCACAAGAACTCCACTGAAGACGGACACTCTGGGAGGAACGGAACAACAAGGACATCTTTGACTGCCTGGCGCTACGTCAAGCTCTCCCACAATCGTCGATATCTGCACTACTCGGACTTCGACGCACAAACCAAGCAGGAGCCGCTTCTCGATGCTCTGCCGGAAAAGATTGATCTGAGCACCATCAGCTCAGTCGTTTCAAATGTCTCCGCAACAAACGACGAAACCTCCAGTATCTCCAGCACGTCCACCCTGAAGACAGCCTCGCATGCACAGAAACCAACTTCAACAACAAAAATCACGATCAACAGCTTTGTCGGAGGAGACAGCAAATCCCTAACAAATGGCGAGCCTGCCGAACGAGCAATCTTGACGTTGATGCCTCCAACGCACAGCCTTGCTTCTGAATGGCTGGATGGTCTTCTCATGCTGTTGAACCAAGCACCCATCACGGCAGAGACAAACAAGTTGGTTACTTTGGTCAGTGAATATGGGTTGAAGATTAGGTTGCTGAACGTGAGGTTGGATGATGGCTTTGCTGGCCCTCCCGAGGGTGCGGGAGTGGTACCGGATCGAGAGGGCTTGGATGATGATTATTATTATGAAGTATAGATGGCCGTGTTTGATGTTAGCGTGTTTCTGATACCCCCGGATTTGGTGGCAGATTTTGTATTCTAGATGTTTAGCGTTGTGTTTAAAATGTTCACAATTTCACCGCACGCTCTCTTCAACCCTCTTTCCATATTTTCCAAGTCGCTTTCCAATTCAAGGTTGCAAGCTTGGCTGACAGATCCATATTGCAAAGCTTGTACAAATCTGTAAGATCCCAAGTGGGATGGATCCTTGCAGACTTCTGCGAATGATTGTCCACGCATTTTCCACAAAAACTCAAACAGAATGTCTTCAGCTCTCAAAATTCCCAATGTCTCACCTCTTTCAGAAAAGCCTCGGCAGATTCCTTTGGTGGTGCGCGAGGCTGAAAGATTGCCCAATCACCCCGAGCGTAGCGTAAACCCAAACCCATCGCGGCCTCAGGCTTTTTTCGGGTGCGTCAAATCCTATGAGCATCCTGTATCACATTGAGCCTGCCCAAGCCATGTACATAATTGAGGAGCTGAACCGCCCGCTTTGCCTTATGACCTTCTAGGACGAACACTCTTAATATATGGTCCGTCTTTCCTAACTTCTCGATTTTGATCTCGTCTTTGAAAAGCACTTATCATTATCGTCAAACATGTCGAGAAAATCAGGCATCACTTCAGAGCTGATTACCTTGAACGAAGTCGATGTCGAGCAACGGGGTCACGACAATTCTTACCTCGAGAATCAGATTGTCCAAAGCCTATCATGGAAAGATGTCACGGTCGTGGTCCCGGACAGAGAAACCAAGCACCCGAAAGAGATTCTGAGTGCCATCAACGGTGAAGTTGCTGCTGGTAAGTGAGCTCATGCACAAATCTTGCAGCACTTGCGAATGGACACTAACGATTCTTGATTTCAGGAGAAATGATGGCAATCATGGGACCTTCGGGATGCGGCAAGACAACCCTACTCAATGTTCTAGCCCAACGCGAAGCTTCGGCCAAAGCCAAAGTTTCTTCGACTATCTGCATCAATGGCCAGACCCCGTCGGAGTCAGCGTTCCGGAGACTCTCATCATACGTTGAGGCTGGTGATGCTCTTATCGGATCACTCACCGTAAAAGAGACGCTCTCTTTTGCAGCAAAGTTGTCTCTGTCAGGAGTAGTGACAGCCACAGAGAGAATTCGAAGAGTTGACGAACTTCTCCAATCCTTTGGGTTGACGAATCAAGCCAGCACCTTGATCGGTACACTGATCAGGAAAGGCATCTCAACTGGTCAGAAGCGTCGATTAAGCGTTGCTGCTCAACTCATCTCAGCTCCGAAGATCCTTTTTCTTGACGAACCGACTTCTGGACTCGATTCTGCAGCAAGCTATAAGGTCATGTCGTACGTTCGAAACGTCGCCAAGAAGAACAAGCTGATTGTTATTGCTTCCATTCATCAACCGGCCACGAAGACGTTCGAGTTGTTCGACAAATTGCTTCTCCTCTCTGGCGGCAAGACTTGCTATTCAGGATCAATTTCTGGTGTCAAGCGATACTTTGACAGCATTGGGTTTGAGATGCCATTGCAGACCAATCCAGCGGACTTCGTATTGGATCTCACCAATATCGACTTTGAGAGCGATGGAGACGTCGCTCAGGGCAAGATCTCCCAACTCCAGGAGGCCTGGACATCATCACCCGAAGCAGTCGACGAAAAGTCGAGAATCGCGACGAAGGCCACGTCGACTTCCGAGCCCTTGATACTGGCCAGTGAACCCATGCACAGAAGGTACATGACGGCATCCTTGATCCTCCTGCACCGCTCATTCATCAAGAGCTACCGGGACATTGTGGTTTATGGCATCCGATTCGCAATGTACTTGGGTCTCGCAATCATGATGGGCACAGTCTGGCTGCGTCTCCTACCCATCCAGTCCAACATGCAGCCACTAGTAAACTGTATCCTCTTCGGCTCCTGCTTCATGTCCTTCATGGCCGTCGTCTACGTGCCCGCCTTCCTCGAGGACCGGACCGTCTACATCAAAGACCGCGCCAACGGCCTGTACGGCAGCACCGCCTTCATGATCTCCAACTTCCTCATTGGCCTCCCCTACCTCTTTATAATTGCTTTCGTCTCCTCGACTTTTGTTTATTGGATGACGAACTTCAGACCAGATGGACAGGCGTTCTTGATTTGGGTTATGTGGATGTATCTCAATCTTGTGGCGGCGGAAAGTCTGGTGGTTTTGATGTCTTGTTTGTTTCCGAATTTCGTCGGGGCGTTGGCGTTGACGGCGATGGCGAATGGGATCTGGATGAGTTGCAATGGGTTTATGGTACAGCTTCCGGCGCTGAATCCGTTCTATCGAAATGTGTTTTCATATATCGATTACCAGGCGTATGTTTTCAGTAAGCCTTATTCTCATAGCACTTTACTGATCTCTTCTCTACTAATCTGATGGCAGGTGGTCTGGTGGTAAACGAGTTTGGATATCGAGTATACAAATGTGGGGAGGGGCCGGATGGTTGTTGGTGCAGTTGGGATACCGCGTTGAAGGACCAATGTATGATTGATGGAGTTGGGGTATTGGAGCAGTACGGGTATCAGCTGGGTGGGACGTCGAAGAATGTGGGAATTACGCTTGGTATTATCTTCGGGATGAGGTTGATGGGGTGGGCTGCGATGCAGTGGAGGAAGTAGGAAGTCCTCCAGCGATGCTTGGCCCCTCTCTTTGGATTGAAACCTGATGTTTAGGAACTGTTAACCAACAAGCGCTACCATAATTTGTCTCTCTAAGATACTGAAGTTAGTCACTTTTTGAATTCGCTGCTCACATATTTCTGAGAGAAGGACCTCGGGGGCTGCCGACTAGTGTCAGAGGCAAACCAGCACTAACTCAACTGCCCCTCGCAAGACCAGTACCTCCTAGTTACAGATTATGCGTCATTGAACAACATCGAAGGCATTTCCCACTGCTGAATATCTCTCCCACCAGTTCCTATTTTACATATTCTTTGTATTCTTCCCCCAACTGTCTCCCCTTCCCTTCACCCCTAACCAGCAACTTGAAATGCAAGTCCACGTTTACCCCCTCCATTCGTACTCCCAAAACTAATAACAGCCAGGTCCCTCCTCACAACCCTCGGGCTTCGCGCGCTCTCCCCAGTAGACCCCAAACCGCCAAACTTGGCGGCAGCCTTCTTGATCTCGAATTTCATCCCCGCATACGCACTCCTCTCCACCCGGGGCATCAAACGCCATTACAATTTCGACCACAACTGTTCACCTCAAGAAGACGTGTCAAAATATAGAGAGGCCATGGTCAAGGAAGGAAAGTTGGATAGGAAGACATTGGACAGGGTGAAGAGGTGGGAGAGCGCGCATGCTAATGCTGTTGAGGGGTATAGTTTGTTTGTCGGTGGCGTGGTGAGTCTTCCTGAATCCTAATGAAGGTCCGGAAGTCAAGTTTGACTAATGGGGATGGCGATAGTTGCTTGCTCTTCACGCTGGTGTCCCGGTCCAGAAGTTGAATGGATTGATGGCTTTATATTCGTTGGTCAGAGTGGCGTACGCGGCGAGTTATATCTTGATTGAGAATGAGGGGGGTTCTATTCTGAGGACTTTGCTTTGGTGGACTGGGAACGTGAGTTGTATTTCTATGATGGTTATGGCTGGGAAGAGGCTGTAGGGGTTTTGGCACATTGCAGGAATATGAAATCATAAACAAAGGATGAGTGGATGGATACATTTCTGTGTGGCTGGTATAGTTTTGCTTTGTTTTGAAATGTGGTGGCAGAAGTCGATTAGCGAGAAATTTCCATGGGATTTATTGACGGGTGCCTGTTGTAAGCGAGGTAGCCTGGGCTTGCATATGCCCAGCCGGCAAGGCCCTCCGCCGTGTAACCGCTTTTACAGCCTCACCTAATCTTTCAAAACATATCTTGACCCCTTCTCCGGCAACAACACAGTCCATCATACCAAAATGTCTGCCTCCAGCGGATCGATCGCAATCATAGGCGCAGGCTCAGTGGGAGCAGCCATCGCATACTCCCTCCTTCTGCGCCAGGTGGTGGCGGACATCATCTTGGTTGATATCAATCACGAGTACTGCCAAGCACAAGTCGAAGATCTCTCCGATGCCACGTTTCTCTCCAACGTCCGAATTCGTCAAGGAACAGCAGAAGACGCCCGGAATGCAGATATCATCATCATTTCTGCTGGTGCCAAGCAAAAGCCGGGCGAGACGCGGATTGGACTGATCGATAGGAATATCAAGGTGCTGGAGTCGGTCACGAAATCTCTTCAGCCCATTCGCAGCGACGCGATCCTCTTGATTGTTGCGAACCCGGTTGACATTCTTACTTTCTATGCGCAACGGCTGTCGGGCTTGCCGAGGAATCAAGTCATTGGATCTGGCACTATGCTTGACTCCATCAGGCTGACTGGAATTCTGGCAAAGAAATTGAAGGTGGGTGTGTTTCAAACGAGCGCCATTCGTCTTTCAGCAGGCTGATCTGTCACGATGCAGGTCTCTGATAGCTCAATCCATGCGTTTGTCATCGGCGAGCATGGTGATTCACAATATGTAAGTCTCCTCGACTCGGTGGGAGTGAAAGTCAAGTATTAAGCTTTCTCCAGGTTGCGTGGTCCTCTGCAACTGTGCATGGAAGACCTCTACTCAAAGCTCTTCCATTAACTAAGACCGAACGTGAGGAAATAGCAACTACCACGAGAATGAAGGCAGATTCGATCATCAAGGTGAAGGGCTTCACTTCGTACGGTGTGGCTGCTGTGGCAGCGAGAATGTGCGAGGCTATCATCTTTGATCATCGGAAGATTTTGCCACTGAGCCATTGGCAGGAGGATTTGGGCTGCTGTCTCAGCTTGCCGGCTGTCTTAGGAAGGAAGGGTATCTCGCCGTTTCAAGTGGATTTGGATGAGACTGAACAGCAGTTCTTAGTGCAGTCTGCACAGGCGTTGAGATTGATTATCAAAGAGAATGACCAGAATTCATAAATTCAATTTCCAGGATGACAATGAAGAATTTTCATTCCGATGGATGAGCGACTCCAAAAGCTAGCTCCTCGATCTTCGATGTGCAGAAAAACCCGAAAAGAAAAAGTGTGATAACATGGTGCAAGAGATGTTAGGTCTCTTTGAAATTCCCAAGATCGCCAAAAGAAGAGATAACGAAAGTCACGGAAATTCAGATCGCACTTGGTTGGAATTCGGCGTCAGTGTGGTGCTCCTTCACATGGTTCAACAGGTCCTTCTTCCTGAAGAAGCCCCTGCTGCCGATACGGCAACAACCAATTTCTACACACGGAAAAAGGCTCTCATCGTGAACTTCACGGAGGTGTTTGGTGAACTCGCCACGAGTCAGGAATGTCCGATTCATCGCTGGTTCGTCTGGCAGGGAAGCCATCCCTCTGGGATGCGAGCAGGTCTCGTGAGGACAGCTGAATGTCGCCTTTCGTTTCCGGGGTGACTGTTGAGAATGGGCCGCCTCTGATTCATCCACAGATTCCATATTGTGATAACCTCGGAGGTGTTGTGTGAGATGGTCAAGTCGGACGAATGCCCGTGGACCGCGGCGTTTCTTGCAGTGAGGGCAGGGATAAGAAACTTCGCGTTGAAAAGTCTGAATGTGTCGATGAAGTACATCGAGTCTCGAGAATGTTTTGCCACACCGACAGCGATATGGCGAATGCTGGGTCTCTTTCGCGTGGCATTCGAGGAGTGCTCGGTTAGAGAACTGCGAATCGCATTGTTGACAATATATCCCTTGTCCTGTCTGATGGATACCGTGCACGTTCGTTGAGATCTCACCCCCGTTCGGTTGTGCAGGCAGATTACTCAGGGGTTGAACAGAAATCTGCCCGACCCAATGTTCATGGTTGTGTGAGATCGAGTCAAAAGAGCTATAGAGACGTTTAGCACATCTCAGAAATCCTTTAACATTATGCCCAGAAGGTATCCACTGACCTCACAGGGTTTGGATCCAATGGTGGAACACAGTGAGGGTAAAATATGGGTTTCCAAGCTTCGACACCGAGAGCCTGCTGAGTGGTCCAGCTTTGAAAGCCTCCTTGGGGTATGAAAGGAGTGGTAATGCCCGTGAAATTTTCATTCCCAGTGCCGCTCATACCCGAAAGGCTATTTGCAAGACCGCCCCAGGCGGAGTAGGGATCGCTGATGGCCGCTGTGGCTGCCCAGGCCAAGTCACGTGACTCGATCTGGGCCTGTAAAGCTTTCCCTCAATCGCCTTGTTGTGTAATATTTTGAGAGGAATTAGACGTCAATTGATTGGTATCCATTAATACATCAAAAGGTGCTGTGATTGGGAGAACGCTGTACTGCCAATCTCGTGCAACGAAGCTTGATCGAGGGTCAAGGTCTGACATTGTGATTTCAGCGAGTCCTGTACGAAGTAGCGAAAGAGTCAATCAGGCTGCAGGGAAGTTGCGTTGGTTGATTGCCGATATCGGCGGAGTTGCTTTGTACTTGGTAGAACCGTAGAAGTATGACAAGGCGGGGCTTGAGTAGTGACTCCCCAAGTCCCCGTGTGGGGTGCGAGGACTTTTACTTAAGGGAGCGGATGGTCTGGTGGTTTGGAGGTGGGGAGTATCCGTAACCTTACAGACCTTTCGCTACTCCTTCTCCACCAGCTGCATTAAGCTAGCCAATAGATTGATCGCGGTTTCTTTATGATCCCCCATAGCAACTTTCGGGCTGCCTCGCCAGATAATCCAGATTCCAGCATACCTTCCGCTAAGTTACCGCGTATCTAGCGCACGCTTTACCAAAATATAGGGGCACGCATTGCTATCCTATAAGATATATACTACTAAAATTTAGTACATGCCTTACTAAGTTTTGGCATATTATGCCCCTTTATCTTATTATAGGATTAGTCTTAGTGAGAGTTCATCGGGGATCTGGGAGGCGATAACAGCCCCTAGTATATATATATATTATAGAAGCTAGGTATAAAGAAAATAGTTAAGGATATACTTTTTGCGCGTGACTTAGCGAAAGGTATGCTAGAATCTGGCGGGGTAGCCCTATAATTTAGTGAAGCGTGCGCTGGAGGCCTGGAAGGCCGTGGGCTAGGTGGCGCTATTTACATTGCTGGCTTAATGCAGCGGGTGGAGAGAGTATCCCTTCGTCTGGCGAGACATAGTCCACGCTAGCAAGGGGGCCTGGCACAGGGCAAAAAGGCAATGTATGACTAACCAAAGCTATGACTTTCCAGTCTGAGCCAGGCCCCCTTGCTAGCGTGGACTATGTCTCGCCAGACGAAGGGATATCAAATTAAAAAATAACACAGCAGGGTATATCAAATTATCCCTTCGTCCGGTGAGACATGTCCACACGCTAGCAAGGGGGTGTGCCGCACTGAACAGGGGGGGCTCGCCTGGCACAGGGAGTATAATAATTATATACCTTTGCATATAAATTTATTAGTAAGCTATATTAGTAGAATGAAATCGCATCCAGTACTCCCCTACCTTATACAAGTTTACCTTACAAAACATATAATCCCCAATAGAGCGCTTTGCCCTCCCTTCTATAGCTTTCCCAAGGACCTTTTAGTATCTTTATTTATATAAATACCATATACAAGTGCCTCTAGGGCGCTTATCCCAGTAATACAAGTACGGGGCATCGGGATTAAATACCCTCCTTCCCCCTAACCCCACTCGCAAGCTCTCTAGCTTTGCCTTCTCAGAATACCCTAATAGCTTATAATAAAGCTCGATTCTGAATTGCAAGTATATAAGGGGACGTTCCTCTACTATACTTAATTAGTAAAGCCTATAACCATTTATATAGGCTACCTCGATTAGCTAGTAAAACAAGGGCCACCAATTCCTAAAGGTAGGCTTATGACTCTTATATACTTCCCTGAATTGGTTTGCGAGATCTACCCCTCCCATATATTAATTATAATTATTAATAAAGCTAGGAATCTAAAGCTCCTTTATTAGCATTTCGCCAAAAACCTCCCGTATAATTCGCCCATTTATAGATGTTTTTACAGGACGTTTTCTTTCCTTTACTCGCTAGTCCTCCGCTTTATCTATAGTATGGATATTACTTAAAGCTAAGATAATACTATTATCTTGCCAAGCTAAGTAAAGTATATTCTGAACCACTACTATAAGTAAGGTATTCCATTCTAGCTTTATAGCAAACCGATTTTCGATTACCGATAATTCTGGTAGAAATAGCTTATATAAGCGAGTAGTACCTACTATACCAAATTTATAGGCTCATAGCTCTGAAAATAAGGGTATAGAGGTAAAGTAATTATTGAGGTATATTATAAGATAGCGGCATAGAAGAGAAAGTACCAGATTTCGTATTAGAGAACCGGTATTTATAAGGATTAGATAGAGAATCATTTTTTATAGCCCCTTCTCTTGCAAGCTCCAAGTCCAATTATATATATATCTATAATCCGCAAGCCCGTAGATTTTATACCCTTATTTAATCGGCTTTTTAGGCATTTTATATATATATAAGGATCTAGAATAATAATTAGCGGGATAGCAGGGTAATAAAAATAGGAGAAACATACCTGCCAAAGTACCGTACTATAAGTTCGTTAATACTCACTTTAGATAAAGGCGAGTAATATACTTAATAAGAAGCTTATATAGACGAAGCAAGAGGTTCAAGCTTATATTACTAAAGCTTATTATTTAATAAGTAATACCTATTTTGCTTATTATTTATAGAATACGAAATATGGTAATACCGCTTAATTTGTTTAAAGCGGCAGAGTAATATATGGCTTATAATTAAGTATAGAGGACCTTTATTAAAGTCTGAATTCTAGTATATCTTAATTTGAGGCTCATTATATACTCCCATATATATAATAGTACCGAGAAATACGTATAATTCCTCCAGAAGTAAATCTGTCTATTCTCGTACCCTCTCCTCCTTTATATATAGCCTTTATATACTCGCATATCGATTAGTATTTATAGTAATTATCTGGAAAAGCTTAGGAGTAAAGAATAGGCTAAAGAAATTAAACGGGTATAGTTTTCGTAGAAAATCAGGAGGTAGAATCGCTCTTACTAGCTGTCTAGATTCGGGTTGGAAAGGCTCGTAGGAAACGTCTATAATTAGTCCAAGTTTGTAAAGTATATTTACAAGTAATTGGGTGGTTTTTAGCCTATTAGGCTCTGGTGGTGGGCTAGAAGAATAGTCCATTACTGGCTATAAGCGTATACTAGAGGGGCATTACTGGATGCGATTTCATCCACGCGATATAGCTTACTAATAAATTTATATACAAAGGTACATAATTATTATACTCCCTGTACCAGGCGAGCCCCCCCTGTTCAGTGCGGCACACCCCCTTGCTAGCGTGTGGACATGTCTCACCGGACGAAGGGATACACCCCCCCTCCTCCCCCCAAATGTTTGCTAGCGCGTATGTTTTGGGATCCGTTCCGCTGCCACAGCGCCCGTGTTTCTGTGATCAAATATACCGCAAAAGTTCAGCCAATTAATGGCCTTGAATGAAAAATTTGACGATATGATTTGCTAAATAAGTTCGCTTAATTGCGCACAAGCCAACACGGGCGCTGTGGTAGCGTAAAGGATAGGTGTGGGTAGAAATCCAGGGTGCTTACAGTAACCAGTAAGAAACTGTCTTCAAGCTGGCTGGGAGCCACTGCCAGGGCAGAAAGCCTTCGGGAATCTTCTACGTACACCCTTGGTTTGATACACAGACCAATTTTTGCCCTGTGCAACATGGCTGACCAGGTCCTGAACCACTTAATCATCCTCATTGAAAACTGGGGCCGTGGAGGCCGCGAGCAATTATTTAGGGCGGGAATGAACAAAAGAATAAAAATGCGACAAATGAGGTCCAAGCGAGAAACAACACAGCACACTGCTCATGCAGTCTTCATTTCAGTTAGGGCGGAGGTGCTTTAAATTCGCCCTCCTCTGCAAGTAACTTGCAGGTGGCGAACCAGTGTCTGCTAAAGCGCCCCTCCATGTGACGCACTCCTCCCTTCAAATAAGGCGAGGCATTGCTGGCCTGGCATTTGAAGGAGAGGGTGTAACCAGCAAAAGAATCGGCCTGACTGAACCTCCACCCTGTTCAGGACAAATACGGCTCGACTCCCCGCCTGCTCTGGTGTGGACTAACAAACCATCAATCCATCAGGTCAGGGTTAGGTCATTCAGCTAAGAAAAAAGGACTACCAAATCTATCCATCCCTGCACTGTCACAGCTGGTGGTATCTAGACAGCTTCGACACACCTTCGACCCAATTCTCCGCACGTTTTGACGGGCTGAGAAAATCGTGATATGAAGAACAAACATCCGGAGGCCAACATTTCTGATCCTCGACTTCAATTCTATAACGTCACCCTGCAAGAGCTAAGTGTGATCTGAGATCGCGGACTCTTTCATGCAAAGCCTCTGGAAGAAGACGGCACCGTGCCGCCCTGCTTCACCAGAATGGCACTTGCCCATTTGTCTCTGGATGCCCACCACAAGCTCTCCCAATATATAGCTGAGAAAATAATACAAAACAGAACGTGAATTGCAACCAGAAGTGCTTTGGGAATAACACCTCGATTGGATGCTGATCTCGAAAGATGGCGATGTAGGAGGATCCCCCGAACTTCGGTAGCGCCCCCCCCCTGATTCAGTAGCGCCGCCAAGAAAAATCCGAGCAGGGGACTCGCATGTTTTCACGCGAAGCTTCCTCTCGTCCATTATTCCGAATCAACAATGCATGCTTCCTGCACTTCGACTTCTTTCTTTCGATGACAATGGCAGGACCTTCCCCTCACAAACCTCGGCGGAAGGTCAAGAAGACGAGTAATGGCAGCGAGGTCTCCTCCGTCGCGCCGGCCACAGCCAGCCGCACAGGCTCGAGTCGACCAGCATACCCACTCGCAGCTTTCCTCTGGCCAGCGCGCAGCTCGGTGTCGCAATGGGAGATCCTGCCAATGATATTAATGGCGGTGGGCTTGTTCAGATGGGCAGCTGGCCTCTGGGGATATTCAGGTACGTCTACAATCGAATAATGGTGTCGAAGCTCACAACTTTCTAGGATTTCAGAACCCACCTATGCACGGCGACTACGAAGCACAGCGACATTGGATGGAGATTACGACTCAATTGCCTATCTCCCAATGGTACTTCCACGACCTCGAGTGGTGGGGACTGGACTATCCGCCTTTGACCGCATACCATAGCTGGGTTCTGGGCAAGGTTGGGGGATTCATCGATCCATCATGGTTCGCTCTGTTGACTTCGAGAGGGCTTGAAGATCCTATATTGAAGGTCTTCATGCGGGCTACGGTTATCGTCTCCGAATACCTCGTCTACATACCAGCTGCGGTGATCTTCGTCCGGCGGCTCACGAAGCTACAAGGTATCAGTTCGTGGAACGCGTCAATTGCCCTCACAGCAATCCTGATGCAGCCAGGCACGATTCTGATCGACCATGTACACTTCCAATACAATACGGTGATGCTTGGATTAGTGCTGGCTAGCATGTCCAGTGTACTAGCTGGGAGGTTCATGTGGAGCTGTATCTTTTTTGTCTTGGCACTTGGCTTCAAACAGATGGCACTCTATTACGCACCCGCAATGTTCGCATACCTCCTCGGAGTCTGCCTTTTTCCCAGAATCAATATCCCGCGGTTCTTGGGGATTGCAGTTGTCACAGTAGCAGCATTCGCCTTACTGCTACTCCCCCTTGTCCTTGGCGCTCTCTATGATGCTCACCGTGGCATTGATGCGAGACCGGACCTCCATGGACGGTTTGCTCCATTGCCCATATTCTCCGAGTACTCATACCTCATTAACTTCAAAGCTTGGTATTATCCTATCGTTCAACAACTGGCCCAGATGATCCACCGAGTCTTCCCTTTTGCCAGAGGACTTTTCGAGGACAAGGTTGCTAATTTCTGGTGTGCTTTGAACGTCGTCATCAAGCTTCGGAAGTACCCGTCGGAACTTCTCCAGCGGGCTTCTTTGTTAGCTACACTTGTCGCCATCACTCCGCCCTGCTTTGTTATCTTTGTCAAACCTCGGAAGGAATTGTTGCCGGTGGCCTTGTCAGCAACGGCATGGGCTTTCTTCCTGTTCAGCTTTCAGGTCCACGAGAAGAGTGTCCTACTTCCCTTGATGCCCATGACAGTTCTCCTGGCTGGAAAACATGGCCTAAGTAAGAATGTTCGGGCCTGGGTCGGCTTCGCCAACTTGCTCGGGGTTTGGACGATGTTCCCTTTGCTTGAGAGGGTCGACTTGCGCATACCGTATATCATTTTGTCTTTGCTATGGGCCTACCTTTTGGGTCTTCCGCCGACAGCTTTGGCCGTTTATAGCCAGGATGGCCAGCCGACTTGGGTCGGTTTTGCAACGACTACCATCCACTCCATCTTCTACTTGGCAATGGCAGCATGGCATGTCGCTGAAGGGTTTCTCTCCCCACCGCAAAGCAAGCCAGATCTTTGGGTCGTTATCAATGTCGGAATTGGCGCAGTGGGATTTGGGATCTGCTACCTGTGGTGCTTGTGGAGCCTAGTGATGGAAAGTGGAATTGTGGACATCTCGAAGGCGGAAAGGAAGAAAGTGAAGGCTCAGGGAGTCTCTATAGGTCGCGATATCTCCAATTAATACCTGGTTCTGTCAAGCCGTTACACCGAGATACCTGCCGCGTTCCTGGCCCGTCGCACAATTCCGAGGTGGCAGATACGTGAAAGCTCAACTGGAATGTCTCTTGACGTGTTAGATGCCGCCTTGTGAGTTATTTTCATCCTAAAGGGCCGCTCACTGCTGACATCCTCTGCGCTCCGCCGCTGGCTACCCTGGGGTGCAAGATCTTTGCAGCGCTCACTCGCCGAGGTGGGTTACACTTGCTGCCACTGGAATCGCTAAAATTCCCTCAGCCACAACCCTCATCCTGTTGGCCCCCACATAGATTTTTCCCGTCCAATCAGCTGCTTCTTCCCCTCTCCCGACCGGAGAGTTATGCACGCTTCAGCCCGCATATTAACTATTTTTATGGCTCGTACATGTGAGAAAAGGGGCTTGGTAAGATACCCAACCTAGCATCAGTACCAACATCGGTTTGAGTTGGAAAAGTCAAATCTTTGTCATTTCTGAACAACTCTCGCTTGTGGGGACTCTCTTTCCTTCGGAAACTGGAGGCTGGCAGCCGCCGGACAGGGCGCAGGAACCCTCCTGGGTAAATGCCACGGTCGTGGAATCGCGCCTCCTCAGATAAGTGAGCAGCCCTGAAGCCACGATGTTTGTGATTTGACGCCATTGCATGCCACGGCTCAGCCTTCGCCCGTGTATGCGACACAGCAACGTTTGCTCCCAGGTCCCCGCTGCATACTGCTCGCAGTACGCCTGCTTTGTTGTGGGGACCGATGGCCCGAAGAGGGCAATTGCTTTGTTCTCGACATCAGCCTACCGTCAGCTTTCTTATTTGGGAAGATAGACCTGGGCCATTCCTTGAAAGGCGCATCCTATATTACACCCAACTATTGCGAGCATTCTTCGATCAGACAATCTCCTCATCTTTCATCAGCCATGACAAATGATCTTTCCTAGATACCAAGCATTAACTAGAGCTTCAAGTTATTGAAAAGAGCGTCGGGATGTTGCTCAACATCGTCGTTGTATTTTTAACAGGCTTGCTTAGCCTAGCTTTTGCAGATACCACGTACAGTACGACTACCAGTACATTTTCATCGGCTGTCGCGACACATACCATTGCTGTCGGTGCGGTGAGAGGACTCCCCATCGTGGCTAGACTGTTTCACAATCCCAATGCTGATCATATTCATCTACTAGGGCGGGGGTGGGTTTAACTTCTATCCGCAACAGACTTATGCCAAAGTCAACGATGTAATTGGTAAAGTCCTCGTGGGGTTGGATGGTGGCCTGGCGGATCGAAGCGTAAAGCTAATTGAAAGTCAGAATGGCAATTCTATCCCCTCAACCATTCAGTTGTCCGATCATCATACGGGAATCAACCATGCATACCCTACGAGTGGACTGGCGGGCCTGGCGCGATTGGGTTTTGGAGTGGATTCATGCCCGTGGCTCTGGTGTTGAAGGATGTAAGGAAAGATCACATACCTGGAGGAAACCCAGCTGACGACTTGAATTACAGCCACCGAAGTTCCAAGTGACCGTCAATGATACCGCGCCGATATTTTATTACTGCTCAGCGCCTGGCGCATGCTTCCAGGGAATGGTTGGAGTCATCAATCCGGTGCGTGACCAATTGAGCGAAGAAGACGACGGCCGTGACTGACTTTCCCTCTAGAATGCAACGCAAACATTCGCGGCCCAAATGTCATTTGCTCTAAATTCAACAGCAGAATTTAGTCCTGGAGAATCTTTCCTGCCAGAAACTCTGCAGTCTAGCTTTTCGAGAACAACGACATACACGGGAGCAACCGCGGCACCAACAGCTCCTGCTGCTACGACAAGTTCGACAACCCCCGCGCCCTCCACAAAATCCTCCTCGTTCCCAACTGGAGCAATCGTTGGAATCGCAATTGGAGGCTTTGCTCTTCTCGTTCTAGCCGCCGCCCTCCTTTACATGTGCGGACGGCAAAAGACCATCCAGGAAATCTTGCGGCAATCGCAACTCCCAGCACCCACCCAGAACTCCTACCAACCCACCTCCCCCGGTTTGTCAGAGGCCAATTATCCAAACATGCAGAAGGAGCCGAGTATGGCAGTTTCCAGAGACGGGCATTTCAGCACACAGAGTTTGGCTCCACCGACGGAAAGGAGCATGAGCCCGCCAGTCGATGAAAGGACGGGTATGATGGGCATGCACCCACTGCACGCTGGCTCACAAGGATACCCAAGTCCAGGTCTGATGAGTCCGAATAGTCCTGGGTATCCGAGTCCAGTGTACTCTGATAATCTACGACATGGGATGGCAGACGTGAGGTGAGATTAGAAATGCCCCACTCCACTATTCTCCACTATTCTCAGCCCTACGGATCTCAAATTCGCCACGACACAGCTTGGCACCTCCCCCCTTCCTACTAAAATCCGCTAACTAATTTGTTTTATAGACCCTTCAATCCAAACGACACAGGCCCCCACGAACTCGCCGTCCCGACACCGAATACCTCGCCACATGAACGCAACGAGCATCGGCCCTTCTCGTACACAGATAGTGAGAGCGGCTACGCGCGAGCACCGTTATCACCTGGAAAGTCCGAGACTGGTACATATTGAGCGCCGCCCTTAAACCTTCTGTTGTCATATCATTCAAGTTGTGAGAGGGAGGCTCAGCCTTGCGAGGGGCTGCAAGGGAAATCCCTCGGGTATTCGAAGGCAGGGCGTGTCTGGCGTTTTGGGTTGATTTATTCGGGCGTTGGGCGAGCGGGTGGGCAATTGGTCGGTCGGCCGCACTGGACTGACTGGCTGAACGAAAATGGGACTGGCATTCGGGCGGGATGATTAAATGTGGAAGCTATCTAGGTTATTTCTGGAAGTGAGATTGAGGCGGAGAGAACAGATACAGGATGAGACGGAATGAACGAATGTTCGTGTAATTATTTATTTCTAAATCGGACTTGGGCAGACGAAAGGAAGGGAGCCACGACGGCATTTGAAAATTGTGGCCATTGATCCCTCCTTGGCGATTGTATTTCTTCATTTATCGGTGTTGGCATGTTCAGGATTGAGGTGTGGCTAAGCTCAAGTGAGACAGACGAGAGAGCCAGTCAAGTCGGCTTGTGGTTCTTTTCTGCCAATGCCATGCCGGATGACGAGAGCAGCCCTGTTTCACTTTCTATTTATTGCACTCTCACTCACCTGAAAATACTGGAAACCAAAAGATAACATAAGTGGTGTTGGTTTGAAGACGGGATTATGGTTATTTTATCTGATTACAACATATGCCACGTGTCTTACCCTTCCGTCATCCATCCTTCTAAAAGAGAGCCCTCCCGCTGTATGCAGACCCTTCCCAATCTAGCAGTGAACGCCTGAGTTCCCTCCTAGCATCATCAATCTCGGTATGGCTCCTTCCATTCATATTCAAAACACACTCATCCATCACGTAATTCAAATCTAGAAGACTTAAGCAGCACCACCGGCAGCCATGAAGAGCCTCTCCCGCTTCATCAACGCACTCAGCACCACCACCAAACTGCCCGCCGTAATAACAAGGATATACGTCTTGCTCATCGCACTCACGATCGCCTTCAGCACCTCCAGCTTGACGCCCTCACTCAGACTAGCCACAAACTGGCTGCCTGCCCCAGCAATTGCTGCTTGAATTTCCGCTACGGGAACGCCAGGCAAGATCTTCTGGATCCCGGTCTGAGACTGGTTGAGGAAGACGGAGTTGGCGATTGCCAGAGCGATCGTGACGCCTGAGACCTGCGCACAGGTGATGAAGCCCACGGCCGAGGGGATGAGTTCCGGCGCAACGACTGCTTGCGCCACGGAAAAGGATGCTTGTGCGAACATCCCCACGCCGAGACCGAGGATCACGGAATACCCGTAGACGCGCGAGATGCTGCTTTCCGTGTCGACGGTGTACATGAGCGCTCCTCCGATGACGGTCAGGATGCCGCCGACGGTGTACCAGGGCATGTACACGCCGTATGCAGACATAACCGCCCCGTTCGTGATGACGGCGAAGATCATCAAGAAGATCAGAGGCAAAAGACGCACGCCGGCTTCCAAAGCGGAATCGTTGCGCGTGAATTGGAAGAAGATGGGGATCATGTAGATGGGGATGAAGATGGCGGTTCCGCCGGCGGCGGTCATGCAGAACAGGATGAGGATGGTGCGGGACTTGAAGAACTCGATGGGAAAGATGCGGCGCGTTGTGGTGGTGAAGACTGTGTAGACTTGTTGTAGGCCGAGGAGGATGAAGAGCACGCCCGAGCACACGAAGAGCCCGATGATCTTGCCGCTGTCCCAGGGGTAGGTTATCCCGCCGAAGGAGACGGCCATCACGCCAGAGATGAAAGCACCGATGGTGAGGAGGCCTCCGAGGTAGTCCATTTCGCGGGCTCTGTCTGCGAGTGAGACGCCGGGACGTGGGTCCTTGTTGGGGAGCATGAAGATGTATACCGGGGCGCAGACGGCGCCGATACATAAATTAATATAAAATGCCCAACGCCAGCCAGCACTGGAATCAGTAAATGCTCCGCCGATTATTGGACCTAGCACAGTCCCCAGACCCCAGGTCAGGCCAGTGCCGCCTACATACATGGGCCGCTCATGCATTGTCGTCGTTGCTGCGAGGAGAGTCATGACTCCCACATACATTCCCGATCCTCCTACTCCGCAGATGGCGCGTCCGACGATCAGGGCGTCTATGGTGGGTGCTCCTCCGCAAAGTGCGGACCCGGCTTCGAAAAGGACTACGCACAGGATGTAGGTCCATTTCGCGTTGAACTGGCCGAAGATCTTGCCCCATACCAAGTTGGTAGCTGCTGCACCGATCAGGAATGCAACACTCAGCCAGCTGAGCTTGCCCACAGAATCAAAATGTGTGACAATGACAGGCTGGATGTCCGCAACGATGGTGTTGTCGAGGGCGAAGAGGAAGGTCGAGGAGAGAATGGCGGCTACTACCACAGCCCACTTCCACCCGGTTATGTCTCGAGGGGGAACCTCGTCCGCGTTTTCGGTTTCTTGCTTCTCGGTGTCGGTGTCCATGCCTGTTACGGAGGTCTTCTCGGACACATCTTGAGTCTCGTTGTAAGGTGCTGTCAGGAAATCCTTTTTGGATGTGTTGGAGCTGACTCCTTCCTCCTTGTCTGCATCCGAGATGGGGAGGTTTTCTTTCGAGGCCGTCATGATTTTTGGTTTCTCTTGGAATTATTGTTGCGACGTTGGTAAATATTGGCCGAGAGATTGCGGCTGAGAAAAGAAGATAATGTCGTCCCTATCCGTGGAACAGGACTAGGTTCGTGTTGATGGTAAGTGAGTGATAAGAGAGAAGAGAAGCCTCGAAGCAGAAGATACTAGATATAAGCTCAAGCTCTAGATCCATCAGTAATGGCGAAGACGTCGAGCTAGATATAAGGAAAGTCTGGGGGTACGCGCTACAAGTAATTCTTTTGATACGCAGGGGGCATGTGCACTTTCAACCTGGTCAGCCCGCCCAGAGACTGCCAAACTTGGGCAATGGTTGGTAATCATCCGTTTGACGCTTGACCAACGCGGACAACGTGGTCAGCCCGACCCACAGCAGATTAATACTGAAATATCTATTATCTTGAGCGTGTGGATGAAGAACTTGGAGATTGGGCCGCTAAGTCTGCGGCGTGGGGAGTGAGCTCATGCAGAGGGAAACGAGAGAAACGAGTTTAAGTGTTGAGTCAGCTCTACGAGGTCAACGCCAGTGGCCACGACGACGCCATCAGAAGTGTCAGGGCTGCAGGGTACGGACTTTTTAAAATGCCATATGGCTCAGGCAGGCTTGAAGCAGTGGGTCTGTGTCTTCCAGAATTTCCAGAAAAACAGCAAAGCAAAAGAAACGGGGACAAGTGCTGACTAGGGGGTCGGGGATTTCTTGGACCAACGCCTTTGATTGGCCCCATAACCCGACCGGACCTTGAGATTCGCAAGTAAAATACGGAGCAAGGCAGATTAAAATTTAAGTGCAAGGAATGGATTGATAACCCAGATCGGGCTGGTTGGGGGCCCTTCGAAGTTCGGAACAATATTTCTGCCGCGACTGGGCGCTGAGGCACCGAACTGGATAAGGTTGGGCAAGGCGGCTTCTGTATTGGCAATCGCCATGGAGATGCCGGACTTAGGACGCCTGGATTTTCTCCGGATATCGAGTCACCCCGACCAAATCTGGTGCAATTTGGTGGCCAGCTATCGCCGACGCCCGAATGCATATCGGATATTTGGGCGCTCCGCGTGTGGACATCTCGATGACCGATTGACGAGCCCATCAGCACGGCGCAATCTTCTTGACCGACAATTGTGATGACAGTGGTGGAAGACCAGAGCCGAGGCCAATCTTGGCTGCCAGACTGATCCCTCCAGCTCTTGGCTCACTGCGGCGTGGCTCTTGAATGTCAGCTTACACTCTCTTTGGCCCAAAGCTGGTAGCGCGGACTCGCCGACTCTCTCGGACTTCATTTGAGCGTGAGGCCGAGCAAATGGTAGAAGGCTTTGATGATGGTTGAGTCATTGATTATCCATCGCGATGTGAAAATATGAGATTCTTGGAAAAAGGGTTAGGAGAGTGAGGCTGAGGTAAGAGGAGAGGTGTGGATTTTATACGGCCTTGACCCCTCAGATGTCGCCCCTCATCTTGTGGCGAACCTCGGGAGTTCGGCAATGAGCCGTACCAGAACTTCTCTTTTTGCTTTGACCAACTAGAAAGTATGAGCATATGAAGGGAGTATATTTGTGGTGAGGCGTCAACTTCGGACAATTGAAGTACTTCGGGAAAGGCATGATTATATCCGATCGGCTTAGAAATAAGCTTCCCCCTTCCACCGTCAAGCATAAATTTACGAAGGCGGCGGGCATTAAAATCCGTCTAACTCGCTAAGCGAGATTTTGGGAAGTCTAGGGGCCACGCGGTTATAAATGTCTCGCAATTTCTCCCCAAATTTAATCGTTATAAAATTCTGGGAAAAGATTAACGTACTATTTTTCTATTATATAAAACTCTTGTAGAAAATTTTGGGCGTTGCGTTGTGGATTAGTGCGACTTTCCGAACAAGGCAATTTTGGTATTCTCGCGTGCACTCTGCAAATGGACGATTTTCAACGCCTGTCGCCTTCATACCCCTAATTAATGCTCCAGCGACACGCCGGATTCGGCATAAACGAAACAAATGCCCCTGAGTGACCACACCCTGGCCCCAAAATCACGCATACCTCTCCGTTCACTAAAAGACACCACGGTTGACTTTAGAAGGGTTGTACAAATAAAGATCTAGAAATACGATATAAAAAGGCTTCCAGAGCATATACAATGGCCTCAAATTGCAATTAATGGCCCGCTCTTTATTACAACGATGAATCGAACGTCTGAAAAGCTAGAAGGGGGATATAAAACTACAGTCCCGTTGTCCCAATGTACCCTGACCCAAACTCCCCGAGAGCCTTTGAGTCCATATGATAAATTACAATTTATTTCGAGCCTATATGAACATTACAACAAATAGGCTAACTAAGCCTCCGGACAGCAAGGCGTACATGAAGCTAAAGGAAGCTTGCGATTCTCCTCCGGTGAAGGTACCGGATGTCGCTTTCGCGGCCGAACCGGTGCTGGCTGCTTTGGCGGCGCTGTTGAGTGTCAACGACTTGGTCGGTACTGTCGTCTGAAGAATCATGGGGGGTGTCAGCGACTTGCTCGTCTTCTGTAAGACTGTGACGGCAGACTGCGGGGATTGGTTAGCTTTTCTTCCGAAAGCGAGCAGGCCGTCAAGAGTCAAGAGTCAAGCGGCTTGGTAAGACTTACAGTCTTTGCCAGAGTCGCAGTACTGAGCTGAGTTAAGGTTTTTGCTGCCGTTTTAGTCTTCAGTTTCTCATGTCAAATACTTCAAGTGAGAGATATTAGGGAAGTTCACATCTATGATAATGATTATGGAAACTTCAGAGATCACAAGTTTCTTTGCAGCATCGATAATGATGATTTGGACCTCCTCGATATTGATCGTTGACGGTGGAGCACATTGAAACTTCCCGGTGTTTCCAATGTTAAGTACGATATCAGTGATGATGGCTGTAAAGTTTTTGGCACCAGCCGGAATGAGGTGCATGTTGAGAGGAGGCGCCAATCCACTGGTATCCCACATAATATCTCGATTCTCCCACACCGACCATTGATTCGCAGCAGGCATCATGATCGTTGCTCGTGCCAGAGCTGAGAAGCCCAGACCTAACGTCGAGAGGAATGATTGACGCATCTTGGAGGGTTATAAGACTTTTGGTGTTCGGTCTGGGCGTAGGAGAAAATGCTGGGAAAGCGGTTCGACTTCAATGTAAAGGAAACGACGGTGAACTGGAAGTGAAACTAGGAGACAGGAAGCAGCAGCTGGCCAGCAGCAAAGAATGAATACCGAGTGTATCGGAAGAGATGAGAAAGCCGCAAAAGAAGGGCGAGGCTTGATGAGGCCACCAACTTACCAAAGAAATATTCTTATATGTAGAAGATAATTCAGACGATTCGGAACTTCTTCTGTCGGATGTAAATACTTCCATCCCAAGAGAAAAGCCCTTCCACCACACAATCCTGTTCTGTGCACATGAGACGATCCTGAGTGGTCACTGTGATGGTGGAATAGACCGGGGAAGGCCTCAGAGCATGAGAAACGAGACGTTGAGACGACGTAGTGAGGACGAAAATAGGACCTGCCAGGGCAATTAAGCTCAAGGAGGATGATCTAGCTTCGCAAGAGCGGAGAGCAGAAACACTGAGTGACATAGCGCCAGCCTTGGATCGTGCGGCCAGCCCTGTGCAGGCCATGAACAGAGATCGGTACAGGGAATCAGGTGGAGTGACGCGGTCTGAAGATGTGATGAACGGGTTGAGACGAATAAGCATCGCCGTTTAGTCTCACAGAATGAAATACAGTTTGTCTGTTTGGTTGGCGATCTTGAGCCTCAAACGTCTTCGGGCTCAGGTGTGGAACTCGGCAGCAGCACAGACATACGGGTGAAAAACAATATAGAATGGGGATACCTACAAGCAAACGATTAAATCATGAACATTCGGTGACATTCCTTCGCCTGCCATCCCACTGTCGGGAGAATTGGAGGAGCAGACAGCCAAGTTGGCGATGCTGAAAGTGGTGAGAGCCGATGCGGTAATGGGGAAGATACACTGAGGCTCTCAGGTCGCGAAACAGCTCTGGAAACTTCATCTCTAAAAGGGATGCAATGAGCTTCTGCGGACGGTGTCGATTATGGGATGACATCCTCTCCAACGGGGTCTGCAACAAGACCTGAGAACCGTGCAATAGGGGAAGTCGAGATATTTGAAGCAGGAGATTGGGGTGAAGTGCTGAAGCTGAGATAAAAAGTACTGACCGCCTCAATCCAAGGTCTTCGGGCTCTGCTCGCTAAATTCCAGTGTCAACCTCCCTTTGCTCGGGGCTCATATAACTGAAGTTATAGGGCACCCTTCGCTAAACTCTCCCTAAGTCTTCTCTGACCAGAATACGTACAGTGAAGGGGGCTGAACTTTGTTATCTGAAGTTTGGAAACAGCCTCACGCATCCAAGCCCTCTGCCCTTTCTCGATGCAATTGTACGCACGTGAGGCGCTCCCTCACACAAACGTCTAAAACACCCTGAGTGGTGGAGAAAAGGGCGGCCGTCGAGGCCTTTATCAAGTCGACAGAACGTTCTAACGGCCAACTCTAATTCCCGAACGAACTCTTTTTAGTGGGTGGCGTTGACCCGCGTTCTCCTCCCCGCTTCGCGGCCTTATCATCATCGCAGCCTGCAACCTTCCTCTTCTGACATCCCCAACCTTAAAATGCACGTCGGCCTCATGGATATTCTGTTTTTCCGCGTCGTCTCCACAGAAATGACCGTGGTAGCCCATCAGAACCCGATGAACTGCCGCCTGAAGTATGAAGATGCTAGGACGAGGACCCAAAAGGTAGCTTGATCGGCAGTGAAGAGATCGGCCGGCGTCACTATCTAGCTCTCCCGTTTATCCTGTGAGGGGGGGGGGGAATCTTGCCCCATGGCACTTCACGATAATGAAAGATAGGTAGGTTCCTATCTCTTGTTCAATCTCTGACTGCTTCCTTCATCGGAGATGCTTTGTATTTTGCTCCATATCTCCAAGATATCTTGACCACTTCCCCCCTCTCTCGCCCGTTGCATGATCTGAGACCATTTCTCTTAAGACATATTTCGAGAATACGTTACACGGGAGCCCTCATCCGCTGGACCTCTGACCGCATCATAAAATGGTAGATATGGGGAAAATCCAGGACGCTTCATCTGAGGACCCAGAAAAAAAGATTGACTTATCGCCGAACATCACCTATGGGGAGGGAGAAATCAAGAACACTAGATACATGCACGCAGATCCGAATGATGGAGACGAAGCATTGAAAGCTTTCATGGGCCATGAAGGGGAAACCATCGAGCTCACACCAGAAGCGGAGAGGAAGCTTCTGAGGAAGATTGATCTGAACCTCATGCCAGTACGTTCCCCCCTTCCAGTCTCGAGACCCCGCTAATTTTCACCTCGCAGATGCTCTGCGTAGTCTATGGCCTCAACTACCTTGACAAAACAACCCTCTCTTACGCCAGCATCATGGGCCTGCAAAAAGACATCGGATTGAAAGGGGATAACTACCAATGGTTAGGAAGCATGTTTTACATCGGGTACATCTTCTGGGAATACCCCACCAACCGACTCCTCCAACGGCTCCCTTTGGCGAAATGGTCTGCATTCAATATCATAATGTGGGGCTTGACACTGTGTTGCTTGGCAGCAGTCAGCAACTTCGCTGGTGCTGTCGCGGTGCGATTCTTCCTTGGTGTATTTGAAGCTGCCGTTACTCCAGGGTTCGCATTGTTCACCTCACAGTGGTACACGAGAAAAGAGCAAGGAACACGAACTGGGATCTGGTTCAGCTTTAATGGCTTTGCTCAGATCTTTGGCGGGTGTCTTGCATATGGAATCTCCGTTGGAGTCAAGAAACACGGTTCTGCCATTGAGCCCTGGAAGATTGTTTTCTTGACTATCGGGCTACTGACTGCAAGTATTGGATGCATATTCTTGTATTTCATGCCGGATAATCAGTTGAACGCGAAGTTCTTGACGCCCAATGAGAGGCTGATGGCTGTGGAGAGGATTCGGAAGAATCAGCAGGGTGTGGGCAACAAGCATTTCAAGATGTACCAGCTGAAGGAAGCTTTACTAGATCCGATGACGTGGGCGTTTACTTTCTTTGCTTTCGTTGCTGATATTCCAAATGGTCAGTGCACATCTGATGGACTTCCAGGAGATCGTGCTAACATTGTCCAGGCGGTCTCTCAAACTTCTTCTCCCAGCTGATCGTCTCATTCGGTTACACCGCCGACCAGTCCCTTCTTTACGGCACGCCAGGCGGAGCCGTCGAAGTCGTCGCCCTCGTAATCTGTGGCTTCCTAGGAGATCGTTACGGCAATCGCGTCTTATTCGGAATGTCCGGCATGATCCTCTCAATTGTCGGCATGCTCCTCATCGTCTGCCTCCCGCTCTCCAACAACTCCGGGCGTCTCGCGGGCTTCTACCTAACCTCTGCCTCACCCACCGGCTTCGTGGCCCTGCTCTCCCTCATCTCTTCCAACGTCGCCGGCTACACTAAGAAAACGACAGTCGGAGCACTATATCTGATTGGGTACTGCGCTGGCAACATCATCGGTCCGCAGACTTTCAGACCGAAGGACAAACCGAGGTATAAGCCTGCTGAGATTACGATTCTTGTCTGTTGGGGCATTTGTGTGCTGGACTTGGGGTTTATTGCTTGGTATTATAGGCGGATGAATAAGAAGAATGAGGGGATCAGGATGGAGCCTGGGTATACGAAGTTGGATAAGCAGGAGTTTTTGGATTTGACGGATAGGGAGAACCCGGAGTTTGTCTATACCCTGTAGGATCCTGGACGCAGGCTGTTTTCTCCTCGACTTGTCGAGAATTGCAGGCACAGTGGCTGTCATCAAATGAGGGAATGAGAAATAAATTGTTCAAACTTTCGAGGGCGTGGTCATCAAACAAGTTAAGGTTAAGGGGAAACGAATCATTTACTCAAGCGCGGGCGTGTTTCTCAAACAATCTCGAGAAACAAGGTTTCCCTTGCTCGTCGGCCCCAACCCCTTAATCATACAGTAAACAACTGCTGTCCATCAACTATACGAAATCTGTGCAGCCACACAAACCAGTGTCCATCGCATACTGTAGTATATGCGCAAAATGCACAACATCGCGGCACATGCCAGATCGCTACCATGCTCGCGCACCTGCACGGCCCTGTTCCTGTCTGGTCTTCGTTTAGGCAAGCAGGGACATGGAGCTTTCGTGTGGGGTTGAGATTCATGCGATATGCGGTTCTGGGAACCACATGTTCTCGGCCTCGGGTACCGTTTGAAATCGATCTCAACAACAAAGCAGTCGAGTTCGGATCGGCAAGGCAAGGTATGTGAAGTTACTTGTGGAGGGTCGAAAGTATTGTTGTAGCACATCCAGGATGTGCGCTAAGAACAGTCGGACCACAGGGACGAAATTGCAGGGCAACTTGCACTTTGGAGCCCGATTCAGACCAAGTTTTGGGGGCTGTTTTGGTAGGTATCGTGGAGATGAGGGGTTTCCATTGTGTATCAAAGTATCGCTGCCAGAATTGCAAGTGGCAGTGCGGATACATTCAGTGCATTTTGCCAAGCAAAGCACATCCAACCAGTTCACGACCTCGTCTTCCTGTACACCATCCGAACCAGTGCATTCACGAAATTCATGGAATTCAGGTACAGCATCGGACGATCCACAGTTGCGCCGTTGAACAAACAGTGGAGCGCAATGCGATGGAGGCACGATCCATCTAGATGCCAGACCTAGAGTTCAGCTCTGTGGGAGCGCGGAGTCGGACCAAAGGAGCAAACCAGGAACCACGCTTAAACACTGTGGGGGTAGCTGAACTGCGGTTCACTGTCACTGAACAGGCACACAGTGGAGGCGATCTTCATATATATTTGTTTATTTGAGTATGGTTCTCACGTTTGAACTCTCAAACGCTATCAAGATTCAGCGAGCGGAGGATGAGATGAAAAGGGGAAGCGGGAAGGCAATCAGGTCTGTGCAAACGTTGCATCGTGCGGCTCTGTCATCAAAGCCATATGTTTAACCTTACGTGCGCAAAGTCAAGCGTAATACGGAATACGAAAGTCATCTCGATTAGGGCGGAAGGAGAACATGACTCGCTGCTCCTATGTGTCCACCGTCGGATTGCAAGTGATTAGACGACAGCAGCGGTGAAAGCAGGAAGGCGAGATGGTGCTATTGGTTTTCGTTGGAGATTCAAGCCGCTTGGATCAAGAGGCTCTGCAAGCCCAGTGATAAGGACGGAAGTTCGAACTCCCTCCGTATTTACACTTCGCCACTTGCAATTTGAAGCACCTCTTCGGTTCGTCTGAACTCCCCAGCCACGTCTGGGTCAGTTGATTCGTTCCTTCGCTCGAGCCTCGCGGCCGCCGAAGCCCTTCCCGAGTCGAGCAAAAACAGCCGTGGGTCCTCCCCTACGGCTGGGCTACAGCCTACAGGCTGGATTTTCGGAGCTGAAGCTTGAGGTCCCCGGACCCCGAGGCAGCATCTGCGCCCAAAAGGGTCAAATGCTGGAAACTCACGCCATAATCCATGCCTGCTCCCTGCCATGTGGCGTTCCCTTCTCGTTTCATAGGGCCACTGGACCCCGGATCACGATTATGCATTCCACGACCGGGCCACCCAGACTCCTCCACCTGGTCCACAACCCCTGCACCACCACAACACCACTTTCCCGGGACTCCACTGTGGCAGAAACTGGCCAGTGGCTGGGCGACGAGATGAAAATCCCCCTCACCGGCCCGCCCAGTGGGTTGCCCTTCCGGGGGCGAGGCACGGGCTCCCGACTAGGGGTTGTAATAACCTTCTCCATGCACACTGCTATTGAGAAGGGTGCCCACTGCCCAGCCAATCGCGGCCCATGAAAACCTCCCCAAACCTCCCAAAGTTGATTCTCTCTCCGTGGGTCTGGACCTTGGGCGTAAATGGGCCAATTGCACGTCTTGCTTGGCGATGACCGCTGGGAACTCTGGGAGGCATTTGCAGATTCTTGCAGTTCTGGTCCTGGCCTGCCAACTTGCCAAGGTCGATCCAGCACGCCCCCCCCAGGCTTGTCCAGTACAAGGTACCTCTCCAGCGTGCACAACAAAGCATGAGCCTGGATAATATCGCAAACGGGATGCATAACATGGGGCCCCCGTTATGGCTTGGGGAAATCAGTGCCTGCCCTCTTGTTCAACACTTCCCGCGCCTCACACGACCTTTAAACCTCTCCCGACGGCATGAACCTCTTTTCAGCCTCCGCTCTTGAACTAAACATGTACCTCCACTGACGTCTTTCTAAGACATTGGGATCGGGGACAACGATCTTGTTCGTCGTTCAATCTAGCTATGAAGCTTCCTCAACTTCTCGCCGGTACGCTGATGGCGCGCCAGGCGGTGCAGCTTTTGCCCTCTACATTCTGCTCGCCGGAATGTCGTGAGTACCCCCTACGTCCCTCTCCGCCGTCGGCACGCGAATTGAACCCCAACTAATCCTCTGAAGCGTCGTGTAAAACAGATGTTGGGAACTTCGACGGAGCTACGACGTCGTGTGTTGCGAACTCGTCGTTCATCCAGAATTGCGGGCTCTGTCAATCATGCGTGATGACCTACGCCATCGAGAACGGAGGGATCGATACGCTGGCAAACGTCGAACAGGGTCTGGTCAACATCCTCAACTTGTGCGAGAATACAACCGTCTCTGCGGATATTGAGGCTTTACAGTCGCAAGCGTCGAGGATGTCTGTTCTGGGAGCGGAACTCGCAACGACCACCGATCCGGCTCTGGCATCGCTGACGGGGTCGATCAACATGGCCATCACATCTCCTCCAACTGCGGCGTCTGGCTCGCATACTGGTACACCTGCATGGATGACGATGACTGGAGATGATGAGAATGCATCGTGGCGGTCGGTCCTGTCAACAGCGACCTGGGCCTCAGCCTACTATTCCTACAAGTCAGCCGGTAAACATCAACCCTCCCTACCATCTCGTCTCTCCTACTAACCCGCATCCTTAGCAGAGCAGACAACCGCAACCGCAACCTCGAGCTCGACCCCGAAACCCACACAATCTGCTGCCCCGGCACCTCTAAGCCTGACCTGGATCGCTGGCCCCGTTGTTGGCTCTGTAATGGGCATGTGTACCGTCTTCATAGTGATCTTCTTCACACGGCGAAAACAGCGAAAAGAGCACATTGAAGAGATTATGAAGGTGGTAGAGATACCCAAGGACTTCCAAGACGCCGACAACGACTCTGCGCACTCGCCAGCTCCACCTGCGAAGGTGCAATTGCGTTCTGAGCGCGTGCCAGCGGTGGAGGCGGGAACGACGGAGATCTATGAGATGCCTGCTGTTGAGCCCGTTGGGAGCGAACTGAACACACCGATGGAGACGAGGATGAGGGACGATTGGCCTGTTAGTCCGCTGAGACCGATGCCTTTGTCGCCGCTATCGGGGCTGTTTGCAGCGGTTGAGCTGCGGGACCAGAGGAATGGTGGTGATGTTTCGCCGAGGCATAACACGTTCTATCACGCTTGAGTGGGCGACGAGTTTTAATGTTTGGATATACTACGGGCTTCGGAGTCCACGGCTCGTCCCGTCCTAGGGATCTCGCTACGGATATTGCTCAACATCATTTTCAATTTATGATGTGGCACTGTGTTGGCTAAAGTCAAACTTGCCGCTCGCTTGAGCATACCATATTGGGCATTGGGTTATGGAGTACAGGATACGGGTTTATTGTGGGAAGCAAGCGATGGCGCTTGGGGAATGTGATTTCGATGATGAGCTAGGGAAGAGACTTGGGGCTGGAAATGGCCATGAGCCGAAGTTGGACACAGTTCCACACAGTCGACAGGAATATTAATTAGCAGTGGATGAAAAACTCATGGCTGTAAGCCGAGTAGAGGGCCATAGCATATAGCATGAAAAGGCGCAGAAGAAGGTAGAAGCTTGCTTGGCAGCACTCGGTGCTCCGCCTTGCTGAGATGGAATGGTTCCTTGGTTGATACAGTTTACAATAATACCCAAAAACAATCCAAATAAATCATTTAAAAACAAACAGTTCATCGCCATTTGATCCACATGTCTCATGTCTCAACTATATTTACCCCTCATCGCACTTGATACACCTCGGGGAAAAGGCAGAAAGATCGATCTGTTTGGTGTATGGGGGGCTTTGCACTGAGGCCCCCTCTCTTTCATGCGAACCGGGATCTCGGAAACTGAAAACGGAATGTTTTTTTAATTTTTTTAACGCGAACTGTTGTGTTGAAACGCAAAACAAAGAAAGGGAAGGTCTGCCTGGCAAACGAACATTTGTTTCTCAGAAGGAGGATATCGTAGAGATCAGGAGGCCGGGTAGACAGCATGGGCAAAGTGCAATGTTGTTGATGGCTCGCGGAATCGTCATTTATAAATTTTATATATGTGAGTACTCATGTCGGATGAGCGATCAGCAACAACTGGTACGTACCACGGTTCCTAGCCAAATTAATAAAAAAGGCATTCTGTCTCGAAGTCAACTAAAAGTCGGCATGATGGGCGTTACGATCTAGGCAGGATATTAGAAAGAAGGCACTGATTGCAGTGCGTACCTGTAGAGTCCGTGAGGTGAGAAGCTTCAGAGCCTCAAAGGAAGGCCGCTGCCAAAGAGGCTACCAGCAAGCCTTGGGATAGGGTCGAGGAGACCGCTGGGTGATCACAGGTCGCCTAAGCCCGAGAAAATAATACCGGATGGATGAGTTAGAGTGCCGTATTGGCTATTTCTGCGTTAGAATAAGGGCAAGGGAAAGGACTTCATTCAAGGGGGTCGGTAACTTACAGTCTGCTATGCTATTATCATCTGCGGTGCTATCATCCGCTGTGCTATCAACATCTGCTATTGACCCAGTGGTGTCTGTCTACTGCTCCTATGATTGGGGAAAGCTTACCTGGTTATTTTGGAGTGCTGGAAACTTCAGGCACGTCGGGGGCGCTTGGAGCAATCGGGAGATCGGACAGGCGTGAAGTTCTTGGAACAGTTGGGGAGTCTGGAGTCCCAGGAAGGCTTGGAGTACCAGAAACAGACGAGAGGCTTGGGGTTCTTGTAAAGTCGGGGACAGTTGGGAGGCTGGGAGTATCTGGAGCAGTTGAGAGGCTTGGAAGTCCAGGAAAGCTGGTAGCAATTGATAGAGCCGGCAAGCTTGGAGTGCCGGAAGTGCTGGGGATGGGCCCATACGAATAGACGTTGACTCGATTTCCTGTGCCGCAAACTAGATACAATCATACAAAGGATTAAATCACTATTCTTTCAGACACACGCACCTTGTGTATTGTCCCCTTCGCATTGCATCGCTAATGGCTTCTCGCAGCCGGAAGGACTGGTGATTATTCCATTTGCAAACTCTTTTTGCTGTCCGGAGGAGCTTTGTCATCACAATCTAAGAATATCATGAGACATAACTCACTTTGATTCAATATAAAGAACTTACATTTGTCCTTTGTCATACTCAACGCCAGCGAACTTGAAACCAGAGGTTTTGCATTCCACCTGGCAACATTTGATCGTCATCTTGAGCTTCTTTGCTTCTATTCCCGAGGTTTTCGGTATTTTTAAGCTATGTGCTTCGCCGGGTCTCGGGGTGTCGTTACAACATCCCAGCGATGTCCATTCCATAATTCCAGTCGGTGGACTAGAGCTAGTACTGCAGAGCCACCGTCACGTCCACACATCCGACGTTTTCTCTGATGTGGAAAGCACCTACGCGCACACCCAGTTTCGATCTTGAGCATCATAATTTGAGATAGTGATAGTTTAGACTTGAGGTTGAAAGCGTGCCACAGTCGGTCCAAAGTAGATGACAGATCAGCACTTCTCATTTTCAATCCCTCCGTGTAACACAACCAAACGGAGCGCTCTGTTGAAGTTCCATGCAAAACAACACGACCAAATATTTCCCCTAGGGATCGAATTGCAGGCAGGTGAGTACGGTACAGAACTAGCCGACAGGGCAGCATGGCCACACTGAAGACCTGATTGTGACTGAGCGGCTGTGTGCTGGGAGCATAAGAAGAAATCTCCAAGACTTCGGAATCGATTCCAAATATCATTGAACATGGCCGAGAACTACCCGAAACTCTTCAATATATCGACAGGGACAAAATATCAAAGGAAATGGTCTGTCTGGAACTCTAGTGGGAAGACTCGAGGGCGTGACGAGGCCCTGATCATGATTTTGAACAAGGTCAGAAGATGACGATGCTGACGAGGTCAATATCCACATCTTGCAATCATTTTGCTCCCATACGGTAGTGGTGGATGTCATATCGATCCTACAATTTGAATGATCAGTCTCACGATGCGTTGATGTGTCGATATTGTGAAATGGAGTCTCCAAAAACATTTGAGGCCGTTCTGGCGCGGCCGCTAGCGTGCCGTCCAAAGCTGCCCCGCCATCTCATTCTGACTTCCCCTCCTCATCTCCCTCCCCTACTCCAACAAACGCTCTATCTTCTTACCAACAAAATCAAACTTAAAATGGCAGATACAGAAACCGAGACTGTCCTCCCCAGCGAACCCCAATCCCGACATGTAGTCTACTGCGGCGGTTGGTCTCCCTACCCTCTTCCCCTCACCTCCCACAAGAAACCTAGCTAACCTGACCTTCTCCGTAGTCTGCTCATTACCACCAGAGGTACAAGCTCTTCTCGCGTTAATTTGGGGTCTGGGATGGGATACAAGCTAAATGGAAGAGGGAGTAGTACTGCGAGTTCGGCGGTACGGTCAAGAAATGCCAGGACTGGCTGCAGAAGAATCACGCGGATATGTATGACAGGCTGTGGTCTGAAGGTCTGTCCCTCTCTTTTCCCTCCATATCGTTTTATGTGCGAGGTCCTCCTGCGTGCCGGTGTGCTGACGGTCTTGGTATAACAGACGCCCTAGCAGCAGCAACCTCAACCCTCTCCCTCGACGCACAAAAGCGGGCAGAAAAGGACGCCCACAAAAAAGCCCTGAAAGCCGAAGCCGCTGAGCAGAAACATTTACAACAAATCGCCGAGTCGAAAGTTACAATCAAGCGGGTGGAGAGGAATAAGGTGCGCCATTTCACCTCCCGGTTGCCCAGACTAACAATGGTGTTCGTCCTCGTGAAATTGGATACTAATTATTTCACAGAGGAAGTTCGTGACCACCGTAACAGGCCTGGAAGCGTTTGGGCTAGAGAATAAGAAGGTAGCGAAAGATCTAGGCAAGAAGTTCGCGACGGGAGCGAGCGTGACGAAGGTCCCGAGTGGAGGCGAGGAGATTGTCGTGCAGGGCGACGTGAGTGAGGAGATTGAGGAGTTTTTGTTGGAGAAGTATAAGGTTATTCCCGAGGATAATATTGAGCTGGTGGAGGATAAGAAGAAGAAGGGTGCTGGGGCCGGGGGGTGATACTCTCTCCCACTTCTCTTCTTTGTTTTGGGGGGGAAATGCTGGGTTCTTCATACACAAGGACATTTCTCTGCATTCAATTTCCTCGCGATTGAAAAAGCAGACAGAACCAGGACGCCGTGCTAAGTACAGAACTATGGGACAAGAATCCAGACAAGAACTCGGTTTCTCTTCCAGGACTCCTCTTCTCAGATAGACCACTCTCGGTTTCTCTCTTTGAGAGCTCTTCCACTCCAGACGTCAACTCAATTCCTCTTCCTCAAAACCCTTCCGCCCGTCGTAGGTGCAGCAGCCGGTTTACTAGCCGGCAACTTCTTCTGGCTCCCCATCCCCTTAATCGTAGTCATAACCGTCTTCTTCTCCTTCACCGGCGCCGCCTTCTTCGCTACCCCAGGTTTCCTAACCACAGTCGTGGTGCTCGAATCACTCGAGTCACTAATCGCCCTTCCCCTCCCAATCTTTGGCGCTGATGCCGGTGGTGCCGTCCTCTTTCCACGTCCTGCTCCTGCACTCGTATTTGTACTCGTGCTTGTATCTGTACCCTTTCTCGTACCTGCTCCTCGCGTCGTCTTGGCCTTCTCTACCATGTTTGTGAGGATTGATGATGGGCCTCCGACGTGTGTTGGTGCTACTGGCTTTAGAGGGGAGATGGGACGAGCGAGGTGTGATCGTGCTGGTGAAACAGCAGTGCGGACTGGTGATCGGGGCAGGGAACGTGAATTTGCAGAGCGTGGTGAGAGGACTTGGGAGGGCTGCAGTTTGTCGCGGGAAGTGGTTCGTGTAGGGACAATCGGTCCACGGGCTCGTTTCCTCGGGTTCTCGATATCTTCGTTTTCTTTGTCGACGGAGATGGCATCACTTCTTCAGTTAGCAGGGCACATAGAGCCAGGAGAAGAAAACATACCTCAATCGCTTCTGACCGCGTTGCGGTGATGGACTGGCGCGACTTTGCTCCTCTTGAATCAGATTCTTGGCCGGTGACCTCGGCTTCTCTACCCTTAATGGCCCTGCTACCGCTGTCGATGCTCCCTGGTTGTGCTTCAAGAGCAACTCTCCCATATTTACTTTCCGCATTGCCATGGGGATGCGGTGGACTCGAATCTCAATACGCGATCGCAGAACTTGTGCTTGGTGCATATACTGGGCGCGAAGCTTTCTGGCGCGTTCCGTAACTGTTGTCCAGTGTGTCAGTGAAATTCTCAACGTGTACACTTCTGTTTGTTGGGGCACTTACTCTCGAGTTGTAGGTTATCAATCAATGCCTGCTTCTGCCCCACTGTGATTCCCATCCTCACTTTCTTGATAGGGCTTCGATTTGATGAAGTTCTTGCTGGACTGCGCGTCTTGGTGGCTACTATTTGTGACTGCTGTACGTCTACAGAGCCGGCGGATTCGGTGGACTTGCGCTGTTTCTTGGAGCGCGTCGGTGCCATGTTAAGGTGTTGTGTGGCGATTTATTGGAAATTCGTGTATTTGAAAGTTTTTCGATGATAAAAGAGCAATGGTGAGCTTAAAGCGTAAGATTGCGAATGGTTTTCTGCTTGATCGTGAAGTGTTCTTGGTTGAAGTTGCTTCCTCGAAAGTAAACAAAAGCCTCGAGCCGCACCGTTCCGCGCTAGGCCAAACAAAGTTCCGAGCTACAGGGATCTTGCACGACAAGGTACGCGCAGCCACAGCTACCTACTGTAGAGCGTTCAACATCAAGTTCGCCATTCCACAGCTTCCTTCCTACCACAACGAAAACATACCCTGAACCCACCTCTCCAACTCACACAAGTCCTCTACAGAGGCACAGCATCAAGATGGTCCTCGAAGCAGTAATGGTAGTAGTAGACAACAGCGAAAGCAGTCGAAACGGCGACTACACACCTACCAGATTCGAAGCCCAATCCGACGCCGTCTCCCTCATCTTCTCCGCCATCACACAAGCCAACCCTGAGTCATCCGTCGGTCTGATGAGCATGGGTGGCAAAGGTCCAGAGGTGCTCGTCACGTTAACGACGGACCATGGCAAGATTCTGGAGGGTTTACATCGAACGAAGAGCAAGATTCGAGGAGGTAGTCATCTGGCTACGGGGATTCAGATCGCTGGTGTATGTTCCTTATTCTCCCTTCCCTTCCAGATATTGTACTGATTAGGGTTGAACTACAGCTCGCACTCAAGCACCGCCAAAACAAATCCCAAAAACAACGCATCATAGTCTTCACCTGCTCCCCGATCCCCGAAGACGAAAAAACCCTGATCAAGCTCGCGAAGAAGATGAAGAAGAACGGCGTAGCGATCGACTTCGTCGCTTTCGGAGAGCTAGATGATGAGAATACGAAGAAGCTGACGAGCTTCAATGAGAATGTTAAGGGTGGTGATGGCAGCCATTTTGCGATTATCCCACCGGGACCGGGACTGCTGAGTGACCAGCTCGTGACGAGCCCGATATTGAATGGTGATGGATCGGCGGGTGGTGCGGGTGCTGGTGGTGAGGGCGGTGGGGGAGGGGATGCCTTTGAGTTTGGCATTGATCCGAGTCTGGATCCTGAGTTGGCGCTGGCATTGAGGATGAGTATGGAGGAGGAGAAGGCGAGAGTTGAAAAGGCGAATAAGGAGAAGGCGGAGCAGGAGGCCAAGGAGAAGGCTGCTGCGTTGCCAGAGATCAAGGAGGAAGATGAGGCTAGTCAGCCGCTGTTGAATCAGGATGGGGAGGCGAGTGCTGGCAAGGAGGACAAGAAGGATGATGATGATGCGGATAAGATGGATACGGCATAGAACGGGAGGTTTAGCATTGGTGGCGTTGGTATTGTAGGATTGTACCATTAGATTTGCCATAAGTATAATGGTAGCGTGGTCTTCTAGAGCTTTAGCAGCTATGGATCTCCCCAGCGTCTTAAGGACTGGCAGAGTTTCACTGCACCTCTGTATATTTTCCTGCAAGACGTCTTGCTCTTGTCTGGCCAGGCAGAGATCTTCCAACAGCGAGGTTCTTTCCTCCAGAAGCCTCCATTCATCCCATGCCATGCCAGGCGATGCCAGGCCTCCCCTTCCTTTCCTTGCAGATGTCATAATGCCTAATCCCCCCCCTCCCCAATCACCTCGAGTTCAAAACCCTCAAATACCCAACTAATCTCCTCTCCCACCCCTCACACCGCACCGGCATCTCCAGCTGATAAAACGGATTCTTCATTACATAGTCCCCATACAACTCATAAATCTTGCCCATAATCTTATCCACATTCGGCTGCTGAGGTTCTGTAAAGAGCAGGAATTTCGTGCCGGTGAGGGTGGAGAAGCATTGTAGGCGGAAGTTCTCGGTCTCGAGGACTTCGATTCCCGAGGGCGGGTCCGGGCGTGTGGAGGGGTCCAGGGAGGGGGGTGGGTGCAATGGGTGTAGACGGGTTGTTATTGCGTGGACTCTGTTGTTGTGTTAGAGGAGAGAAGGGGAAAGGGCTGGAGGGGATGGAGAGAGGAGGCGACAAACCCGTGGAATGTCCCAGCTAGCACCAGGTAGTCGTTAATATTCAGTTTGTTCAATCCATCTGCGAAGTCGCGCTGGTAGATGAGACCACCGGCTTTGTTAATTATTATTAGAGCGTAGACGACCCTGCCAGTACAATCAGTCTTCTCCTCCGTCCTGTCTATCAATCTAGGGGCTTACATTGTGCTTCTTCCTGCTTCTGCTATTGCGCTGGGTATGTGCGTTGGCAGGGTAGATTGGGGATAGAATCGAGGATTGAGCGTTTGCAGAGCTGTAGCTGTACGAAGAGAATGCTTATTTTGTAAGTGAACGGAGGAGTGAAGGGAATTGGAAGTGTCGTTGCAGCAGGCGCATTCACTTTTTTGAAGTGAGTTGACAAGGCTCGGCAAACTACCCCAGATTCGCTTCGAAAGAGAGCGAGCGAGCGAGCAATCTTCAAAGCCGACCTCGAATTTCTCCACGCGACGGCAGCACCCTACCAGAACCTCCTTCTTCAACCACCTTGCTCCCTTCTCAATCCAACTCCGTCGCCTTCGACCTCCCCTCCTCAGCAACAGATCAACGTCAAGCACACAAGTATCGACAAGGACAGGGCAGCAGAAGGCGAGTCCGGCGTCGAGAAGATGTCCGCACACGCACCCACCTCCCGCTCCCGCGAAGCTCCGCAAGGCGACGAAGAAGCCAGCTCCGAACTGAAGCTCGGTGAATTCCAGGATGTAGACGCGTTGACGCATAGTGAAGCGGCGCTGGTTATCAATGCGCTGGTGCAGAAGCGGAGCGCGGATCGGAAGAATGTCAATGAGACTGAGTATGCATCTCTTTTCCCTTTTATTTTGGGAGGAGATGGTGGGCGGGTTGGAGAGAGATTGCAGTCTACATTTCCGGTGTGGGAGGTCTTGGGATGGGAGGGGAGCTCTTGGAAAGGGAAGGGGAAGCAAAGCTGACGAGAATAGGATGCTCTCCAAAACCCGCGACTACCTAGATCACTTCGCGCGCTTCAAGCGGAAAGAGAATGTCGAGGCTGTAGAACGCTTATTATCAGCGCATAAAGAGCTGGCGAAGTTTGAGAGGGCACAGTTGGGTATGTTGCGAGCTTGCGAGCATCTCCCTTCCCCTCCGTTGTGGAGAAATTTTACGACGAGGCCCAGAGGGAGGGGAAGGCAAAGAGAGCATGGTGCTAACTTTGGTGATAGGCAGTTTGTGCTGCGACACGGCCGAAGAAGCAAAGACTCTGGTCCCGAGTCTGCAGGACAAGATCTCGGATGACGATTTGCAGGAGCTATTGGATGAGATTACGAAGTTGATGGGATACGGCAACTAAGCCTCTCTTTCTCCTCTCTTATGGAATGGGAGGACACCAGAGCATAGCCGAAAATCGATGGATGGACGGGTGGATACCTGGCGTTGGTTTTTACAGGAATGGGAATTGATGGCATTACTGCATGGCATGGCGTGGGCAGACATGACATTTTCCCAATTGAAAAGGGATGGATGGCGTTTCTTGACAGACAGCAAACGATTTGATTTGACGGATAAATTTGAGAATGGGAAGATATTGAAGGAGGGAAAGGCAGAAAGAAAATGACTTGGATATCCAGACCCTGGTTGATGCCAAAATGATAGATAAGAGGGAGACACGCATCACGACAAATTTTCTCGTGGGTTCTCGCATGGGAAACCGAGTACTGCTGCCCGATTTGATTTCAAGCAAGAGGAAGGTGGTTTTTTTTTTCCTTCTCGAAATGAATCTTATTTCATCCTTTCTACGGAGTATAAAACGCCAAACTCCCCTCGCGTTATGCAACTAGGCAATCGACTGACTCAACTCCCCTCTCTAGCATTGAACGCCCCTTTCTGAACGCCCGCGAAACCCTGAAAGTTGCTGTTATGTACTATACAGTATCCATACATCTTCCTCCACCTTCGCCTCGCCAATATCCTGTTTGTTAACGCCGGGTATCATTTATCATCTTCTCTTCCTCACTTATCGCTGCGCCCACGTCTCCCACGTCTTAAAGTCATCAGTCGGCGTAAGACCAGTTGGCGACTCGTTGACCGATGTATTTCCGGCATTAACCTGCTCAAACGTCACATGTTCCCCTTTCATCAGCCCCTTTCCCTTCCCCTTCATCTCCCGCAACTCCATTTCCACCTTCTCGCCATTGCTATTCAGACAAGTCGCACCACTCCACCTCTCGGGACTCATTGGACTAACAACCACAGCCTCCTTCTCCTTCCCCTCTCTCATATCCACCTCGCTCATTGAAACCGCTTGCTTACCAGGGATCGAAAGGCTCGGATACGAGAGGTGCGAATACTGCATCTCCAAGTGAAACGGACTCTGTGGGCTGACGACCGACTGCGGAGTAATAACACCTAGACTCCCACGCTGAGAACCCCGATGCTGTGAAGGCGAAAGTGGGGAGTTGACGACGCCTAAACCAACAGGAATACTGCACGCACGCGCCAGAGTATTGTTCCTCACTCCGCCTCCGCCTCCGCCTCCACTTCGGGCAACATGCTGTACATAATCGGTTGGGTTATAACTCGTCGTTACACGGATCTCTCTATCTTGCTGAGAGGGATTTTGGGTGTACGAGGTTGGCACCTCAGCCTCCAACTCCGAGCGTCCGGATGGAGGAGAAGGGATGATTGGCGTGTTGTCCATCGGTCCTGCACATTCTCCAGCTCTAGGACTCGATTTCTGACGCTTTACTTGTGGTGTTCGGTGGGGGGAGGTGGCGGAGGGGGGTGGGGAGAAGGCGGGGTGCTGTAAGAGTTGTGAGACGTGGTATGCGGGGTGGGAGGTCATGAGTGGGGAGTGCATTTGTTGGCCTGGGTGGTAGGTGGGTGGTCGTGGCGAGTCGGCTCGGGAGGAGATGCCGCCGGTGTGGAAGGCTGGGTGTTCGGTCACGGGTGGTGGTGTGAGGCCGGATTTCTCGATGTCCAGGATGGGTGCGTCGATTGGGGAGTAAATGATCATGGAGTTGGTTGTGGTGGCTCGAGGGAGAGGAGTGGGAGCAGTTGCACGTCGGTTTGATGCGGGACTGGGAGTTTTGTAACGTCCTGAGAGATGGTCAGAGATATCCTCGATAATGCTGGAGGGGCTCGTACCTCCAAATTCAGCAAATACATTGCTGCTCCTTGGAACATCGACCTCTGGGCTTTGGGCCCGGCTTAGAACGTATCCCCTCGTTGGCATTCCGTATTTTGTGGTGGATTGCCCGACATTCTTTTTTTGTCTTCTTCGCATGCAGCAAAACCATAGTATTACCGACAGGATTGAGAGTGCGACCACTCCACCGACTACTCCGGCAATAATTGGTGCGGCTGGGCTCTTCGAAGACGAGCGCCCAACAGGTGTCAGGGAAGAAGTGGCAGAAACCGTTACCGTTGCTATGACGCTCACTGAGTCCAGTGTTGAGTCCGGTGTTGAGGTCGATGTGCTCGACGTGCTCGACGATCGTAAATTCAGTGACGCTGAGCTGAGCTGGTTCGGAGACGCACCAGCGTCTGGACAGGCAGGTAAATTGCAAGGGTCGACTGAACAGCAGCCTGCGAACAGTATTGTCGAAGTGTTGCATGTATACCACTGCGTACCGCTGCCTGATGGGCAACTATGCTCGTCCCTCTCGACGGTGTCGAGGAGTCGGAGATGCATCTTGAGGGTTGACCAAGGAAACGCAGAACACAATTATGATTATGAACGAGTCAACCTCGACAAAGGTGTCTAAGGAAAAGCGATGATGCACATGAAGGAATATTGAATTGACTTCAACTTTGCGGGAAAATGGAACACGAGTGAATATGACTTGATGGCTTTTCCAAAGGCGAACAGGCGTGACTTATCTTTGGCACCGTGTGGCACGGAATTCACCACTTCACCACTTCACCACCCCGACCCCAGTCTGGGAGCAGTAATAGGATGGAGGCTGCAGCTCATGTGTTCTGTCGGGTGTATCTTTGGATCACTTTGTACGTCTGTATCTTTTCTCGTGGGTGCAGCCTCCGCCCCCAGCTCTGTGTCCAGGATGAGGGGATGGGTTTCGCCGGGCGTGGTCGAATGGTGGAAGAGCTGCTGGGAGCAGCCAAAGAATAGCAGCCGGAACAGCACCGAGCTAGCCCCCGTTCAGGCTTAGCGCCCGGCTAAGCGCAGGCGCCCCAGACCTCCTACCAGGCTGCGCCCCATCCTTCCTTGCCCTCCCACGAATAGACGCAGCCTTGAAAGCTTCCCTCCCCCCCAGAGTCAGCACTCTCTTTATGTCGAGCGCCAAAGAATGTCCCGGGCCAAGTCTTGTGGGTGGGAAGCTGCACGAAGCCTGCAGGATCTGCCCTCAAAGCTCCTCTCTGGCTGGCTCCTTTCGCAGCGTTTCGGTGAGCGTCGTGAACTATCTCGTGACGAGAGTTCATAAAGAGCAACCCAAGATCCAAAGATGCCCAGCCGGAACATCACCCCATCTGCCTTGTCCAACATTCACATACTGTACATCTCCTTTACGAGGAATCTGCTGCGGTTCCCATTTCGTCCTCCAATCGCAAGCTCGCCCTCGTCAACATGCGGCCAAAATGTTGCCCTATATTTATCCGCTCCGTATCACCCGGACCCGGCAGACTGTTCAGGAACACCACTCCAGAAAGTTCTGTACAACCCCACCTTCAGGCACAGAAACGCATGTCATCCTCGCTTTATCTGCCGTGCGATGCGAGATCTAGCATCCAACCCCGGGAATAGCCTCAAGGACGGCCCCGCGAATCCTCTCTTCCTTTGATTCCATTTCCCTCGCCTCACCAAATTAATTTGTATATTTCTGTACACAAGAATGTAACCAACAATCCGAATCTGACTTCATCCTTCGAGAAGTTCTCATATTAATCTCGGATTAACGGCATTTGCGCTACATTTCTCGCTGGAAGTCTTCAAACCATGCCCCAAGGCTGAATGAAGCCTTGTAACATTTTCTATTTGCATTCCTTATGGGACTCGATTAGGCACACATCACCCTGCTAGAATATTTATGAACACACTCCGTTCGGCAGTCCCAGCCCCAACGTTTTCCCTTCAGGGCAGTACACTAAATTTACAGATATAAATCGAGCTGCATTGCCGCGCCGCCTCACGACGCAGAACCCTTCACCCACACCTTCTCGTCTACCCGTGGCCCCCAGAAGCAGGGCCGCATGCTACGCCTGACCAGCGTAAAGGATCCAACTATACCTCGTCTTCCCTTCATCCAACTTCCTCAAACTATCCCTCACCCCCGGTTTCGACAACGGAAACGGATCAATGACCGCTTCGCCCCATGCAACGCAGCAAACTCCAACATCTGCAAGTAAACAATCTTCCATAGCACCGTCGTTCTAACAACCCAACCTTCCAGCCCTCCAGCAGCAATCTCATGAACGGTATGTCCAACCTCGTCTCAAAATCCCTGATAGCAAGCGGATGATTGGTCGCCAGATTGGTAGGGGAGGAAGCGAGGCGCGACGCGCCGGAGGTAATCAGGTAACATTAAATTTGGTTTCGCGGAGAGCTCTCTTATGCTTGTCTGAGCACTTGTGACTTGTTGGAAACTTCCTTAAGAAGCCTTGGAGTCTACATGCATCACTGTGAAGGTAATCGTGCGCAAACGCTCTTCATTCTATCACATCAGGGGGACGGTTTCCGATTCTCGCTACGTCAGAGTTGGGAACTCTTCAAGGCTCGGACTCTTTCCCCCCTCTATATTCTGCGACGAAACTGGACCATCCCCAAAATTCGTTGCTGTCTTTGGGCCATTTGATGTTGCACAGAATCTCCCCAAGGTAGAATTCTTTTCCCACAAGTGTTAAACCACAATATGCAGGCGCATCTTTGAGGCGGATTGTTTTTTCAGACGGCGAAGGACAACATATGATCGACGCATCAATTATTATCAAAGTCATCGGTTACTGCCGTCATGACATGCCCACTTGCTCACATCACTGTACATTTCTCAGAACCTTCTGCGGATCATAGAGTACCGAAGCATGAGACATGGCCCAGGCGGCTGTCGCTGCTCTTAGATTAGCTTCCTCTATTGTAAGTTTAGTTGGACTCGCTGGACAGATTCTGCAAGACTGCCATTACGTTTCGAATCTTTTCGGCGATGTTAACGGTGCTCCAGATGCCCCCTGCTACCTGGGAGCAAAATTCAAAACTTCCGCACTGTGCCTCACAATTTTCAAGGGGTGCTTAAGAGCATGTGACAGCCTGCCAGCCTTGATGCTGCTTCAGAACAAGTACTTATGGCACTCAGCTACCGCAGCGCCACAATCCAAGATTTGAAGGATTTGGTTGACAAGTTTGCGCACGATGGAAAGGGACTGGTGGAAGAGCTCCAAGGTCGCGGTGAAGGAAACCACTTTCGTCAAATACGACGAGAGGCCCGGGAGCGACAGGATGAATATTCTCTTGGCCCAGAGCAGCATCATCATGTGAGCATCAACTAACCTTTCATGAGATGAGTCCTCATAATAATAGGATTACCAACTTCACTCATCAAGTGGAGATGCAAAACGTATTGCAAAGCATGAAGAACAACCACTATTAGTACTACCTCGAATAAATCTGAAGACTCGCATCATGCTGGTGGTGAGCGGAGCACGCCATCTCAACACTACGATGCAACAGGATAGAGCGACTAGATGCATTGTCATTTGCAATGGGTGCCATTTTCAGAATCTCCCTAGATAGTTCTTTCCAGGATTGCATTCGCAATCTTGGAAACTCTGCAAAAGCCCCAACACCGAGTTCGCCGGAGGACTCAAGAATGAATCCATCAACAGAGAATAGTCTCCCACGCGCTCCTAGCATGCGGCCTATGCCAAATAAAGTTCAAGCGCAAGATAACCTTAGGACCCGCGACTGTCAGAATTTCTTCAGTCGCCACACCCCAAAACCTCGATGACTCATCCACTACCGACTCGGAGTGTTCATCTAAGACAACGACCACCAGGACAAGAGTCGATGTGCGCCACTCGACTTGGATGACCAAGCTGGGTTTGGGGCTTTTGCAAGTGATTTCGCACAAAAAGATAGAGGCTGTGTTTGCCAGGACCTCTGCAGAACCAGAATTTTTTCCCTGAAAGGATTTCGGAAGCTAAAGCTGCTTCAAGAAGGGTGTTTTGTGGAGATTTATGATTGAGCCATGCCGGATATCTGAGTATCCCATCTTTTAGGAATTGCCTCAGCCACAGGGTAGGAGTTGGCATATTTTCAGGAATAAACGGGTTGGCGTGAATTTCGGAACATCTGAGAACATTTTTTATCTGGCGAAAAGAGTTTGCAGTGCTCGGGTCGGCCAGGGAGTAGAATAGAAAACTCATAACAAGATTGCAGTGAATGGGGGATTCGAATCATTTGATTGGGATGGCCGATTGCATTGATAGGTAAGCCAGTTGACTGAACTTCGCAAGTGGCGTCCCACTACTCTGGCTGCCATCCCCTCGACTCCTATTTCTCCAGCAAGGCTCCTCTTGGATCCTCGCGTACCTTTGGAAGCGTCGAGGTAGGTCTCCTGGGGAACGTAGGCGAGATGATAACGATGACTTCAACACCCGATATAGAGGAAGAAGTGATGAACGCAAGGATCGGTTCGATGATGAAGATTGATGGGATAGCTATGCCAGAGCTTGGGCTGATGGAAAACGACCAGCGAGAGCGAGCATCGTGGGAGCCGGAGAGGATGTACGAAACCTGGTGGTGAAGGCTACGATCTGCTTTGCCATCAAAGTTAAAAGCAGAATTTAAGACTGCGAGGCTGGAGGTAGGGTTATTACTCAACCTTAGGCTCTCGAAAGTTTTACTTTTGCGGGGGTTTTCTTATTGGTTTCTTGGGCTGTTGGCGACTTGGAGTTGCTGCACAAGTGGAGTTGGTTACATGGCTCAACGCTTTCTTTTATCCACGTCTTCTCTATTTTTAAACTCACCCCTCAGCGAACGATTTTAACTTTTGTCATAGACTCATATTCGTGTCAGCTCATCCCATCACCATATATCGTCATGCATCGTTGCAATTGACGACGAGCTTTGTAATCGCATCACGATGGCACATAACCTTTCCGTTTCTGTGATTTGCTGCAGCGTCTACTATTGCATGGTGGTGATCAGCGATGCGGGGTTTAACGAGGGTGGAGGCGCAGGAGGCGTAACTCATAAGTCTGCATTCGTAGATGGCTGCGGATACCCTACACCAGATGGTCGACAAATGCTTAGACTTCAACCTGGCCTGGTGTAACAACTAGTTTCCAGTCCTGCAAGCGACGAGGTCATCGCTGAGGTTCGAGAGGAGAAATGATGAGGGGGATTTTTCATTCTTAAGAGACCAATTCTTACTCCTCTACTCCTCTGCACAATGGAAAAGACGGAAGGAAAGGTCTCACTAAGAGATAAAAGACTGGTTCCTGGGTCATGAGCGACTAGACTTCTCGGCTCGAGCTGTATTTGTTTTCTCGCGACCCGCCTTCGCACCCCCTCATCCGTGCACGATCTGCATTATGTATAAATCCATGTCCTCAGTCTCATCTCTGATCACGTCGTACATGCAGGTGACGGGCACAGATCACCAGATCGGCTCCAGACAAAGGTTGCACAAGAACACCCTCTGTGTGAGTGCCTCGCGATATCAGGAAATGCATCAACTGAGCTGGGGACTTTTGTAGCCCTACCTACTGTCCTCGACACGCAGGCCGTCTTGATGACTCTATTTAAAGATTAGCCTAAAATCGGCTCGCATCTCACATGTGGAGCCCAAGGACCGGCCCTTTTCTGCCTCACAGAAACCCGAGCAGCTCGGGCCGAGCTGCGGAAAAGTTTAAAACATTTATTTTAAGTAAGAAGGGATCGGGGTATTGAATGTTGATCTCCCAGCCCCTGAGTCCACGGCTTTTCAGGGGCTTCGGTTCGCCACCTGTTAACCGAGGGAAAGGCTTCGAGTGCGCGTGAGAGCCATTGGGATCGGCAAGCGAAAATCAGAAGGCGCACGTCCTTCTACATACGGCACCACCCCCGGCGCACGTAGTCTTGGCCTCCGAGCACTCCTCGTAAAGGCGCCGGAAACAATTCTCACTGCTTCTCTTGTACAAGAACTTGCTCTTGCGAGACTTACGACCGGCCGACTTGCGATTCTCACCGCGATTCTGTCACGGCTCGGCGGGCTGCCGGGTATCGGACGAAACTTAAAAAGGGGAAGCTGCAATTTCCGAGCCGAAGCCCCCAACCGTAAGCGAAGATCTGATTGCCCAATTGACGATCGTGCAACGCAGCCCCTGAATAAGCTGAGCAAAAAATGGGGACAGGTTTCTCGTATTCCCGGGTTCTTGAGACGGAGCAACCTATGAGAGCGCTTGCAAGCCCGTACCTGGCGCCAAGCACATTTCCTTTCTCACCAAAGCGAAGATCTGATCATCTGATGGCCGGCGCTGGCAACGCCAACGCTACTGTGAGAACTGCGCCCGTTTTCTGGAAATGGGTGGGCGCTGGTGGGCGCTGGTGGACGTGTGATGGTCGAGTAGAAATACCAGCGGGGGACCCCAGCTTTGTTGCTTTCCTCTCCCCTCCAGTCTCTCGTTCAACCCCCCCCCCCACATTCGCTATGCGGTCGTCACTCGTTTTGCTCGCCATTTCGGCAGCACTCTCATCAGCATCCATCCTCCCACGCGCTGCCCCTGCCCCTAATCTCCCAGCCTCTTCTTTCACAAAATTTCAGGAACTCTCCCAGTCCGATGCTGAGGCTGGAAAAGACCTCCCGCCTGGGGGCTTCAACACAACATCATCACGCTTCGGCGCCTCATCAGGAGCAGCACAAACCGCCGCCTCGGCAGCCTGCAGCGCTGCCCCAAATATCCGCATCGAATGGCGCTCCTACTCAACCTCCGACCGCCAGGCATTCATCGGTGCCATAAAATGTCTAATGGGCAAGCCTCCGTCTGGACAGTTCCCCCCCGCCACGAGCCGGTATGAAGATTTCGTACGCCTGCATCAAATGTGGATGCCCAACATCCACGGGAACCCGAAGTTCCTGATCTGGCACCGCTACTACTTGTGGACCTTCCAAATGGTGCTCCGCGACGAGTGCGGCTTCAACCGGGCCCTCCCGTGGTGGGACGAGACCTTGGACGCCGGGAGGTTCGCGCAGTCAGATATGTTTACGAGTAATGATTACTTTGGGCGTCTTGCCGGCGGGGGACCGTCTTGCGTTACTAATGGTGCGTTTGCGGGGCTGACCTGTAATATCGGACCTGGCACGAGCACGACGACGCCGCATTGTTTGAGCCGGAATGTGGACGAGAGTCTGACGAGTCAGTGTAACTCCGGGTTTGTGAATACGTGTAATTCGCGTGGCGACTACGCGAGTATGGAGAGCTGCTCTGAAGGAGGGTGAGTTCTTCCCTTCCATCCCCTCTCAACTTCAAAATCAACCAGAGACACACGTACTGACAGGTTGGCCGTAGTCCTCATGCCTACGGACACAACGGTATCGGAGCCGTCATGTCGGACGTCTCTGCCAGTCCCAGTGACCCCGTCTTCTGGATGCACCACTCCTTCATCGACCATAACTTCCGCATCTGGCAGAACCAGGACCCGGCTCGCACGACGACCATCAACGGCAATGACCACTTCGGTAACCCGTTGACGATGGACACGATCGTGACGGTGGCTGGCATCCGACCAGATGTGAAGATTAGCGATATTATGAATACGATGAGCGGTGTCATGATTGGCGGCCACCCGTTTTGCTACAAGTATAGCTATTAGGTCAGGTGTGCATAGGAGCGATCATTTTGGTGTACTGTCTCCATCGATGTCGACAAAATTGATGAAATGTGGTTAACCAGCCGGAATAAATGGTAATTGTAATTAGAACAAATTCTATACTTCACGCCTCGTGAGCAATGAGTCACGCGTGCTACCCCTTCCTAAATAAGTGTATTCTGCCCAGTTCGCCGAGACATCAATGCTCTTATCAATGGATGATCCTGACTTGAGGTTATAAATCGTTCCTCTCTTTTTCGTAAAGGTCGGGGGTTTCTTGGTTGGAAGAAGGGCTGAAACAGAGGCAGCGGAAACCAATATTTCTTACTTAACTTCAAGCAATCCCAAAATTAAAGGTCTCGAAGGGCAAAGAGAGTGGGGGTTAGATGGAAGATATTTGGTTCGAGGGAGTAATTGCCGTAGCTCTAATTTCATTTACAGACTTTGCAGCGGGCCTTGAGTAGTAAGATCTATCTCTACACTCTGGTTATATGACTGTAGTGGTGTTGATTGAAGCAGGGCCGGCTACTTGGCTTCTACGAGCTCCCGGCCCCTTTTAATAAGCGAGGATCCTTAGATCGACACCAAAGAGGATGAACACCTGGCGCTGAAGAGAGAGAGAGGGAGCCACTTCGAATAATATGACAGCAGCGTTTTGAGAAAAGACTTCAGGTCGCTTTCGTTCCTGGGCAGTTTTTTTTTAAAGGTCATCTTGTGGTAAGTATCGGATGAGGAAAAGGTTTCCTAGCTTAAAGTGACTTGGAATTTCAGAATAGCAGCTCGCCCTCTAACTTGCCTTAAATAAGCGAGCTGCACCGTTTCCGGCTTACATAAAGCCACTTTTGAACTTGGTGCAGGACTTTGGGGAGGTGGGGCTTAGCAAGGGAGGAGGGGTAAATCTACGTCTGTATCTTCCTTGACGCAACACCACGGGTGTTTTTTCAGGTGAGTGTGTGGCGGCAGAGCTAATATTTCAATCAGGCAGCTTTGTACTCCAAGAGAGCAGCTTTGGCTAGGGTGTGCATTGCCATTGTGTACAGTACACTAGGGACAGAGTCTGTTTTAACTCAGGAAGGTGGACTATCGACCTCAAGACGTGGTAACTTGAAGCCAGGAAAGCTCTGGGTCACAGAGCGAGCCCACTGATCCAGATGTAGACACTTCGAGCTTCCATGGCCTTGCGAGCATCTAGAGGGAGCCATGCCTTGCGGGGAAATGAAGATTACAAAGGTCGTAATGAGAGTTTGTGGAGAAAGATGACGTTTCAACCAGCTTGTTACCAGTAGAGTCTGTGCTGCTGAACGCTACCAGGTGGACTGTGACTTCCTCCCCAACCGCTTCGAGACTGGACACTGCAACTGATACAGAGCGATGTTGTTCCCCAAGTTTCGAACCCTCTTGATAGAATATTACTTTTGATAATAAATCCGATATCTTCCAAATTTCGGAATTAGTTGTCGAGCCAAGGGATTAAGAATATTAGCGAACGTATTGGAATGGAGATTTATTGACAAGAGCAGCTGGCCCTTCAAGTCCTTGACTTGAGGACATATATATACGTGGTAGTGTGACGAATTAGGTGACGCGTACATGACGAATCAGGCGACGATATAAATGACGACGCAAATCACGATAACGTAGAGCTACTGCAATGAGCTCTAGCTTGAGTGACGTGTAGGAATTGAGAAATTCGTATAGTGACGTATGGTAACGTCACTTTCACCGGAACTCTTCCGTACCCCTTGAGACGGGCACGAAAGGTATTGGGTTTTGTAAAACTATAGCCCTAAAGTATGCATTACTACCAAAGAGTTGGTTTCTCGGCCGCGTTATGTACAGAAATCAATTATGATTCGTACGACTATGAATATCCTCCCAGATTTCAGGACCTGTTTTGCTGCTCCATCTGAAACATCTCACAATTTCCAAACTGACGAAGAATTTGTAATCGAACTGAGCAAGAAACCACGATTGAACGCCATTTGGCCTTCCTTGGCACCGGTTCAAACTATAGCCTTTCTTTAGAGGGCGTTGAACTGTTGAAATGTTTAAGAGTTCACTAGAAAATAACTAAGGCGTTTCTCGAAATGGCAGCAGCGATGACCATCAGACCAGCCGAGCTTGGTGAGTAGATTTATAGGCAGATTCATGTCCGGACATGAAGAGAGAAATTGTAGGAAGGGGGGAAATGAATTAAAAAAGCGCGGAGGTACGAATGATTACTTTTTGGGGGGTCTATGGACGGAAGGTGCCTTGGACGTTGGGGAGTTTAGATGACAGACACTTGTGACTGTCCTTCAATTGGCTTAATTGATAAACAGGATTTGATTCGCGAAAAGCAGAAAAGAAAGAATTGAGCAGCGGTTAATAAGGTGGAAGCGGTTAGGAATTAGATGTTTTTATGCTTACTGTACTGTGGTCCCTCCCTCGATTAGTGTTGCGTACTGCGTGACGTGGGCAGAATCTGACATAATCATTTATTTAAAAACACACCATTCAGAGTGTCTCTTTCGCGTTCCTGGGGCCAATAGGGTTGAGCGCGGTGTCGCCGGGAGGCTGGACCGCACGTGGCGCGCATCAATCCCGCGTCTTTGGCCAGCCTTCTCAGCCCAAAAGCCAGTCTTGAGATTGGAAGGCTCCAGCCCAACGCCCCTCAGCCTTCTGAATGGTGGGACGAGCGAAGGTAAGAAAAGCATGTGGCGGCTACATATATACTGCTGCAGATGCCCAGAAAGTTCATGCTTTTCTCGAACTCAACAATACCCTTTGGTCAACGCCTCCGAAACTGCTCACCGCACATTGTGTGCCCCACCATGACCTGCCCTTACGCTTCGAATCTTGTCCTCATCACGGGCGTCACGGGGCATGTTGGCTTCGGAGTCCTGGTCCATGTTCTCAGTGCAGGATATTCTGTCCGCGCTGCCGTACGTTCTTCAGAAAAAGCCAAAACTATCCGTTCTCATCCTTTGATCAACGCCCTTGACCCAGGCGTGCGGTTAACATTCATCATTGTCCCCGATCTATGCAAAACAAATGCTTACGACGAAGCCGCTCGAGGTGTCGACTATGTAATCCATATCGCGTCGCCACTGATGAGCAATCAAATACCTCCCCCTGACGACCAAGATGCCTTCTTCATCAAACCTGCTGTCCGCGGAACACTGAACATTCTCGAGGCTGCGAAGAAGAACAGGACCGTAAGGAGGGTCGTGATAACAAGTTCGATAACAGCACTTATTCCCTTCTCAGAAGTGAACGGGTCCCAACGCTGCTCGACATGGATATCGCCTATGGATCGCATCCCCTTCGTCCCTGGGCCGTACGCAAATGAATTCGAGGCATACGCTGCCTCGAAAGTAGCGGCACTACAAGAAGCGGAGGCATGGATGGCAACGCACCAACCGCATTTCGATGTTGTCCACCTACACCCATCCTTTGTCGAGGGGCGCAACGACCTTGCCCTGCACACGCGCGAGGTTCTGAAAGGCACGAATGCAATTATACTCAGCATTGCGCTTGGCAAGCAGTTCGATCACTCTACAATGGGGGCTACAGTGCATCTTGAGGATGTGGCGAGGGTACACGTGCAGGCGCTCGATGAGTTGGTTCCAGGGAATGCCAGCTATATCCTCAGTCAGAACACCGAATGGGATGAGGTGAGGGAAATCGTTAGCAGAAATTTCCCCGAGGCGGTTGAAAGGGGGTTACTGCCCAACTCTGGCTCAGCAATCACACATCCAGTCTTCATCGATTCGTTTTCGTCGGAGGAGATATTTGGATTTCGACACACAGGGTTGGAGGAGCAGGTCAAAAGTGTTGTGGGTCATTATTTGGAACTACGGAATACTCAAAAGAAGATGTCGTCTCGAAGATAGAGATTTGTGCATGTGTTTTAGCCTTTGAATGTTCTATTAGCGCTGGAGTTGGGAAAGGGAAACGCGCTGGCACATTTGGGAGTAAACCTGGAAAATGATACCCGGCAACTCAATACATTATTGTTGCGAATTCCAAATTATTTCAACGTTCCTAAGATCCCTCAAAATGTTCATTGATTCCAGAGAGCAGGGCCATATCCTCTATCTTACAAATGACTAAAAAACACTCGGAGGTGAGAAAGGAAATTCAGAGAAGAGCGACCGGTCAGGTGACATAAACGGGCTAGAATCGAATTTGAAAAATTCAAGAAGAGTCAATCTCATTCGGTAGACGAGACAGTTTCCCATTGCGAGATGATGCGTATCAGCATCGGCTGTGAACAGAAAGTAGAAACTTTCTTCAGTCTGAGAGTACTGTTTCGGTTAATTGTTCAAATCACGACTAGACTAGAAACACTTCAAAAGTATTTAACAATAACCATATATATATTGTAGTAAGCATAGAGAAATTTATTAAATAGCTTTTAGATATGATAACCCGATCGATAAAATCAAAACATTTCTAGTGAGAGGGGAGAAACTTTGAAGTGTAGTGAGTCAGGCCAAGCACTTTCAATATTATGTGAACATAGCTACTGTGATCATTGGGCTCTCTACCTTCCCATACACACGCCAGGAACACAACTGCAATTAAAGGCGAATCTTAATATTCCATGGCATCGTAGAGGGATCTGAAAACTTGATCACACAAGCCAATGGTTTTTCTCCCGAATAATCGAAGGATCAAGATAACCGAAGCCCCTGTTTTATTCTACGGGAACCTCGTCTCATGTCTCGCACAGATCATGCGCCACTTATTAAACTTCCCGCGGTCCGTGTCGGTTATCGCAAAGTGTGCCATTTGGAATTTGTTGTTCTTGAGATGACCATAAGCGAGTGCAAGTTCGTCTCAACAAGGCAATAAATCTGCAAGCTCAGCCAACCAGAAACAGAGGGAATCGACGTCAGTCCTGCCAAGGTGCAAGCTTTCAAGCTGACGGTTTTGGATGGGAAATTCCTGTAACAATCAAACTCTTGGATGGTGAGATGACCTAAAGATATTGCGATTGCTTTCAGAAAACTTACCTTTCGTTGTATGAGGATCTTCCGTGCGCTGGGTATTAAAACTGGTGAGCTTCCCGGAGCTGGGAGAATGGGAGAATTCTGTCTTTAAAATAATTTTACTTCCTATCAGTCATTCAGTCATTCAGTCATTCAGTCATTCAGTCATTCAGTCATTCAGTCATTCGTTTTACTGCTCCTAAAAATTGGTCAATATGCAGTTACTATCCGTCACTGTGATTGCTCATGTGGGTATAGCTGCTGCGTTCCCTGGCTTTGGCGCTGGTCGCCGAGGGCTTGCGTTGACGGCTGAGCCTGTAATAAAACCCCGACAACTATCTTTTGGGGAAGCCGTGGACCTAACCTTGGCTGCTCTCAATTTCCAAGAACCTCAGCCAGGAGAAGGTCTGTCAACTCTCTTCTTTGACTAACAGGAGGAAGTACTTTTACGAAAATGCATTGGCTGACCACTTGCAGTACGAGGTTGCTGTCCAGCATTGAATTCTCTTGCCAACCACGATATATGCCCTCGGTCCGGAAAGGGATACACTATCCCTATACTGTTAGAATGTATGGGACCTGGCCTGGGAATTGGCCCCGACTTTATCAACTTGGCTGGCGGTCTCGGATTGGCCACAAACCCCGCGAATTTCAACGTCACGTTGACAAACTCATCGAGCTTTGATCTCGACCATCTCAATTTCCACAACAACATGGAGCACGACGCTTCTCTTTCCCGCGCAGACTTCAACATCGCACAAGATGACCACACCTTCGACAGTGGCGTATGGAATCAAGTCCTTGAAGTGTTCGGAAACAATGATCCCAACATCACCATTGCAGCAGCAGCAAGGACCGTCAGATTCGTCACCTCACAAGCAACTACGCCAGACTTCGCACTTCCCTCAAATCTAGCCACCAATGCTATCTTAGAGTCATGTCTCTACTTGCAAATCATGGGAAGCAGCAGAACAGCAAACGCCGCACCGCTCGGCTTTGTCAAATCACTTTTCGAGTTAGAGAAGCTGCCGATTCTAGACGGATGGATCCCGGCTCAAGAAGTCGTAGATTTGGATTCATTGACGCCCTGTGTAAATACCATCCAGGCAGCTACCGTAGGCTTTAATGGGCTTAACAAACGAGAACTTACGATAGACGATGTAGCGGCTGCAATATCAGGACTGGACTGATTTCAAGCCAGATATAAAAGACACTTTGTTGGGTTGAATGGGGCAAGGCTTTGGAATAGGGAATGCAATTTTTAAGTTGGTTGATACGCCTTGTAAACTTGCAACGCCCCTTCTATGCACTGAATGATGCCAAGTAAGATTGTGAAACCAATAAGGAAAAGCCCTGCAATCCAAAAGTTGTACCACTGTGTAGGGTTACGTCGATCCAGCCATGCTTGCCTGAAGGTTCTCGGTTTTGCGTCGTCGAAGGCCTGCTTCAAGATCACGAGTCGGCCTCGCCAAAACCTAGACTAATTTAGGAAATGCCGTGATATATGATAGATGGGGCTTACTTGAATTTGTCAATTTTCCGCTCGTCTGCCGTCAGTGGTCGACAACGGGCTGCTTCATTGTCAAGATGTAGTTCCATTTGTTTTTTGAGAAACCAGTTCTTCGTATCTCGCTTGTCGATTGGAAGGAGGAGGCTGAGCGTATTAATCGTTTCTTGTATTAGACCTTCTGGATAGATATCGCAACTGGAATTGTCAGCGGAGTGTCACCACCAACTTGAGGGATATTCAACGTCGAGAGTTTGATCCCAAAGGCAGAGCGGAAAACTTTCAATCTATATTGCGAAATGAAGACGCAAGAAATCCCTTCGCAACTTACCAGTCCTTTTGATAGTGGAGATAAGCAGCATGATGGAATAGCGCAACGCTCCGGTCATCCCTCATCCGCAAGTGATCAATAAGATTCGATGTCCATACAATCCGAATACCGCCAATTCGTTCAATATTTCTTGCAGTAAACGTTCTGTCCAGCTCTACAGAGTCTTTCAATACTATGTGATGGTTGAAATACGCTGCCAAGCTTTCGAGCAATGGACCGTCAGCCCAGACGAGGCTCACTTGGCCGGGAGTCAGGGCCTGCCGGAACCCCCCGGTTTGAATCATAAGTAGAAGCCGGACGGTCAGGTCAATGATTTCCCCCGAGACCTCTTGACAGTGTCCTTCTATATCGATATCAAGTGAGAGTCCATCTTGGCGCGTGATGTTCCTTGACGGATCATTTGAGCCAAGTCGACGAGGTGGGAGAGCTTCAAAGACGAAACATCATGCCGCTCCCAGTTATGTAAAGCCAAACGACATTGTTGCTCGAAATGTTCGAAATATGTATCCAATGGCAAGCTCGTGTGGTCAAACGAGGGATCCGATTCGCTCCAGAATCCATCGAGAATTGCTAGTTTGCAAAGTGGCCCAAGAGACTGGCGGGACAAGCCTTGTAATGGAGTTTGAAGAGGATCCGGATCTGGTAATTGAATGTTCATGGCCATGCTGAAGACGTCTATATCGTAGCGCGCCGTGAAGTAAGTTGCAATATTAGAGAGAAAATGAAAGATGAGGCCTTCATGTGAAGTTAGGCGGTCTGGCCGTTGCTCGTTAAAATTGAGGGGCGGGGTTCACTGCAGCTGCGCCTCAACCTCAGCCCCCTCAAGAAGGCTTCACTCAAGCACCCAAAAGTCTATTTAACATAACAACGAAATAAAATAAAGAAAAGGAGTAAATAATCACAATCTACGACTTAATTAGAGTCATCTCGGAAATTTTTAGAATTTTCTCAGCACTAAAAGTTGCAAATTTTTTGGTGTTTCTTGCGTGGGCGGTTGTCGGGTGATCCCTTCTAGCCTTGTGCCATGAGAGTAGCGCGCCCGGGGACGCTGAACCACTCCTTGACAACCTCATTCATAGCCCGCGACGTTACGGCTTCATCTGAGTGAGTAAATGGGATGAAACGGATGAATCATTAGTATTTTCTCAAATCCATCGGCTTGCGATGCACTCTGCAACATCACCTGCGTCGTCCTCGATGACTCAGGTGCCGATAGGCCCCTCCAAGCCATTCTGGGTGGCATTGACAGGGACAACGACAAAAGCACCATGGTCTGAGCCTGAGAAGTTCATAGGTAGCGAACTTTCGCCCTTCGATAAATCACACTAGTGCTGGGAAACAGCTGGTCCGGTTCTGGACTTCGCGCCCCGTCTCTTAGCTGAGGTTGCGAGGCTGCTTAATGCTAGACACGCATACCTCAACGACGGAGAGCCCGTTGACTTCTACGTCTCTTTTGGATTATACATGATTGGGCGTCGAAAGGAGAAGTCAAACCCGACGCTACTATTTGTTTGTCTCAGGCCGTCACCGCGGAAGAGAGCAGTGGAGTTGGTGAAAGAAAGCAGAATCCTGGATCGATACTCCCCTGGCATTCGTTTGGGGGACAGCATCCGCACTCCTTATCGCATCCAAGATCCATCCTCTACATCACTGAGACCATTTCGGCTACTTTGTTGGGGAAGAAGTGCAACAACCGAGTTTGGTAGAAACGTCAGAGTTGTCCAGGATTTACTGCATGCCTCGAGTCGATAGAGCATGTGGAGTTCCGATCATTATAAGCAACTTTAATAAGAATCTGAGAAAGGCCACACTGGGAGGTCTTGTCGTGATAGGGGGCACTCATTTCGGACTGACCGTTTCACACGCATTTCTTGGCCACGCGTTGGAATTTGATGGAGAGAACAACAAAGAAATGTTTGTTGACATCGGCGGCGGATTTGACAGCGACAGCGAGAGTGATTTGGAGGTAGATGACTGGAGGGGACTCTCTCAATTGAGCTTGCAATCCGGGACCAGTGAGAATGATCTTCCCGAATCAGGACAAGCATCAAATAAGGACCCATCATCTATCTTAGAGGCATTAGCGGTACCTCAAAGGATGGAAGACCTTCGACGTAAGACTCTCGATCAACTATCAAAATTATCCTAATCAGCGCGTAGATGACGTGGGGTTACAGAAACCGGTTGGCAACGTAATACGAATCTCAGATGATACTAATGTAGATTGGGCTCTCATCTCCGTCGATAACAGCATTGTAGATCCAAAGCAAGGTAATGCAATTAAAATTAGGAGCGAACTCGGAACCAAAATCATATCCCCGCAGGCTCCATTGTCATTAACTCCTACAGTACGACAGATATTGGCAATCACGGGCGACACAGGGGTAGTTGCTGGGACATCATCCCAGACCTCGGTTTACATGCGTACAAAACATACCCTACGATTCCAGGAGCTATAGACAGTATACCTTACGTCAGATCTAGGTATGCGACACCTTTGAGTTTTGGGAATGAAACACTAAGATACTTTGTTCAGTTGAAGGAGATTGTGGGTCGTGGGTCATCGATCACGACAGCGGAGAGCTCTATGGCCATATCGTTGCTGGTCATCCTGATACTGGTGTCGGATACGTCGTGCCCTCATATCAACTCTTTCGGGACGTAGAAAGGACGCTTGACGACACTCTACTTCTCCCCAGCATCGTAGCCGTGGGGACGCAACCAAAATGTCCATCGAGACAAAAGATTATTACACTATTCTTGGTGCGGATGAGAACACACTTCGAGTCAGATCAAGATGGCGTATGATACGGCACCGTCCGTCAACTAATAGTAACCCAGTAGATGAAAATCTGAAGGAAAAGCTTAAGGTTATAGAAGAGGCCTATACTACGCTGAGCGATCCTGAGTAAGGTCCTAGAACATGGCGACTACAACTCTTCGCTAAATTCAATTTTAGGGAACGCTCAAAATACGACTATGCTCACGAGAATGTCAAGACCGCTCTGCCTCCCCTCGACTCGACATCTATTCAACAAAAGCATCATGATACCGGTTTAGAGCGAAGCGAAAGCAATGTCCATCATCACTATTCTGTATCCGCCAAAGGAATCGCCCAGCTTGACGAACCAAAAGCGGCATTCGTAAATTCTTTCCTCGGAGGCGCCCCAAGCTCATCGAAGGACACAAATGAGTTCATCGGCCCAGAAATTGACGATTTCATTGAACGTCTGTTGCGAGCATCTTCTGATCGGGGTGATGGCAACTTTTGTCTAAATTCTCACGAGATCCAAAGTGTTTGTTCTCGAGCGCGGGCCATATTCCTGGAACAGCCATCTCTCCTCGAATTAGATGCACCCATTAAAATCATTGGGGACGTACACGGTCAATACCCTGACCTGCTCCGGATATTTGAGGCGGGCGGTTTCCCACCTACCTGCAATTATCTCTTCCTTGGAGATTATGTTGATCGAGGAAAGAAATCCCTCGAAACGATCCTCCTCTTGATGTGCTATAAGATCCAGTACCCCGAGAACATCTTTCTTCTAAGGGGTAACCACGAAACTTCGAGCGTAAGCCGAATTTATGGATTTTATGACGAATGTAAGAGAAAATGCAGTGTCAAGATCTGGAAAACTTTCATGGATGTGTTTGATTGTGTAAGTTGAAACTTCAGTGTTTGCAGTGTCTTCACTAATGCATCACTTGCAGCTACCCTTTACCGCGATTGTTGCAGAAAGGATATTCTGTGTTCACGGTGGCCTATCGCCGGATCTGTTTCATATGAATGACATAAGACGCATTGCAAGACCAACAGACATACCGGACTCCGGACTCCTCTGCGATCTTCTATGGGCCGACCCCGAGAGCGGACAAAACAGTTGGGGAACTAATGATCGCGGAGCCAGCTATACTTTTGGCGAGAAGATTATAAAGAAGTTTTTAGAAAAGCACAACTTCGATCTCATTTGTCGAGGACATCAGGTAGTCGAGGACGGATACGAGTTATTCAAAGATCGAATGCTTGTGACGCTGTTTTCTGCTCCGAGCTATTGTGGAGAGTTTGACAATTGGGGCGCTTTCATGAGCGTGGCGAAGGACCTGACGTGTTCATTTGGACTTCTCAAGCCTGGCAATGCGAAAGTGGTCATGTCTGCCCCCACCTTAGCTCTGTAAGCTGCTCTCGCATCTCCGCTACAGCGGGACACACGCGGAGAGAACCCGCTTTCAGACACTGGCGCGTACTTGGGGGGCTGGACCTTACATTTGTCAGCCTAACTTCTTTTCATGCACATATAAGTCTCTTTGAAAATCTAGGTTGAATATAGAGGTTGAAAGTACAGTCATGTTCAGAGGGATTTAGTACCCAGTATGAGATGACCCGTGGGACGTCTTTCCAATAATCCAATCCCTATTAATGTAAAAATGAGGCACATTCAAGGATTCCGACCAAAACATCGAGGAACAAGGTAGCAGTAGCAGTAGTAGTAGGAGAATACCAAGTCTATAAAAGGCTGACTCTCTACCTCACCCAATTTTGTCTTTGGAGCAGTCATCGAATCACTGCCCGAATCCCTCAAACCACTCCTCTCAACCTACACCTCTTTCTCAGACTTCTCTACCACCGGTTGCACTGCTACGTACACCAACCCAACCACCGCAGAATGTTCTGATTCTATCGTAAGTAACAGAAGACTCTAAACAGAGTCATCCGAATTGTCTGATAGATGGATTGCTGACGATGTGATTGATGGCTTGATAGAGTGTGACTTGTGGAAACTTCTGCAACATTAACCCCTGCTATGCCGCTGGCTTGTCAGCTTATTTGAACAGCTGAAAAAGGTCGGGTCAGAAATGCAGCATTGGGTGACTCAACAAAGACTTGTTGGAAAGGAGTTCGATTAAGTGGTGGGCACGAAGGAGAACAAAATGCTGTCTGGGGTTTCCCTCATTGAAACCGAGATTTTAAGTTCCGCGTTTTAAGTCTCTGTCTACGACGTACCTTCTCATCCACTAAAATTACTGAATCGGGAGGAAGTCGAGGATAGGTGTGCCCGTGTTGGGCCGTTTCCGATTCGATTTCTCCTAGCCCTGGATCGTTGCCAACCCTTCCGCCTTTCCCTTCTGACAATTGCATGAACAAGGCAGTATTTGGCATGTGATTAGGCTTCAAAATATGAAGGTAAAGTTGATGTAGATTGAGAAGATGTCTAAAGTACAAGAAGTGCGGTTCAGCGGAGGATTTATATGCCTCTATAGCTGAGTTAACTAAAAGGGGGAGAATCATATGTATGGCAACTGACACCTTCTCGCTTAGCAATTATTTCAACTTTTCGTTCGCCTCTCCCAGAATGCAAGGAGGATTTTCATTCTCCTTTTCCTCCAATCCAAGTTTCCGAGACGATATCTCTCCTATGGGCATAGCGATCGGGAATCCACTCTTCGCCTTAATCTAGCTAGTTGATCTTTCTTCGTCGCGCCTCACCCTCACTATGTTTTATAAATAAGGCTGCTTTCTTTCACCACCCAGCAAACCTCTAATCATCGTTCTTCATATCAAATCTTTGGAGAAACCAGACGTCACACTCAACCTATACCGTTTTCAAACACTATGTGTAAAATCACCGAGGTCACATATTCAAGTTGTGGCAACATCGCTGAAGACCTGACAAGCTGCAAACGTGTACGCAACAACGAAAAGTGCTTTCGAAAACCGAAGTTGACGAAGTTTGTTTGGAAGTGATTGTGTGTTAGGTGACGAGAAGAAATGATGGATGAGGCGTTGAAGGCATTGGGACTTCTTGACGCGCTCAGTGCTAGGGGGGGTGAGGACCGAAGTTCATTGAGAAGTTTTTGAACTGAGCTGGCGAACGCCTTTGAGTGGGGGATGTGAATAGATTGAGAAAGGGCAAGACGAACAGTAGAAAAGGGGGGTGTTTTCTAAAAAGTAGGAAGAAGCTAAGCGAAGAGGCGAAAGGAAGAGTGTTCAAAAGGGGGACATAACATCACGTGATTGCACGGTGGTGGTGTGAGGGGTTAGTGTAGCCCTAAGCGAAGCGCTAGGCTTAGACGATTATTTAGTATCCCTCCCATGAATAATTATGGGTGGGTCCAATATTCGCCACACTATCATGTCACGATTCACACCACTAAAGGCACGCAATCGAGGGTCTATAGCGAATAGCGGCTCTCGAAAGCACCTGATATTTCCTAATTCGGGGATACTGACGAAGTTTCAGTGTGGCGCTACCAAAGGACCCACTCGTAATTATTCAAGGGGGGGGATAGTAAGGAACCTTGCCAAACGTAGTTTCTTAGAAATCAAGTCCTCTGGACCCTACCTCTCCTCCAGGCAAATCAATCGACCGGGTATCAGTGGTCCCCACTCCTTCTGTTGAACTGAGGTCACGTGGGCTGCAATGTAAACCAAGTAAACGATACTGAATTGGCTGCTGTTCTACTGTGGTAAGTAGCCCGTATGCATAGGTAAGGCTCTGAGCGCTCTAAATCACATGCACTAAACCCCTAACTCGCTGAGCCTGTACCTAGGCTGACCTATTCAGCCTTACGGGGCACATTACAGGGCATTCCAGCGATACTCTCCCCTCCCCTAAATGTTTGCTAGTGCACCCAATATAGAAGGCTTGCCAGGGGGGTCAAACAGGGGGTTCTAGCCAATCAAAAAGCTTAGAATCTTCTAGATTCTCTCTACATACACACTTCACCGCTTTCCAAATTAGTCAGTATCTTGTAGGCCCGCCTTTTGCATCAATTACAGCCTTGCATCTGTCCCACCAAGACATATATAGCTTCATAATAAAGTCCACAGGTACAGCTTCCCACGCTTCCCAAATGATCCTTCTCAATTGCGATAGCGGAATCTTAGAGGCATCGTAATAAGCTGTGTAATAATGCTTTTGGATCCAATTCTTCATCCAACTCCACACATGCTCAATAAGGTTGAGATCAGGAGAGTACCGTGGCCATTTAATATAGGGTATTCGTCGTATTCGTAGGTTCTCTTGTGTTTCTTTTGAGCGGTGGCAGGAGGCGTTATCTTGCATCCAAACGAAGGGTTTATCGGGATTCGCATCCAGGAAAGATTCGACGTTATTTAAGATCACAGCGTCATACTTGTACGAGTCCATACTTCCCCACTCCTTCTCCCAAAATGTTGCTGGCCCCTTTCCTCCCATAACAATTGTACCGTGGAACATCCAAGCCGGAAGCTTGGAATACTTGTGTTGTACACACTCACAATTAAAGCGATCAGAGCCATCCTCCTTTACCGTTACATACGATTGTGTATGTGCTCCGCCAGAGGCCCAAACCTCGTCAGAAAAGATCTGGTGAAAGAGGCGTTCGGGTGTCCAAGTCAAGCCTTCCTCTGCAAAGTCGACACGCTCTTGCATAATCTCCGGATCGTCTGAAAAACCCTTCCTCTTCGCAACCCGTTTGCCATATCCAACAAGCTTAAAAGCTGTCCGTATAGCCTGCTCCCCACAATCTTGTAAATAAAGCTCTGGCGGAGCGAGCTCTGGTATATGCTTGAAGGCAATATGCCGGCGAGAGGGTGATTCAAGGAGCCATTGCTCAAGCCGGTGACGTGTGGGTGTAGTGATCTTTGGCTTCCGGCCACAGTGAGCTTTGTATTGTGGGGTAAGTCGATTATTTTTGGCCCGTAAGATTTGGGAAATTGTATAGCCGTACTTCTTGCGTATTCGCTCTGGTGAGATATCAAAATCAAGGGCTGTTTTAATTCGGATACGATCGCTACGTGTAGTAGGTGGTGCGCGTTGTTTTTGAGGGGTCTGCGGTAAAGAGAGATCATTTTGGGAGCTAATAAGGGCGGTTGAGGACTCACAAGTGGGCCTAGGCCCATTCCGGGAGTCCCAAGACTGCGTAGAGAGCTGTGAAAGAGGACGTGGACCATTTTGAGAGTCCCACGATTGCGTAGAGAGCTGTGAAAGCGGAATTGGTAATGGTGGTGGTGATGGTGGTGGAGTCTCAAGGATCTCAGAGGGTAAGCGTCTTCGCGGAGGAGTATTAAGGAGTCGATGTATATCCATTGTAAAGGTCTGAATAGCTTCAATTGCGCAGTATGATTCTGCCGGCAGTATTAAGTAAAGAGAAGGTGCGATTCTAGAAGGTTCTTACTTATGATTGGCTAAAAACCCTTGATTAAGAGCCCTGGTCGATGTGGCGCGCTAGCAAACATTTAGGGGGGGGAGGGTACAGGGTATTAAGCTGTATAGGGTGCTAAGCCCCATAGCGCTCAGCCTCACTAGTGTTCAGCCCCATTAGTGCCTCAGGCACATAATCTCAACAGGTTTTTGGAAATGGGTGCCTGGGGCCGACAGTGGCGACTCAGCTTTGCAGGCACAGCTAAGGTTCAGCTATTCAGCTAACCAGGGGTTTTCAGGGGTCATAGGGGTTATTTGGATGTCTACAAGTATAGGCCTTAGATCGTTGTAAAATGGAGAGTCGCCTGGGAGCCATTGCATGCAACCTTTTACTTGCCTTCTCAACATCGGTTCGCCTTTTTGCGTTTCTCCTTCCGCCTTTGGTTGTCTGTTCGTTGAAATTAGGGGCCTGAGGCCCCTAATAGGCTTAGTAAGCCCTGGAACCGAACGCCATGGGGCTGTGCACTAGCTTAATACCCTGTCCAGCTGGAATACCCTGTCCAGCTGGAATACCCTGTCCAGCTGGAATACCCTGTACAGCTGGAATACCCTGTATAGCTAGAATCGGTTCAGCTTGCATACGGGTTTAGTGCATGTGATTTAGGGGGTTCAGGGCTATATATACGGGCTACTTACCACTGTAGAGCAGCAGTCAATTCAGTATCATTTACATGGTTTACATTGCAAGCACGTGACCCCAGCTTTATTATTAAGCTAGTTCAACAGTTCGCTTCGCCTCATCACACCAAAGCCACCACAACCAGCAACTCTTCAAATAGCAACCTGATCCCCAGCTGAAGATGCACCAACCCATATTTTGTCGTTGACGCTTACTGGGACTGATCCTTTATTTCAGCCACGATACCAGAAATCGACCTGACCGCTAACGGAGAATCACGACCGGAGGCAGGACAAGATGACCGTGCCTCAGCCGGCGGATGCCTCGATTGAGGGGCTTGCCGAAAGTGCGTCATTGGGTGCTGTGAACTGCCTGGGAGTAATCGAACTAGCACCAAGTATCAAACCAGGTTGCGGTGGGATTTTCTCTCCGTCTGCATTAAAGCCAATCGCTGACGTTGTCGTTGAAGACTTGCAGCAGAAATGGTATCCTGCGCTGGAAGCCACGCAAAGCAGCATCCATGACAGTGCATCAAACGAGTTCGCAGCATTTGATTTCTCGCAAGGTATGGACAATTCAAGGATGCTATTGAATAAACGTCAACCTTACCTTTACCAAGATCTTCAGCTTTCAGAATATGGGATTTTCAACGCAACATGTGATCCGCCTATGTCTTTTCGGGATCGGCATCGGTTCTTGTATGGAATTTTCAATTCCTACCCGGACTCGGACTTGATAACAGCCAAGGAGATTGGCAATGTTGCTCGTAAAGTGGGTCTTTTGAGGGAAGAGGTTCTGTCATGGTTTGAGGATGAGAAATCGAGAAGGACGGAGCTTCTTGCAAAGCCTCAGCACAGAGAACAGAGGTTGGGCCAATTCCCGCCGTCCCCCGAGACCATAAGAGCCACTAGCGAAAACAGTTCTTCTTCTTCAACATACAATGCTGCCTCTCCTGGCGCACAATCGCAATCACTGGACATATTTTTACTCTCTCCAGTAGTTAACGACCAAAAGAGACTGGCCCCTCCTGCTCCAAAGCGTGGGAGACCAGCCAAGGGGCACGTCGAGACTGAATCTGATCTTTCCTTGCCAGATGCAAAACGCAGGAAAATCTCGATAAAGTACCCGTGTCCTGATTGTAGGAATATTGATGCTCTAGAACGCTGGGCTGAACCCATCGACCGAAAGGATTTCCCGGAAAACGTTTGGGAATGCCCTAAAACCAACCCACGAACTGGGAAACCATGTTCATCAAATCGCAGGCCGTTTTATCGGCATGACAACTTTGCAACACACTTGAGAGGCGAGCACAACTGCCCTGATTCAGAGGTTGTTGAGTTGAAGCGAACTTGCAAGTTCGAAGTAACAGACTTCTTCCATAAGATCTGTGGGTTTTGTGAAAAGAAATTGGAAACTCGAGATGAATATATTGAGCATGTCAAAGGCCATTTCATGGTACTATCTCGAAGACCCGATCCACCAGCTGATTTCGGTCTTTCCCTTTGGAAAGAAAAATGCGGCTTTGACCGCAAACTCCAACTCGGCATCCACTACCGAAGAAGCCCAGTTTCAAATTCAGGCCCTCGGAATGAGGGTCACGATCATGATGAGGATGAGAATGAAGGCTCCGGTGATGGCACTTCAGACAATCCTGGCCCAGGTAGTTCAGACTTCCGACCGAATAATAACCACGACAACGAAGATAGAGAAGACAGTTCGGAAACCCAAGGCCACCATAGCTCGGACTTTCAATTCAATAACAACAGCCATGAGCTACCGAATTTTTTGTCACACCAGCCTGTACCAAGTCTGTACACCCAGGGCAGACCGCCGGGATCCCCTGAGTCGCACGGATCACAATATCCATATCATACTTCGCGACGACAATCTACGGACTCTTGCAGCTACCACGACAACTTCAACAGTGACCAACCTAAAGAGAAAGGGCGTTGCACATATCCGGACTGTGGCAAGCTGTTCAAAGATCTCAAAGCCCATATGCTGACTCATCAACACGAACGACCCGAAAAATGCCCGATTCAAACCTGCGATTATCACACCAAAGGATTTGCTAGGAAGTACGACAAGAATCGTCATACTTTGGGTCACTTTAAAGGTAGAATGGTCTGTGGCTTTTGTCCTGGTAGCGGTTCTCTCACAGAAAAGTCATTTAGTCGTACAGACTTCTTCAAACGCCACCTCACCATTGTTCATGCAGTAGAACAAACGCCCCCGAATAGCCGGATGAAGATTTCAAGTAGCAAGAGGCTTTCAGACTATGGACCTCATGCTACGGGCAAGTGTTCAACTTGCCAAATGACATTCAATAACGCCCAAGATTTCTATGAGCATCTCGATGACTGTATTCTTCGGGCGGTTCAAGAAGGAGTCTAAGGAGGCTATCAATGCTGCTCATTTGTCAGAGGTAAAGCAAGATTAAGGGAAGCAGCAAGCTTCAATTTGCGCCGCCTTTAAACCAAAATTGTACTGCATCTAAAGCGATTCTATAATCCCAGCCTTACATATCAGAATAGTAGTTTGTATATATTCGGAAGTCATTTGCTCCTTCTGCACTTGGGGCCACCTAAAATAACTTTATGGCTTATAGAGATCGATTGGAGTGTTGCCGAGAGTTTATACCGGGTTCTTGATTACTACTTCTTGCTCTGATCCGCATCCCATTTCTTTATCTACTTGATCGTTTTGCAAAACGCACATAATGAGTTGCTGGAAGCTTAAACGTGATCGAGCACATCCAAGCTCCGTTGGCACAAGTTGCCTCCATGCTGATCCTTCTTCAAGCCACTGCAAGCTCACATATTTTTGGTATTGACTTGGCAATGTCTGGCTTTTCCATATTTCGCCCTGGTATTCCTTGCCCCTGCTATTCTTCTACCAATATTCTTGGCACGCAAGCAGGAGCACGATCATTTCAGGGACCATTCTATAATTTTCAGGCAGTAGCACAGCTAAGGGCCTATCCTGCCAACACTATTTTAGACACATAGATTAAATAAAGCTTAGACTAAGTTATATAAGATTTGCTTTTATATTATAGGTCGTTTATTCTGCACGTGAATCTTTACACTTCCATAACCTTCTATCTCACACGACCAGCGCTGCCCTTACTCAGGCCCCCTCAGCTTCAGCTTAGGTTAATCCTCGCCAGGCGAGTCTCAGAAGCTTATTTCAACCTTGCTACAGCATAACGGGCCAGCCAATCATTAACTACCAAATCTTGACAATAATGAACGATTATAATATTACAAAGAGACAGTACCAGCTATCTATATTCCTCAGCCGTCGAGGCTGACGCTCTCTGCTCATGCAAAGTTTCGCTCTTTACCTCGAAGGAATCTGTTTTTACAATATTCCAAATGTCTTCTGTGCTATCTGAAGCACTCACTCCTTGCGTCTTCTTGCCCCTCTTTCCAAGTGATATCATTACTCCATCATCTCCCTCTAGAATCGTATGATTACCAGCCGTTCTGTTTGCAGTGCTAAAGGCCTGGCTGGTTGACGAATCGTTAATTTCGCTGACCAACACTCGTCGTGTGAGGGTATAGAGGATGGTATCGACAAATCCACAAGATGTCATCAGAGTTGCCCCGATACAGTAAAATGTCAGGGAGACTTTTGCGCCGCTCCAAACGGCCAAGCGCGCGGCAGGAAGTGGCAGCGACAAGGTGACGTAGGCGATGGGGTAGAGGACCAGGAGTCGTGCAGCCCGGCTGATCTTTTGGGAGCTTGCGGTTCGAGAAGCGGGAAGCACCTGCTTTATGCGGTGTCGGAGGAGGCAAAAAATGTAAGCGTATATTACTACGCTGCCGAACTGTGAGAGGAGAATCCAAAAATAGTGGAGGCCGAGACGCTGAAGGCATTTTGTCAGCTTTTATTGAATTTAAAGCTAATAGAGGTCGGATTGCGATTGTGGTAGATAGAAAGAGAGCTCACATATTTAAAATAATCTGGGTTTATCCAGCACTATTCCATTAATCGTTAGTGGCAAGGAGGAAAAGAGAAAAGGGGGAGGCCAGGATAAGAAGTAGCATACCCAAGCCCCAGTGTCCACAAAGTAATTCTTCGGATGCGCAATGGGTCCAATAATTGCTAGGAGCATAATGAAAACCCAGATCCCAATAAGGCAACAACAAAAGCGGACATATTCTACTTGGCGCCCTCTAACGACCGAAAACCAGGTATGAATAGCAATAGATAATACCCAAATGCCGCTGGAAACATCTCCAACCTGGACAAGCCATCCTTGAATAAAGCAAGCTGCGGTTGGAGCCAGGATACCCTTCTTCGCGATCCAATGGAAACTAATAAGAAAGGCTATTGACTGCTGGCAATCGGCGAGGATGAGGTTAAAGATCAAGAGGAGGTACTGATTATAGCCAGGATAAGTGCGATAGTACTTCCTCCAGAAGATCATGCGGTGGGTGATAAAACAGGTCAAACCGATAGTGCTCACAAAGGATGCCAAGGCCATGATTGCAACTGGTAGAAGGGCCGTTCTCAGGTCACCCACAAGAGTATCGGAGCTGTATGGATACGGAAAATATCCATTGGGACCTCGCGTTGCCTGCGGAACCAAGGAGGACGTCGAACTGGGCATTGTGTTGATTTGAGCGTTGGAGAGAGCGGTGTTCGAGGTTTCGCCGCGATGTTGAAATATGTGGGGAATGAAAAGCGAAGGTTCTGCAGAGGCATCCGATCTGTAGTAATAAACCACTTGACAGACACTTGGAAGCAGGGTTCTCCGCTTCGGTGAGGGCTGAGGGGTGATTAGATTTCTGGGCCTGCATGACACCCCTCAAACGCCGACGGGTCTTCCTGGCAGAGGGTTCCACTTGCCACGAGGACGTGGGCCCGATCCGTGTGTGGCTTTGGGAGAGCACCTGCAGGGGAACGGGGCGAGAGAAAGGCTGGGAATGGAATGGTATGGTTTGGGAGGAGACGCATGTACGGAGGTACCGCCCGTAAAGTAATACGACCCCACTACCGTAACCGAAGTCCCTATCAAAAGCACGACCCCACCAAAAGCACGTTTTACATAAAAATAGTTTAATTAATTAAAGAATAACCACTTTATAAAATGATCTAATTTTTTAAATATAGGATCTTTCAAATAGTTAGAATATACTTTGTATATTATATAATCAAAATACTTAATACTTCTTAATATAATAAGCTTTTTCTTATTTTAGTTATATATAATAAATACTAATATAATTTTTATATTATATAATATTATAAAGTAAAAAAATTCTAGATTTACTATTTTATAATATTATAATTAAGATATATATTAAAATTATATATATTATAAGTATAAAAGGCTTAATTATAAAACTAATAATTTAAACTTTTAAAATTTTAATTTTTTTGATTTTTAATTTTAAATAAAAAAGTATTTATAAGATATAAAAATAAGATATAAAGTTATATATAATATCTTATATAAGAACTGATATTTTAAATATAAAAATCATAATTATTAAAGCTTTATATAAATAAATATAATAAATATATATATTATTAATTACTTAATATCGAATTTATAAATATTATATTAATATATATAAGAATCTCTTTATTATTTTTATTTAATTATGTCTTAAAGTTATATTTATAATAAAAAGTTTATACTATTTTTATTAATATCTTATAAATTAATAATAATTAAGAGATTTATATATTAAATAATTAAAAAAAGCTTATATAAAATTATAATAAAGATATTACTTAAAGAATATTTAAATGGAATCTATTAAAATAAATATTAGCTTAAAGAAATCATAATTATTATATAAGATTATTAATAAAGTTAATATTATTAGTTTTTTATAATATCTTAAAATACGATATTTTCAAAATTATAAAATTAAATATATAAAGAGCTTTTAATAAAGATTAACTAATAAATAGATATCTTATATATAATATTAGAAATAAAATTAATAATTTTTATTATATATACTTTATTAGCTTTTATTTTATAAAAAGTTTTTTAAAAAAAATATTTTTGTAAAAAAATTAACTTAAACTTGGATTTTATTTAGAAATAATAGGTTTTAATAAATTATTTCTATATATTTTAAGTTACTATAACAAATAAAATATAACTTATATAATTTTATATTATTTTTTATATTTATTATTAAAATATATTAAAAGTTAATAAATTAAATAAAATATATATCTTTTGAAATATTTTCTTTAATTATACAAAATACTTTATTATTATTTTATTTTATTATTTTATTATATATATAGAGCTCATATATGAAATATTATATAAAACGGATTTATAGTTATCTAATTATTAAGAAATAAAAAATTCGCTAAATCGTGCTTTTGGTGGGGTCGTGCTTTTGGTAGGGAGTTCGGTTACAAGGGTCCGAACGCCGCACGCGATTTCAATAGTCATAACTTTTCCTATACACAACCAAAAGCCTCTATTTAAGTGCTAAAATGATCCCAACGAGGAGGGCTATACACACATCTGGGTTGTGTGCTCTGGTGGTGCGTTGTGGCTGTAATATAAGGTGGAAAGTTGAGATCCTTGCAAGTGGCGTGGTAATACGTCCGTACGTGTGGGCCGAATGGAAGGTGCCCTGTTCGACGCTAGAATGCTGTTGGAATTCTTTGACGGCCGACATTCCTGGACAATCGAAATGGCGTTGGTGGTCGACTTTTGATTGGCAAACCTCTTCAATGAAAGCCACACAAGCGTCGCAGGTGCCGAGACCCGCAGCCGACGGAAGAAAGACTACGGTTTCGAGGAACCGATATCAGATCAGATATGGCCCGCCCCGAGAAGGATTTCGAAGAAAAGCGCAAAATATCCCGTTCTCTTTTGTCACCAATAATTTGAGAGGAGGGTTTATTCATGTCGGCTTCGTGAACATGACGCTCGTAGGATGCTTAGATACCCAACACTAATGGGATCGCATCTTCCAATGTAGAGTTTCGAAAGAAACAGGGGGATGTGGGGTACGACGACGCGTTCAAGCAAGTCAGGTCCAATCATGATGCGACGGAAAGCAACAAAGAATGAAATTTGTTCAGGGAAGCGAGACGCATGAATGCGCGATCCCACAGAACGAGGGATGCAAGCCACCCACTCGCACCCCTCTCGTATAAGACCACCCCTGTTCATAAGACCATCTCCTAAATTGATCAATTGGCTGTCTGCAAACGTTAAACTCTGGTGTGCGGGCGTTCTTGAAAGATGGCTTCGTTGCGGAGACAGACGGCGATGAAGCACTCCCAGACGTCGCACGAGAGCGAAGAGCAGAACGATCATGCTCCCAAATTTGAGCCCAACCCATTTTACTGAAGATTCGGTCTTCCACTAGGGAAATTTAAACCTAAACGTTCTCAACTAGCTCGACCGCCCCGTTCTTTCGAATGCGGTTTGTAGGAACCTCCTCCAAGTTGCCTTCCATGACAGCATGATGATGGCCCTTTACATCCTCAATGTCGTCGTCATCAAACACACGCATACTGCGGCCTCGGTCTTCGGGGCCGAGGAATGTAAGAAGCAGATTGTATGCGAAGACCTATGTACGCACATTAGCCACCTATCATTGTGCGGAATCCTGGAATTAGGGCGAAGGTGTAAAGAGAGGCAGGAGAACCCACACATCCGAGAAAAATACAAATAACTTTCCCGTACTGGTACCTCTTGGTCGCTTTGCCGCCACTGATCTTGGGAGCCAAGGGGAATCGCTCCCCAATTGTGGCCTCAATAGTGGAAGAAGCGGAGGAGACGAGATTTCCGAGCTGATAGGATGTTCCAACCACGAAGGTCCGGAAAGCTGGTGGTGAGAGTTCCATAAGGTGAATGCTAAGTGGGTAGTCAGATTTTTTTTTTGGCCTCTTAAACAAGAACTAAGCTACTTACGGAATAACACCCCACGCTCCCTGGACACAAAACTGCTCGAAAAAGGCTGCCGCAATGACTCCAGTATTGCTAACGTAAGTATACGGGTAGAGTAAAGCACCACCAAGAACACACATGACAATGATACAAAATCGTCTGCCGAAGATCTGTGATGAGTAACCAACTGTCGTTCCACCGAGCATGGCGCCAAGGTTGGCAACGACTTGTGTGACGGTGACCTCATTAGCGGAGAAGTTGTATTGGTTCGTCAGCATAGTCGGGTATAGATCTTGAGATCCGTGGGACTATGAAGAAGTGATTAGTAAGAGGGTTTGAAAGAAGGTGGTCCAGATGACAAAATCTAGGCTTACCATAAAGTTGAATCCTGCCATGAGCAAGACCATGTATATCAATAATAACCAGTGTTTCTTCATGGCCACTTTCCCCTCAGTGATAAAGACTTTCCCAACACTGTCGAGTTCCGCTCTCATTGCAACCCGTTCGACATATGCATCTGTCTCCGGCAACATCAGACGGAAGACGATGAGTAGTACCGGCGGGCAGGCACCAAACCAGAAGAGAGGTCGCCACCCATGAGAGGTAGTATCAACTAGTCCCCTTGAGAACACTGTGGCTAGGAGATATCCAAATGCATAGCCCTGCTGCATCATGCCAGAAAGAATACCCCTTGCTGCTTCTGGAGCGTCTTCAAGTGCAGTAGCCGCTACATTTCCATACAGACCACCCATAGCAATGCCGAATAGAGCGCGGACGGCGAGAAACTGGTGATACGTTTGAGTGAACCCGGTGCCGAGTTCAAGAACGATAAACAACAAATTGTTGATCACAAAGGGCCATTTCCGTCCATATCGATCAGAGGCAATACCAAAGGTAATAGCACCAATAGATCGAAACATAAGAACAAGTGTGATCCCCCAAGTGATATCAGCATTTGTCTTATGGAATTGTGTTGCGAGGTCGCTGACAGTCAAGGACACCGTGAAGAAGTCGAAGGCATCCCACGTCCACGCAAAGAATGCGATCTGGAAATCTTTTAGACTCTGGGCGTGAATCAGGATGAGGAAAAATTGGACGTAAACATACGAGGAAAAACATCCATTGCTTCTGATTCACTGACGCTAGCAATTTGAATGGATTTGGAGCGGGATCGTACGTAGGAAGGACGCTCGAGAAACGGCTGCCAAGGTATCCCATCTTTGCGTCTTTTGAGTTCAACAACTCCTCGGATATTTGGCTCGATGAGGAGTATGGTGTTTGTTCGCAATGGAATGGGTGATGAGCATGTATATAGAATTGTGTAAGGTCTGTCTCTGCCAACTTGAGCAAAGAACAAACTTTCTCGAGGAAGGAGGACACTGCTCTGTCAACACATCGGGGCTATCTTTTCCTTTTATCTTTGACCTCAAGGCGTGTTGGACTTTTGAGAGTTTCGACGTCCCGAGAGCACCCGATGTTTGGAAGTTAACGCCGGCCAATAATACGGGGCCCCCATGGGGAAACGCAGGAAGGGGGGGTCGTTTTGTTCTCTGAGTCAGCCTGCTGAAACCTTTTGCGCTCTAGTTGCTCCTTCCGAATTAAGACTTGCATAAAGAGCCTGTAATTGTGGAATCCTGGAAAGAGAACATCCAAGCAATGAGGCGTTTTTATTGCAAATGGGGGCCTCTTCACCACTGCATGGTCAGTCTGTTTGTGGGCCAGAAAGTGGGTGTGGAAGCGGGACAGAACGAATGCATCGACGCCCCTTGGATCACGAAATCACCCAACCACGAACACTCATGATAAAGGAGCGCAGGGTCTGTATGTTCTCTAACTTAGAAAAACAGTCAATGGGAGGTTATATCGTTGTATCACGAGCCTTCTCCAGCGTCCTGGGCAGGCTGGAATTTACGAGGCTGGCGAAAAAGTTTGCTAAACTTTACTATCATTACCAGGGCAAGCTTTCTGTAATTCAGGCCAATTCAAATTTTTCTTGGCTAGAAAGCTTGCACCGCAGCCATGCCGCGTGGTTGGCAAGGAGCTCCGTCACACTAAAGCCAATCGCCCCGAATGCAGGATTCGAAACATTGTGGAAAGTCAAATTTCGGTCCAGGCAAGTCTATTGGGCGTGTCCCCACCCAAATGCCTCACAAGCTGGGATCAGGGCTATGCGTTGTCTGCAGAAAGTGAGACAAATTCCTTGTTTTCGTCAGTAAGGGTCTTCCTTTTTAGAACGTGGGGCTGCCGTGGGCTTGCGAACTAAATGCGTTCACGATCGCTGGTGCATAACTGGCCAGATATTCCGACTTGCCACGAAACGGGTACCCGTTCGTGCCTTCCACTAGTTTCCACTGGTGGTTCGTGAAAGCGACCTGGCCATACTAGCGACCTGGCCAACCCCCCAAAATTGGTGTTCCTCGCTAAATTTGTAGCAGACCAGCACAGACCAGCTAGCTACAAGTACCTCCTACACAAATTACTATGTGAAATACTTGGCCAGGTCGCTAGTATGGCCAGGTCGCTTTCACGAACCACCAGTGGAAACTAGTGGAAGGTACGAACGGGTAATAGATGCAGCTGAGTAGGTCCGAAGAAATGTCGTGTCTCGGGTGGCTGATACCAAACGGAGTAAGCCGCAAATGTCGGGAAGTGATGGCTTTTGAACAAGGTATAGTGTGTGGAGTCCCCACGATAGTCTTCGGGGCGGCCTCTCTCTTCTGGCTCCTGTTCCGTAAGGTTACCGTGCGCAACACATGTGAAAAGGGGTATGTCGTAGAGCCTTCCTTTCAGAGATCGCAGATTTATAAGATCTTAGTTGCGAAGATATCGCTAGTGTAATCGAGCAGAGATTACTGAACTCGAGGGAGCCTGACGAAAGGCTATTTTTTGGTAATAGGAGGGGCTCCTTAGGGTTTAAGTGGGCGAGAAGGGTTGAATTATTGGGCCGCCACATTTATCCTTTCTATATTAGGTTAGCTCCTGGCCCGTTGCGTGTCAGTCCGTGAAGGCTCCAAATACAGACTTTACGGCGTCTTACGGTAATGGAGCTTGCATTGCAGTATATTACTCTCTACACTTTCTTTGGCAGCAAACTTGAAAATCGCTTTGGAGCCCATCAGTCCATTAGAATGCGGTGTTCCGCGTTCTCCCATCCGCCTCCCTTCTGGTGGCGTCTGTCTTTCCGCTCCGATAGAGCGGAAGCTCTTCAAGCAGACACATTTCAAAATGGATTTTCCGGCCCCGAGAAATTCCGCATCCCAGCCGATGATATTCACTTCTTGTTCTTTAGTTTGATATCTATGCGGTATGCATTTAATGCGTCTCTTATCTCAGAGTGGATCGACATCTCCACTTCTTTTGTAATTGAAAATCAAATTCACAAAGAATATGGGTTGGAAAGACAAGTAACTTAGCAACCTCCACAAAGGCAGGAAGGGTCTCCTCGGTGCTTCCTCTGGCCGGCGGTGGTTTCATCTTGAGAACGGACTGCTCGTCATTCTTGTTTCACAAGCCGATCAGAACGTTTATCTTCTACCTGTCGTTCGGCGATATACTTTCTGCAGTTGCGAGTCTCATGGGGGTGGATGGATGGAAGCTGAGCAAGACTCGGTCTTATCCCAACTTCCGGCATTATTCATCCTGCAGTAAGCAACTCCATCTGTCTAGGTTTTTCAAGATACTCAAGTTATGCAGATGGACGCATACGGACTTTCTGTGGAGCCTTTGTATGGCATTAAACATCAAACTTGCTTCTTGTAAGGGGTAATTTATAGCAGACCTAAAAAACCTGGGGTGGAAGCATTTCGTGGCCTGCTGCGTGGTGCCATTAATGCTTTCCATGAGGTTCCATTCCGTGAGGACCCATTCCGTGAGGACCAAAAATGGAGGCAGGAGCTACGGGCAGGCTACGACATGTAATGGTACTTGACCTTCGATTGTGGTTTTCGCTCACCCTCGTATGGATTTGATAATCAGTGGTTATATTTTCGTCTCTCTACGACTTGTCTGGTATGACTCTCATATCCCTAAACATATAATTACGCTCATACTTCTATAGGCGTGTAGCCATTGTGAGCTGTGCTATATATCTTCTTAGGCAGCGTTATCATTTAGAAGCGTCAAGTCCTGGGATGTCCCAATGAAGAGTCGTGTATCCGCCATCTGACTGCAAATGACCAAACAGTCTGAGTTGAGCCGTCTTCCCGCGGATGAAGCTCTGCGAAGAAGATGACATGAAAAACTTGATCCAGTCGGTAAAGAAGTCCGGACCATATTTGATCTATATCGAAACTACGGAACAATATCTGTTACATAGATGAACCGCTACGGAAATAAATATGGATGCTGCAACATGGGCTTGTCTAAGATGTCCATTCCTCCTATCGCTTTGGTGCAGGCTCGGCAAAAATTCCTTAATTTCCGGTATCAATAGGAATCGATGCCAGAATCGTAAGGTATCGATAGTATCGATAGTTCTATCGATACTTAGTCAGTATTTGCCCTATTTCTAAGGCCCTACCTAATTATTTTGACCCCACCATCTGATTTACTAAATAATCATATGATTCACAGCTTAATATAACTAATTCTAATACCCTAGCTAATTATTTTAATTCCATTATCTGAACTATAGTAAATAACTATATGATTCACAGCTTTATAGCCCTATTTCTAAGGCTCTAGCCAATTATTTTCCCCGTATCGTCTGAACTATACCAAATAACTATATAATTCACAGCTTAATTCACAGCTTAATCTGAATTATTCAGGCTCCCATTTGAGTCATTTTTGGCCCTAGATATCTATATAATAGGCTCTTAGCTCTTAGCCCTCTCTCTAACTTCCTTACATATATATATACTCTCTCTCTCTCCTTATATACTCCATATATATACCTCATATATAATACTTTATACATACTACTTCATATATATATATATATATATAATAGCAGCCCAAGCTCAATAAGATCTCGTTATCTAGACTCGTATAAACCCCTCTAATAATACTGAGGCTTAGTACTTCCTTTGTATAGGAGGGAATAAGCTCCAGCCCTTAGTTATTAATAGTAGCCCTTAGCAGAAGCGTACCTTTAATATTAATAATCCAGAACCCTCAGATATTATAATTAAGGATCTCTATACTCCTGGTATCTTTAATACCCTACTTCTCCCTGAGGTTATTAATATAATCTTGACCCAGCGAGTATAAGTTACTTCTCCTGAGTTTATATAATCTGTACTAAGTAATATAGTAGCAAAGTTAATACCCAGATTCCTTATACTACTTATAGTAAGGATTAAGGTATATTTATAGAGTATTTAAGGGTTCCTGGTAGAGAATGGCATAGGGCATGTGGTAACTATATTCGTTATAGTCATGTGACCCAATATACTATATAAGATATTAATAATAATAGAGAAGAGGGAGGTTCTAGAGAAAAGCCTAAATCTCCTAAAATTATATAAAGTGGACAGGTTTCAAAGCCTGGAGCTTATCCTGGCTAGTAAGTTTATAGGTTCTAGATAGAGCTACTTACTCTCTTTATATTATATAATTACCTGGCTTTTATATAATATTTAATAGACTATATTAAGCTCTCAATATTTACCCTCTTTTGATTTTACTTATAATTGCAATTACTTTTATATAGTACCTAAAAACTAAGAAAAGAGATTCTAATCTGGCCTTAAAGTATTATATAAAAAGTATAGAATCTCTCTTCTTTTTTAGATTACTCTTTTAGTCTTAAGGAAAGTATTCAGAATCCTACTTCTTTTCTAGTATTTTAAGTACTCTTATATCTCAATTATCTCTGCTTCTATTTATACCCTATCCCAGCTTACTATATAATATTCTCCTAAAAATACTTTCTCTGGCTTATTACTTATTAATAGAATAGAGAGGATATTAATAGCTATAAGAGAGAGTCTTGGCCAGTATTATCTCTATATATCCTAATACTACTATATAAGGGCCCCCTATTTACTAGGATTATATGATTCTAGTAAGTTATAGTCCTCAAACTTGTCTTGACTTATAGGACGAGCTTCTGCTCTAAGAGACAAGGTAATATAATTATATATATCTAGTTCTGGTATCTTATAAGACAAGCCTTTATACCAAAAAGCTAGTAGTATAGGTATAATAATAGGCCTTTCCCAATATTTCTCCCAGAACTTTTTAACCTTAGCTAAGACTGGCTTTAACTATTTCTTTGGCTAGTATATCTTAATATACCTTATATAATTATAAAGATTTAAGATTAATATAGTAGTATAAACTAGAGACATATCGGTTCTTATATAATAATTATCCAGAACCTTATATACTGCCTTGATTCAATAAAGGAAGTCTCTCTTTTCTAGATCTTTACTTTTCTAATATTTAGCCTATTAGAATTAGTATAATTATATAAAATTATATAAAAGAAAAGGATAACTTATATTCTTTTATTAGAGGTATTTAATTAAGATATCTATTATAAAGAGGGTAGAATTAAGGGAAGTTAAGCCCTCAGCTATAAGAATAGCTCGTATAAAGAATACAAGGAAGTCCTTAATTATATAAAGCTTTTTCTAATCTTTAGGAGTCAAGATATCCTCTTTAAGCTCCTCCTTATAGTTTTAATAATACCTTTCTACTACCGGTCTTAAATCAAGTAGTATATAAAGTATCTTATACTAGCTATTCTACCTTATATAATTATCTATTAGAATTAGCCTTTTCGCAAGTATATAAAACTCCTCTATTCTTCTAGCTAACCTATAAATATAAACCACAATATTATATACTTGACCAAGGGATCCTATTAGCCTAAACTGGGCCTTTATTACCTCTATTATATTAAAGACTCTAGTATACCACTCCTGCTTATTATATAAATCAAGGTTTTCTAAGCTAACGTGATTTGTAAATAAGAAGGCTTATATAACTAGATTAATAATATAGCCCAGATAGTGAATATACTAGTAATCTGCCTCCTAGTTCAAGCTTAGCTTATCCTTTAGCTCCTTTTAAACTAATTAATAAAGGATATTATTTATTAAGGCATTATTATATATAATAGCTCCAAGCTTATAAGTAATACCATAATCTTAAAGAACTAGCCAAAGGATTAATATTTGAGTTTCTGAGCTATGGCCAGGAACCTGCTTTAAAGCAAGAAGGGCCTTTTATTACTTTCTATTATATATAGTAAAATGGCTACAGATTATAAGTAAAAGTAATTGATTTGGAGAGGTCCAGATATCTAGAGAGATATGGATAAGTAAGAGTATAGCCTGGACTACTTATTATACGGTATCCTAGTGCCTTTTTCAAGTATCTTTGACTAAGCTAGTAATTCCTGAATACAAAGTTATAATCTTGCCTTTAATAGCTTGATTAAATGCTTGGCAAAGCATATGAAACTCTAGCCATTTAATAAGAATATAGGATAGATTCTATATAATAATAAGAGTAATTAGAGCTTCAAGAATAACCGAGATATTAAGATAAGCTTCCAGGATCTTAGTATCAAGCTTCTCTTGCTTACTCGTTCCAGTAGCTTAGTAGTAATATTGCCTTAATTACAAATTAACCATTACTTGGTTCTTACTAATAGCCATCTCAATAGGGATCTTGTAAACACCTTATATATACTTCTTTATATTCTCTGAAAAAGAAGTATAATATGGCTTTCTCGTTTTCTTATTATAATAGATATAATAGAAGTAGGCTTGGTTCTCCTTCTCAGTAGGATTACGTATATACTTCCAGACCGGGGCCCTCAATTTTCGGCTGGAAGGGGCTTCTAGTTCTAGATCTACAAAAGCAGAAGCTAGAGAGGAAGAGTCTAGCTCATGCGAAGAAGACATTTTGAGTATGTAATCCAAATAGAATAAGAATAAAAGATGTGAGAATAGAGAGAGTGAAAAATTAGAGAGTGCGGGATAGAAAGCGGTAAGGAATCAATAAGGAATCGATACGTATCGATACTTACTAATACCTTATTAATACCAGTAACTATCGATTCCTTATCGATACCTCAGGTATTTTTGCCGAGCCTGCTTTGGTGGCTATCTGAGTACGATATCCCCCTCCGTCCCCCTCGTGCCCGCCATCCTGCTATTGTCACCAAATTTAGGGCTTCTAGAATCAATAACGGCCAAACAGATCCCATCGACCGTTAATCGGATCTACGATCTGATCCACCACGAGGGTACCAACTACGGTCTGAACTTCGCCGGGTGCCTGGTTTTGCCTTTCCGAGGGGGTCATGGGATGACAGTATCTACATTTTCACTTCGTTTCCCATATGCAAAGAGCTGCGGCTATTCTACATCTCTAGTAGGTTCGGTTGAACAAGGTGCCGGGGCAGATGCAAAACATTCCGTTTCTCGGAAGGAGATTTAATGTGATCAATGCGGCGAACATAGCGTCTTTGTAACTCAACGTTCGATAACCCGAAGCTGCAGCATATCGAAACATCCTGGGGCTTGTCGCTGAGTGGCATGGACTCTTCCCATTGTTGCATGATACCCCTTAGTACCAAAACTCTAGTCAACTGAATGTAGGAAATTTTGTGGCAGTTATTTGGACTTCTTTAGATTTGAGTGCCTGTAATCGAATAAAGAGTTTGGCGTGACAGGCTGGAAGACGTGTGCGTTTTTGACACCATTGCCCACTTTGATTTGTTCGATTCTCCTACGGTCGCCTGAACAGATACTAATATATTCTGTGTTTACTTGTAATGCTCCAACCACGCCGCCTTATCAAACTCGGACTGTCTTTTGAAGCCTAGTATGTGTAGTTCTTGACATAATAAAAGCACAATATGCACATCGATGGTCTAGTTCAAGACACAGACCACCCGGGAGGTATAAGGAGCATACCAAGGCGTACAGCTCGCCCCAACCGTAACCTCAAAACGGGCGAGAAGGTTGAGAACCATTCACAGCTCTAGCGCAGTGGGCTTAGGCGTTGGGGTTGAGGAACGGCGGGATCCTTAAGCCATGCATAGGGCACACTAACGCATACCAAGATCTTGACTCTATTCCCGATGTCCACAAACAGCACTCGTAGTTGAACGGGTCTGTTTATTAAGGCCTTTAATATAATGAGTTAACTTAAATCTCTCTAGAGAGGTCCGAAATGAGAGTTTAAAAATAACTTAACGATTAATTAGTCAATTACATAGGTGATCAATCAATGTAGACTCATTGGCCGATCCATTGATTAATTACTCATTTTGAGAATTAGTGAGTAATTCGGAACGGGTCACCTCCGCTAAATAAAGCCTGAGATCGGACTCGGGGGAACTCGGGGAAATCGAACAAACCACTTCCAGGCACCCGTAACTTCCCCACGCTTCACTTCACCGCTACTTCATCACCTACCATCTCACCTCATAATCTCAAGACCAACAACCTCAAGGCTTGCATGAACCCAAATGTTTTACACAGCCAACTCCTCGCCCTAGCTCAGCGGGAGAACCCCCTAAGCATTGGCAAGGAGATCCATCCACCTTCCTACCTACACAAAAGAAGCTTTGAAAACGTCAAATATCAAACATATCCTTTCGCCATCTCTTCTCATACCATTTCCCAGCCATGAGGACAGAAAGAAAAACTCACCAAGAGCTTGAAGAAAGGTGATGATCACGTGATCACAAGTTGAGGACTGGCTAACGCCTTCTGGAGCTATAAAAGAAGCCTTCCTTACATAGCGATCTAATCAACCCTTAGGTCGCCATATCGCCGTACGTGCCCTGAGTGTACGAGGTGTTTTATCTCCCATCGCATGCAAAATTCCCCGAGGAGAAACGTAAACCGTGCCAGGGGTCAAAAGCTCCCATGGAACGTGTGTGCCGCTCTCCACATTCATCCACGTATGTGCTGGAGTGGGCGTTGAGGGTTTTTTGGAAAAGCTAAAATTGCAAATTGACGTGGGTTGCAGGATAATTGATTCCACTGAAAGGCTAGCTATATTGCAAAAACATAATCCAAGAACGATTACTAAAGAAAGAAAATCTTTCATAACCAAGCACCTTTCTCAATTTCGGCCCCACAATCAAGCCTTAAAAAGTAAGGTCAGCCCACGACGAAGATCCTCCCCAAAGCGTGCTGTACGTCACAGCCGCCGTAGCTGTAGTCTCATACAACCGAGAAGTAGTTGCCGAGCCAGCTCCAGTGTTCTCATATTCTTCGTAAATACTTTATTTTAATCCTAGTTAGCGATCATATTACAGCGAACGATAAGAAACTTACGGGGTTGCTCCTACAGCTAAAGTGGTCTATCCCTTGGCGTTGATAACACTACCCAGGTTGCACTTTTGGAAGATGACTCTTGAATAAATCCCCCATGGCTGGCCCAGATAATTAGCTGCTGTAGTCGTCCATCCAGATGCTGCTGTGATTGTGGACGTGTCGAAAATGTACCAGGCCGGGTCGCTAGCTGATGCCCTATTGTTGGCAGTGATTGAACCTCCACCATTACAAGCAATTGTGCCTACCTCTTGGTTAAAAGCGAGGTGAGGATTTGGAGCCAGTATACTTACAATCTCCAAACCAAGCAGCAGCATTACCGAAGATGAAGTCATCCGCCCCTATGCATGACCGGTGATTATCTATTTAAAAGGCAAATGTCTGCCATGCGGGATACGACATACCTTCGACATAACACCTGGAGTAATATTGATAACCAGACTTAGCATAGAGCGTGTCTTGATATCCATAAATTCCACAAGCGTACATAGCAATGTAGTTCCCCGTAGAGGTCACGGCAACTGCCTGCGGCGAATTCAGTCAACACAGGGACTTGTTTTGGAACCCAAAACAGCTGTTCAAAAGCCAGCTCTAAACGAACAACATACCTGTGCACCTGCACCATAGGTGTTTTTAATATTGATATTCCACACCGAATAGTTGTCGCCATAGAGGTGCAAGGCAGAACTCGCGTCCAATTTACCGCTGCAGAAGAATTTTCGCTTGTGGTAATTGTCACCAGTGTGGGAAATGAGTAGAGTAGAGTAGAGTAGTGGGCCCTACTCATATTCTACTCAAATAAATTTCTCACTACTCATACTCTACTCAATACTCTACTCAACTACTCTAGAATATTCTAGAGTAGTTGAGTAGTATGCACGTGATACTATACGTAATATTACACGTGATACGCTAGCCCAATTAGGTAAGGCTCCGGGGTAGCCCGAGTCTAGCGCCACTGCACTGCCTAATTAAGTAGTGGCAGGGCTTAGTAAGCAAGCTAGAACCTTAATATATTTATAGGCTTCCTTAGCTATTAAGGGCAAACTCTTCTCTCAAGGTACTCTTATTATTTAAATTATATAATAGACTTAATAAGAGTACTATTAAGATAATATCTTACTTAAAAAGCTGGGGGTTATTTAGTATATTAAATAATTAGATTAGATTAGATTAATGGCCATTAATCTAATCTAATTACGAAATATACTCATTAATTATATTCTATTCACGTATTAATTAGATTAATTATAATTAATCTGATTAATCTGATTAATACACACGTAATCATATACGTAACCGTACTAGCCTAATCTGGTAACGCTCCTGCCCGCTCTAGCTCTAGCACTATACTAATCAGGTACTATAATGCTTAGTAAGCGACCCGAAGCTAAATTAAAAAGGAGGAATATAGGAAAATAACTAGTTTATTATTATTAAAAGCTAGTATATAGCTACTATTATATAAGCCCTGGCTTAGTTTAATTAGGGCTACCTAATAAGTGCCTTAGTTATTTAATACTTATTAAGTAAACAGTAATTTACTATAGTTACGTAACAGATTAATTAGATTAATTATAATTAATCTAATTAATTATTCTAATCTAATTAATTATTCTAATCTAATTAATTATTCTAATCTAATTAATTATTCTAATCTAATTAATTATTCTAATCTAATTAATTATTCTAATCTAATTAATTATTCTAATCTAATTAATTATTCTAATCTAATTAATTATTCTAATCTAATTAATTATTCTAATCTAATTAATTATTCTAATCTAATTAATTATTCTAATCTAATTAATTATTCTAATCTAATTAATTATTCTAATCTAATTAATTATTCTAATCTAATTAATTATTCTAATCTAATTAATTATTCTAATCTAATTAAAAAAATCCGAATTATATTAATTATAATCTAATTACATTAATTAATTAATTAGTTAATTTAATTAACGTAATTAATCCTTTAATATACTGGAATTAATTATATATTAGGACTTGCACTAAATCCCCTACGTCCCTGCGGGTTTAGTGTGTATTAGTAGTACGGTCAAAAATTAGTAATATGGTCAATTTTTTTACTATTATATTAATTTTAATTAATTAAATATTAATACCATGGCCAAATTCGACCCAGAAGAAGAGAAAAGGATAGCCCAGGCCTCTGATTTCTATGCCAGGAACCCATATATTAAAAATCTGCGATTACGCATTAATTTAGGGTCAAATTACGCCTCTGGAAAGCGCATCTCGCTGGCCGATTATTACAAAATATTAAAGGAGGCCTCAATAAGGTCCTTTATCGTAATTAGGAGAATGCCCTAAAGTAGTTTATTGACTTTTTAATCTATTTAGGCCATAATATTAATCTCAAGAGAGTGCGGGGGATAGCTAATAAGATTCTGGAAGAGAGCGTATTGTGGTACGGCAGGCCGTACTCGTCAAAAATCATGTTGTTTTGGCAGTTTTGAGGTTTAGGTCACATGGCAAAGGCCGCGGCCTTTTGCACGTAACTTGCGGAAATCACATAAGAAAGCTGGTTTTTCTGTAGACTTAGAGAATAATCCTTCATGCACATTCAATCAATTGAGCTTTTGCATACTGCACACTGTTTATGCTTTACTGTTTACGCTTTTGATTTGTTGTTTTGCTGTCAAGTCACGTTTTGCGCTCTGGTATACTTTATGTGGGTTTTTGTCTTGTCGCAGTTTCCCTCCCACAGTATCTACCTACCAGGCAACGCATATTTGCGTATAATAATAAATACTAGGTAGAGAGCTTGGTTTTGTCAAGCCACTTCCTCCTTTCCCCTTTATTTTATAATAATGACTTTGGTAATATAGTTAGATTAGCTACTAATAAGAAGGAGATAATTATTGGGTATACGAATTAAGATATAGTAGTTGTATAATTAATTAATTTCTTAGAATCGTAGCATTTTGGGGGGGTCGCCGACGAGGTAAAGTATATAATATTTCCACCATTTTTCACTACATATATATGCAATATAAAAGTAAGAGAATTCTAATTATTAATTATAGTATAAACTCTATATAAACTATAAAATATTTTTCTTCGATTTTCACTAAAATTCCGAAGATTAGTATTCTAAAAAAATGACCGTATTACTGATTTTTGACCGTATCGCTGATATGCACTAAACCCGCAGGGATATAGGGGATTTAGTACAAGTCCTAACGTATAATTATTTAAAGACGAATTAGAAAGAGTAAAAGGAGAAGAAAAAAAGCAGGAAAAGAAAGATTTCAAAGAGGGAAATCTGGTTTTTATAGAAGAAAAGTGGTATTTAAGTAGCCTTATATAAGCTCTAGCTTAAATTATATAGTACTACTTAATATGTACCTTATTTATTTATTAATAATTAAATAAATATTAATTTATTATATTTACGTAACTTGTACGTGACTACTCTTGAGTTACTCTAGAGTAGTACTCTACTCTACTCTACTCAAGTACCATATTACGCTACTCAAACTCTACTCTACTCTACTCAAGACTACTCTAGAGTAGCTTGAGTAGCTTGAGTAGTTTTTGCCCACACTGATTGTCACTTGGTTGTCTGCCTGAATACCTGTACTATTGCTTCGATAGTGAATAATTGAACCGTCCTCTTCACTTCTCTCCTGAATAAAACGTCTGTTAATACTTTACTTTACCGAATAGCCGTAGATGCTCAGAGCTCCCCCATACTGAATCATAACACGCTCCGTATACGTTCCAGGCCACATGGAGATACATTTGGATGTTGTGCCAGAGCCCAGAGCTGCCACAGCAAAGGCTAAAGTTGAGTACTGACTATAGGAAGGGCTCGTTCCTTGCACCTCGAGGCAGCTACCAGGGTTGGCTGTTCGAGCAGAACGCTTCTCAATGGTTCTGCTTGGATGATTTGCTGACGGAGTAGGAGAGGCATCTGCAACAAGGGCAACAAGTCCGAAAAAGAACAGAATAAGGGTGTGCATAATTGAAAGTGCAGTTTGCTTGATAGTGCTATATTCAAACCATCTATCTCAATGAGATGAAAAGATCCAAGGGAGATAGCATCTCCTTCCTTTTAGGTGTGCGGCTTACTATGAGAAGCAGAAACCACAAGGTGGACGTCGTCGTCAGAATTACGTATGTCCACACCCTCAAATTCCCACCACCCCGTCACATTTTTTCCGTCTATCAAACATTTCGTCCAAGCCTGATCGGATGGACCTTTGTAAGCAAGTTATTCGTGGAAATTTAAATCTGTTCTACAAAAGCGGAGAAATCAACTTCTCCTTTGTGCACATCGAGCAGCTCGGGATGGTCAACTCATCTCTCGCGGCTTGCAGGGCTCAATTAAGGCTAAATTCAGAACTGCCGGACTGTCATTGTGGGGACAGCCAAACATACCTGCCCCACAATGGCCGGGAAGTGGCGTTAAGAACTTGCGGGGAATCCTGGTACAGCTTTACTAACGCGGGCAGTGGTAGCTGAGCAAGCTGGGAAGTACGAAGATCACGGCATAAAGTGACGGGATTACACGGCATTTGGGCCCTTGGCATCCCCAGGGCACAATTTAGGGGTTGAGCCCCGTTGTGAGGCCCTATGACTTCAGGCCATACCAGTTCGTGCCTTCCACTAGTTTCCACCGGTGGTTCGTGAAAGCAATCTGGCCACACTAGCGATTTGGCCAAATTACGTGTGCACTATTACTAATCAAGGAATATTGCTTTTGTATGGGATTTACTAGTATTATCGATATCTAGAAATTACTACTATAGCTTCTTCAGACCTATCTGATTTTCTACTTTTGCTTTCCGAGCCAAACTAATTATCTCTACTCTCCTCTAATAAAAAGCTTATATATTCCCTTATAAGCTCTTTCTCTCAATACTTTGCCTCTATTATAGCTACTACTCGTTCGGCCGGGCTCACCTGGTTCTCGCTTAGTACGCTTACCAGGTGAGGGAGGGCAATATATAAAAACCAGCAGTATACAAATTTTTCCCTATATATATAGAACCATGGAGTTTTAGCCCACTATAACCCCTATTTTCCCCATAAATTGTAATTAGTAGCCTTCATTTTCTAATTAATTACGTCCCAGTAATTAGCTTCAAACCTTCGCATTATTTTTTTGTACTTATTTCTCCAAGGCTTACTTAGCCTAGCATACCTTATATTAACCACCCGAGCTTTATCCTTATTATCTGCCTTAATATCCTTTCTTTCTTACTCTATAATAATCTTCTCATATTTCTAAATAATCTTACTAGCTCCTTCTTTTCTAGCTAAACGTTCCTTCTCCGCAAGGCCCAGATCTAGTACTCTTTATCTAGCAAGAGTACTAGCTAAAATTAACCTCTCTAATACCGCTTCTATCTTCTCTTATATACGTAAAACCGAAGGAGTAATAGATATACTATTTATTAATTATATTATATAATCTTTAATATAATTATACCTCGTTTTTATATATATAATATTAATAATATAGGCTAATCTGCCTAGTCTTTATAGGTAGAAATACGGGATAGCAGAATAGCAAAACCAGGAGAAAAAGATAAAATTAGTAAAGAGTACTATAAAAGAGGAATTAGAGTTTATAGACACTTTAAAAGCTTTTTATACTTCTTTATTTTCTATAGAACTCTAAGTAAATTAAAAGATATTAATCTAAATCTTTTTTTTAAAGAAAGAGATTATAATATACCGGCTCTTAAAAACCCTATTCTAAAACTTCTAGAAAATTATAAAGAAGTCTATTTTATTAAACTTTTCTGTATTATTAAAAATCTCTTAATAAAACTTCTTTTAAAACTAGTATTTTAAAGATTAGAAAATAATAATATTAAATAATTAAAAAAGGTAAATTATATATATTAATAATCTAAATAATTAAATATAATTTTTCTAATAGAAATATAAAAATTCGTTAGATAAATAAGAATTATATCTATTAAAAATCAAGATCCTATAAATATTTATTTATAAAAGAAAATAGTATTTAATAAAGTATTTGAAATATTATAAATCCAGGTAATTATTTATAAAACTAGTAAAAATATATATAAATTTAATACTATTATTAAATATTTATAGAAATCTTTCTTTTATTATAATTAATTATAGCTATAATTATAACTAATTCTCGATTATCAAAATTAGTATTATATATTATTTTATAATCTAGTAATATATATATAATATTTCCCGTTACTATTCTAATTTAAAAGCTATTCTTATTAAAATTAGATATATTCTTTATATAAATACTTTATTTTCTTTTATATTTATTAAAATTAGTAAAATATTTCTTAATATCTTTTATAATATATATATTTAGACGTTTTATAAATATTAATTTCTCTCGAATTTGCTTTAGGAATTCATAATTACAAATAATCTAGGCTTTTATTTATTTATAAAATATAAAGAAATTAATATTACTAGTATTATAATAAATTAGCCTAAAAATATTTATTTAAATTACTTTTATATTAGAATTTTATTCTAAGATATAAAGTATTAAGAAATAATCTTTTAAAAACTTATCTTATAATATTAAAAGTTTTTTATTATATTTATTTCAAGAGTTATTTATAGAATAATTCCTTTACCAGGCTATTAATTAATTATATAGGCCCCTAAAATAAACTATAGCCTTTATTTCTTTAAGTCTAGAATTTTAATTTATAGCCTTAAAAGCCTTAGTAATTCTCTTTTTAATAGCTTTTACTTTAAATAATATTTTAGTAAATTAGAAAGTTAATAATAGAAAAATAAAGAAAAATTTATATATTACTAGTTTTTATATATTACTAGTTTTTATATATTACTAGTTTTTATATATTACTAGTTTTTATATATTTTTATATATTACTAGTTTTTATATATTACTAGTTTTTATATATTACTAGTTTTTATATATTATTATTAGTATAGCTATTTTATTAGAAATTATATATATAGTTACGGGATACGGGATATGAAATATAAGTAATGAAATATAAATAATAGAATATAAAATATGAGATATAGTTATATAACTTTATGTTTTATTAATAACTTAATTAGTAAACTAGATTTCTTTAGGCTTAGTAGATTTAGGAATCGTATATTAATACTATAATACTATAATTCCTATTTCTAAATAATAATAACTTTACTAATCTTATATAAATAGTATTTTATAAATATATAATAGTACTATATATTACTAGTAAACTAATACTAATTAGTTTATATATATAGATTAGAGAATAGAATCTTTTAAGTTAAAGAAATATCTAATAGCCTATAGTAAAATTAAACTAGTCTATATTAAAAAGGGGAATTACTTATTAATTTTATAAAGCATCCGGTAGCCTAAAAAAGAAAATAGCTAGTTCTTACTAAAAACTAATAACTACTTTATTAAAAAAAGAAATTATTTATTAACTTTACGAAATATCTAATAGCCTAAAGAAAAAGACTCTAGTTCTTACTAATTAATAAGTAATTAGTTATTTAACTATTTATTTATTTAACTATTTATTTATTTAACTATTTATCTATTTAACTATTTACTATTTTTTAAAACTAACTTTTTTTTAGCTCTAAGACTATTTTCTTAGAAATTATATTTTCTATTTATATAATACCCGTATTTATAAAATACTTTTTCCGGAATATATATTTTATATATATTCTTAAAACTCTTTAATTACTACTTTAATTTTATTATTAAATCGAGTTCTTTAAGCTTTAAATTCTTTCGAAATTATAATATTTCATTTCCTAAATTTCTTATTATAAATAAAATATTTAAAAGCAAAATATTTATTTTAATATCCTTAATATTTTTAGATATCTAAAGTATCTAGTATCTAGTATCTAAACTAGATATCTAGATATCTTTATTACTAAATCTTTCTATAAACTTATTATAAACTATCTTATTTTTAAATCTCTTTTATTATAAATTATATATATATTAAAAAGAATTTAGCTCTAGGGATTTAGTATAATAGAACTATAGAATAAATATATATAGATAAAGAAATAGAAAGGTAATATTAATCTAATTACCTATAATAATAAGGAAGTTCTAAATTACTTTAATACTAGACTATTCTAGTATAAGATAAAGAAATTAACTAATAATAATTTCTAGAAATTATTTAAATTTTTTTTAGTAATTTTAATCTTAAAATACTTAATTATTTAGATTAATATATATTATATAAATTACGAGCTATTTTATAATATAATAGTATTTATATTAAATAAAATAATAAGGAATTTACTATTATATAATTCTTAGTTAATACTATTTAGAAAAAAAATAATATACCTGAATTATAGCTAATATTATTATTACTAGACTAGATCTTAATACAAGCCCTATTACCTTATTATATATATTTCTTAATAATAATATTATAAGAAATTAATAAACTAAACTAATTATTACTTATATTTCTTTATTATCTATAATTATTCTTACTAATACCGGATTATAAAAAGCTAGTAATAATAGATTTCTACTACTTCTACTATTTTTATTACTTCTAAATAGCCCTTTAGCTAGCCTTCTTACTATAAAGCTAATTAGAAAAATAGTAAAGATATATACTAAAATATAGAAATATAATAGAACTAATAATAGTTTTAACTAAAAACTTATTATTTTCCTTAATAACTACTAATATATAGAGCTTTTATAAAAGATATTAGTAAGAGCTTTTTTTATTATATTAAAGAAACTAGTATAAGATTACTTTTATAATAACTAGCTTTTTTAATATATATATAAAAAGGCTTATATAAATATTTATAGCTTTTTTAAAAGCCCTAATTTCTAATATTAAAACTTAGATAAATGAAATACTATTATAATAGTAATTATAATAGCTTAATATTCTAAAAAGATAATATTTGAGCTTATCTAATTACTAATTAATAACCTATATAAATTATAATATAAACTAGTATCTATTTTATAAAATAT